TTTATAGATTGAAGAGTCACGATGTTTGTAAGCTACTTTATAAAGTGTTTTGGAAACATTAATTCTAACCGTGTCTGAAAAGCCAGTGATAATCCAGGTGATGATCTTCAGCAGCAGCTTCAAGGATACAACCCTCACTGAAAATTCTTGGTAAGAGTTTAGGGAACTGCTGACACAGGACAGGTCTCCCAGGACAACTCAAGGCACGTGTGTATCAATATGGGATACTGAGGCCGCTGCTTCTCTTTGGGTTTCGCATCTCCACCATCACAAACCTGAAAAGGAGAGTCAGTCACTACTTGAGATGGTTTGGCTTTCCAAGAATCTTTGAACAGCATCACCCTTTATTGACCGCCTCTAAACTGAGGAGTTCATGATCTTGCTCATCAGGGAAGTGCTCTGGTACTCTGAGTTAAGTGACCCTAAAGTCGCAAGAGCAGCAGAATCAGTCAAGACTGGCAGCAACAGAGCAGGCAGAGTTAGAGTCACGCCATGGAGATCTAGTGGGAACACTAGCCAGAGGAAGTGCTGTATTAGGAACTGTTATAGCCCACTGGGGTCATAAGGAGATGGGCAACAGTGTCCAGAAAGCAGTGAGAGCTACTGATGGGGAGGAACAGTTAAAGGGATTTTCCAGCGTAAAATTAATTTAAGGTCAAACACACCGTTACACCGAGTTAGACACCCCCTCGAGAGATGAATGTTGCAGACCGCTTGCTTCTCTAGTTATACCAACTTTAGAAACAACCGCATGATAGCGATACACAGCGGTTTGAGGAGCTATAAACAAACCTCAACCAAAGCGCCACTCTATAGCCACAAATAATGCTCAGAACAGCACCTAACTTCATCAACAGTATATATAAGGTCCCAGCTATAGCCACCAAACATGTTAGCTTTGCCTGATTTCTTTAGCAGAAAGACTAAACACAACTCACCCACTCTCTTCCAGCAGCCGTTTGTTTGGGGGGGGGAGCCCTGACGAGTCGATCACCAAGTGCAGTGGAGTTTTGCAGCTCGAGGAAGAACATTTATGATCATGACTTTATCATTTCCTTGAAGTAATATTCATCATATTAATCATTTTGCACTGCAGACGCGGTAGTTCTTCTGCCTCAGTGTCTCGGCCTGATTGCATTTCCATGAAGAAGTGATCATAAATGTGTGTGTGTGTGTGTGTGTGTGTGTGTGTGTGTGTGTGTGTGTGTGTGTGTGTGGCTCCTCAGACCGCTGTGTATTGCTATCCTGCGGTCGTTACCAAAGTTGGTATAACTAGAGAAGCAAGCGGTTGGCAACATTCATCTCTCGAGGGGGTGTCTAACTTGGTGTTATGGTGTGTTTGACCCTAAATTCATTTTACCCCAGAATATTCCTTTAAGTAGAGTGGTGGTACTGGGGCAGCAAGGCACCAGGACTCGATGGAAGCAAGTTATAGAAAGAGACATCTCTGAAGGTCAAAACCGCATTGCATAAGGTTTCTAAAGATACCATAGGATCAGGTGTTCAAAACCACTTCTGAGGGCATCTGTGGTGCAATGACAAACTGCTGTTGCCTGTAACCCTGTTAAGCAAGCAATCATCTTTGTCCGAGCAAGTTTCCTGATATCTGTGGGAGAGTCCTGCTGGGGTACAAGTTGAAGCATACTCAATTTCCACTGAACCACTAGAGTGAAGGTGTGTCATGTTCAGCCTGAAACACCTCCTCAAGAAAAACCACTGATGATGTGTCCTGGCTAAGCCTCAGAAGATGTTTCACAACCGCGTAGGTGGTTACAGAAAATATATTTTGTACTTAAGTTGTACCAGGCCAGGCCTTTTTTCTACTCATGCCACTCCTAGCAAAAATATGCCTGATTGTTACCATATTTTTATCTTTATTCGTGGATTTTGCATAAATCTAGAATCAGACTCAATAGACATAATTTGGGGTACGAAAAGTTAGTTTTCACCATAATCTGAGTTTGCTTGTCCTCTTATTCCCCTGGCTTCAGTCAGGCTTTAATCATATACTGGTCACCTCATGATTCAAAGTCTGTTCTTACTTTTCAAGTTGCTTGTTTGACAGAGAGTTATAGTAAAGAAAATAAAGATTTGATAGTTACTATATTTTTTATTTGGCTTGTTTTTAAAAAATAAAACCAATGTGTTTTCTCAAAATGTTGCTCTTTAAAAAGGCAGCTTTTGAGAATATTCAACAAAACCACAAAATGTTCCCCCAGCATCATTCAGAGAAATAAGTAGTGTTGGCTTACTGTCAAAACTAGAAAACAATCTCTCTTTAACAGGGCATCCAGACTGCTGAAACCAGTACTCGAGTTGAGGGGGGATGAAGGGGAAATGAAAATGGTAAAAAAAAAATCCTCCCCCTTCTAAAACGGTCGTCCTAAGCCCATCATTTGAGTCATTTTTGTGTGAAAATATTACTTGTAATTTAACAATGGAAATATTACCACCATTTCAACGTTTAGCGGGTGTGACAGAGAAGCGACCTCATTGCCTGCGGGTAGCGCATGGAGCCTTACGCACACGCCTACATACGCGAAACATTCCCCTCCCCGCCAGCGTCGCTATTTACCCACTAAAGAGCGCTACTTTTCCTTCTCCCTTCTCTGTTGGATAGGGTAACCAAGGATGTACAATTGGAGCCCTACTTACATACATTCACAAAGATATTCATCCCTTCACTTACTTGCCGGGTGTCTATGCGCGCCATCATGCCAGATCAGGTTTCCAATTGATGAAACAGAGCGCGTGATTTCCGTGTTGTATATAGGTGGGTATGGAGGGTCAAAGTGGTCACATGATGCAAGAAAAATTTATTCCCTTGTTGTTTGCCATGAATCCCTTAAAAAAATTAATGCTCCACTGATTTGTGTAAAAACTTAGTTAAAATGGTAAAAACGTACGGAAAAGGGTCTGAAGGTTAAAAATGGTAAAAATGGTTTAAATGTGAATAAATGATTTTTTTTCCAAACTTATTTAATTGATAACGCCCACTGGAAGGGGCAAGGGGGGGTTAAATGAAGGCTGTCTGGGCCTTTCGTTGAGTCTGGAGTTTCTTGTATGAAAGGTAAGTGCCGAACTCACTTTTGTATTGCTGCTGTGTTTCTGTTTTTCTCTCTTGAGTGAGAACCTTGGGCGTCTGTAAATATATATCACCATCACCTTATTTCTTCCACTACGGCTGTGTTTTTCCACTATATTTTGATTGTTTGAGCGAGAACCCTGCAACAGGGAGCTTTAGGCATATTTAGTAAAATACTCTGGGTGAGGAGGCACAGCCTCAATGGGGCCCTAAGCAAAATTTGATTTTGGGGCCCTCTATTTCTGCCAATAATACTGATTGATGATCGTTCACACACCTTCACAAATCTCTTTGATTAACATTCCATAACACGCAAACATACCTTTATCTTTGCGACCCCCCCTTTCTTCCTCTTTCTTTTTCTGCTCCTGAAGGATATGTCCTTTTTTACGTCATTGTTTTGCCCCAAAACTACCTGCGCCTTGGATTCTCAGTGCACATTGCACAGCAAAAGGCACATAACGGTAGCGGAGCTTTTGACATATCAGCAGTTGTTGTTGCTTTCGGGGGCCCCCTATTGGCCGCAGAGCCCTTAGCAGGCACTTAGTTCGTAAGTGGCGAAGCAGCGCTGGTAACGCTGTTGCAATTTCAGTTTCGTGGCCAAGAGACACGGACAGCTCAATCCGAGGGATCATATAATATAATATAAAATAATAATCTTTGTGCTTTAGCAATTAATAAAATGGGTACACAGTTGGTTTTCCACTTTGCCCACTGTCATCAGAACAAAATATCTGTCCCAAACAAAAAATCCACCATCCCCCTGATTTTTTTTCACAGCTCGACTACTGGATGAACCATCAGACAGATTATTTGCCTACGTGAGCTGACAGGATCAGGGCTGTGTGCTGATGAGCGATACCAGCATGGTATGTAAGCAAACATTAATTTTATCGTATATCCAGAGACAGTATAAAAGAATTCCCCCCCAAAAAACTCTTTCTACTATCTCACTCACTTTGCCAGCTCCACCGTCCTCTCCCATTTTCTATTTCAGACTGGTTAGAAGGGAAAAGACACTGTCATGGTTGCTGGTTCCAGACATTACTTGAAGTTGTACTCAATCAGCCCTGGAGTATGACATTCACTGGGTGTTGTCAGTTTATTTGGTTGTGTATCCATAAATGATTATATGCACACACACATTATGGACAATTTGGACATTGACAGTAATGTAATCATGTGAAGGGCTTGTTCTTGATCCATGTTACACCTCTGATAAGTGGCAGCTGTGGTGTAATCCTGTATAATGGGCTGGATGAATGTGTTTCCTCACTGCTGCTCAATTCCAGTGGGGGTTTCATCTTGTTTCTTTTCCTCAAAAGAAAAAACACAGAAGTTCACTTTTGTGTTCAGCTTTAGGGCCTGCCAGGGTGTCTCCCAGAGGAGCTGTAGATCAGATTCGCTTTATTCCTCCAACATCAGATAATGTACAGAGCAAAGAGATGAGTGGGAGGATCTCATGATTTTTTTTTCTTTTTGGATCTGGGTGACATAAAATCAACAGCTGGCTTCTTACTTTACTGTCAAAGACCAGAATCCAGTGTAAAATCATGATATATATTTTTTTGTTTTTGGCTTAGCAGCTGTAGGAGGAGGAGTAATCTGACGACTAGAGAGTGAAACACTCATGTGAGCTGCAATAGATAGGTACTTTGACAGCTACAGAAAAAACAGTATCAGGTGAATCTACTGCAGGATACTTTGTTATGAAGTTTCCCAACACAACAGCAACTCTGCAGAAAAAGCGTAAAGGCCTATAAGTGGACTATTACAAGTGAACTATTTGTGACTGACAGAGATCGACACAGTGGAAAGAAGAAAAGCCTGGTCTTTTTTATTTCCCCTTCCTGTCTTATTTCTTCTTCTTCTTTTTAAAAAGCATATACTGTAGATTAAATGCTGCAGAGAAAGGATGGAGTCATTTTTAATGCGCGTTGTTCTTTTGGGGGCGATCCTACGGCAGAGCAGCATGCAAATATCTGTACCTGCAACAGGTGAGTCGCCAGCATAATGTACAATACGGACATCAAAATGATGCAGAAATGTCGCCGAATGAAACAGGACATGTAAAAAGACGTAACGAACAAGTGAAAAGTCGACATGTTGCGTTTTTGCCTTTTGTGGAGATAGACTACTTTAAAATAGACATTTTCCGAATGCAGTCTGGGCAAAAAGTTAAACCTTGCTTTTGTTTACTTGTATAAATAGGTTGCTTTTACGAGAAAATGATGCAGAAATGTCGCAGAATGAAACATTACATGTAAAGAGACGTAACGAACAAATAAAAAAAGTGGAAATGTTGCATTTTTCGCCTTTTGTGGAGACAGACTGCTTTAAAATAGATATTTTCCTTATGGAGTTCGGTCAAAAAGTTAGACCTTGCTTTTGTTTACTTGTATAAATAGGTTTTCTTTACGAGAAACATTTAACATCTTTTTTTAATGAATGGTGACATAGTCTATGATATTTTAAGTACTTTTTAACACGCCATGATCATTTCAACATAATGCAGACCGGTTAAGACAAGTTGTCACTCGGTCCGTGTTTTCCCGGGGAGCTATTGTGTGATGATACATTGACTGTTTTATTACTTTTTATTTAGTGCATGGGTGTGCACGGGTGTGTCTGAGTCATGCTTAATGAGTATGATCTAATCACAGTAATTGGCAGTAATGAACATAATGATTATGATTAATGGCTGTCATGGGATACAAAGTCAGTGTTTCTCTTTATTAGAGGGCATGTTCGCACTGTCTGTACTAGTAGGCTTCTGTGGGTGTCGCTTAATGCATCAATATTTCATTTAAAGCTACTTTATGCGTAAAATAGGATTCAGTATTATAGTTCAAACGACAGTACAGTATGAAGACTCTACAACTCTCAAATGGTGCTCTAAAATCCACTATTGAATCAGTAATAGACATAAATATACTGAATAAGTAGGCCACGGTGCATAAGACTTTTATTTACACGAAGGCCCGGGATACTTGTGCTACCACATATTTCTCAAAGGTTCGGTGGAAAAGGTTTTAAGTGGCTAAACTGGGCTCAAGTTGTTTATGTGACTTCTCATGGAAAAAATGATCACAATGTATTAACAGCAGCAAGCGATGGAAAACACTGTTCTCCTCCCAATATAATGAGTCCACTGGAGATATTACAGCCAAACCTGGGCTCAGGTCACAGAAAACATATGCATGTAAATAGTTATCACATAACTTAAGCTTTACTTGACAGGCTAATGTTTCTAAAGCTGTAGTACAGATATTTGTCAATGTGTTAATAATACTAAGGGAGTGTTTGAAGGGGGTGAGAGGGGTTAAATTTGATGAGACTGAGACATCAGATAGCATAACTGTGATATTATCTTGGCTTGACATTAAACTGCAGACAATATAATGTTTCATAAAAAAGATGTATAGCTTACACCCTCTCAGTGAAAACAGTTTGTTAGTGTGAAAGAGAGGTGGTGTTTTTTTATCATAGTCTATCAGTGTATCTATATTTAAGAGCAATTTCACAAGACCGCACTCGAGATGATAAAGATCAAGTCGCACTCCCACGTCTTTCGAGGATACTGTATATGTGAAAATAGAGAGATGCTGTTTTAGCTCAAAAATTAGAACATAGAAGACCTTTTATTTCAGCCCTTTACAAATCATAAAGCTCACTAATTTATCCAATCTGATTTCTTTAAAGATGACCAATTTCTTTATTATGAATCTCTTTACTCACTTTAACCAACTTCAGTTTAATTGTTTTGGTAAATGTTCTTTTCCAACTCAGGACTACATAACAGACAACTAGATAACAGTAAAGCTTGAATGGTGTGCCCTTGTGTTTTTAAAGACAATTCGACCATTGTTCTCAATGCCGATTCTGAGAAAAAGCGAGGTTAGTGCTCAGAGCTAATGAAAGTAAATATTTTCACTTCTATTGCATGTCTAAAAAAGCCATCATGGAATGTGTGGAATTTTTTAATTAATTTGAGGTCTCTGCTTAAAAGCTGTTCCTGTGAAAAAAGTCTGTCAATGTTTTTGATCATCTACAGTTTGATACAGCCTGCATCAAATTTTGGTGCAACATAGACACCAGTCAACCATCTGTCTCTCTGATGTCAGTGCATGTTGTTAGTGCACTAGATAAACTTCACAGAAGGTATTAACATATTTTTCAGTCATCTGTGTATCTCTGCTGTATGGCATATGGACTTGGCTTGGCTTGAGACCATTTAAACGACAGATGACATGCTCAGATCCACATCTCTAAAACGTGTATGTATTCACTATTCATATGAAGAATGCAAAGCTGGAGCAACCTCTGTGTTTTTGTCCTCCTCATTTTGCCAGTGCCTGAAAAAACAAATGTTATTTGAATATGTATGTACTCCTGTCATACTGTTGAAGCATCCGCCTTTCTCTCTGTAGTTACTCTCCGCCCCTAATGTGTGTCTCTGTGTCCCAGTAAGACGTTGGCTGACACATCATCCCCTGATTGCACTGTTCTCCCTCATATCCTGCTTATTTTCCAGTCTCTTGCTTTTCTGCACCCCAATAAAAATTTTATGATTATGAGCCATCGCTGCTATTAAAGAAAAGGGTGTGTTCTGCAGAAGAGCTGTTAAAGGAAAAAGCAGATATGTAAACGATATAGGAATGAATAAGTGGGGCGATACAGTAGTGATGCAAATAATTTAGGTGCTGTTAGGAATTGCTTTACGTGTGTTGAATGAATTCTACTATATCACACCCACTTCCAGACTAAATTATTAAAAGACTGCAACAATGTATTAGAAATTCCTAATAGGGTGCTTGTATGTGGAGTTCATTATTTTCCACAAGGTCTTTTGGATAATGAACTGAAGCCTCCAGGATTATGATGATAGCAGATGCATATGCCTTTATTAGAGAGGAGGACTCTCAAACATACTGATCAGGCTTTTTGTTTTCTGTATATCCTTGTGTTGGTAATAGATTCACCAGTGCTGTGAATATATTACTATATGCAGTGAATATGATAAATGATCATTCATGACCATCCTTTTGATTCCTTGCCAACATCAATCCTCTGCTTTGGCTCTGTTTACAGCACTGTCAGCGTTTTCATGAGCTGTTTGGAGTCAGAGGGAGCAAGACTCAGTATGTGATGAACCCACCCTGTAACATCATCTGTGACATTATTAACATCGGTCTTAACATTTGAACAGAATCTATTATTTACACATTGATTAGTAATGACAGTTTGGTCACTACTCACAATTTACAGATTATTAGGATGAAGTGTATGAGGAATTATATTTGCATTAATCAGTGACCTGATTCACAACCTCAAAAGGGAGATAGGAATCTCACTGTCAAGTTACTTTAAAAATCCTATTACCAATCTGTAACAAGTCAATGTTATCTCCTGCAATGGCATGCTCAGATTGTCTTCTAATAACTGTTGTATCTCTCAGCCCATTTAAAAAAAAATTTGATTTCTGTCATAGACTATGAAAACATGGACAGCACAACAGCTCCCCCAAATTGAAGCTGAGACTGGCTGCAGAATATGTCATAAAACTAGCTACAACAGATAAAGGGTCAAATATGACGATCAGTATAAACAAGATATTTTTAACTGGTTTTCTGTCATGAGAGATGGTCTGATTTGTGTTCTGATTTACAGTGCTCAGCATAAATGAGTACACCCCTTCAGAGTTGTCAGACAACCTTTAGTTTCCTTTCAAAATCAACATTTTCTATGGCAGACTATATAACAAAATACTCCCCCAAATGTAGGCCATTGATTGCAAACAAGATTTTTTAAGTTGCATACAAAAAAGTTTTTTTTTATTTTATTTTTATTTAAAATCAGGATGCAAAAATAAGTACACCCCAATCCAAGTTCTGGGAGCAAAGTTAAATTTTAGTGATCATATCACGCTTATTTTCATCTTACGGTAAATAAAATGTAGTATTAAACTCAGCTTTGTCAAAACTTTGGAAATTGTACTTTTGCTCATCTAGATATTTAGTAATACATCACTTATAATAGGGGGTGTACTAACTGATGCTGGGCACTGCATGTGCAAGCAGTTTGAGAAATTGAGTTTTGATCTGTTACTTTGTGGTAAAAGATGTTGTTCGTTACCTGGCTTCCGAACAACGCACCCATGCTATCCAGAGGCCACCGTGCAAACCCTGAAGCATGTGCAAAACACTTTGGACAGTGTAATTTGAATTGAGCTGAACACATGATAGAGAAAATTAATCCCCAACCACATATGTTAGTCTGACTGTGAGAAGTTTGATTTAATGTGATTCCACTTAGAGTAATTCATTGGCAAGATTTCTGAAAACCAAGGCAATCAATCGATTTTTTTAAACACACTGAGGGCTCTATTTTGGTGCCTCCCCGGAGATCTGCCGCAAGCGCAGCGTCAATCAGATCCGCCGCGCTGACAAGGCGTTCCCAAGCACATTTTGGTATTTTGGTGAGCCCCGCAGCCCGTCGTAAGTATCTCCCCTCCCTAACTCAGCTCCTCCCAGCAGCGTAAGTCATAGACGGGGAGGAGAGAGGGCGTGTAGTAGATTTAACACAGCCGAGACCTGTTTTCACCAATCACATAAGCTCCTCTCCTTGCCTTTAAATCCGCCACCGGCGAGGCGTATTACTATTTTCATGAAGTAGTCAAAGAGATCGAGAGCTGTCTGAAGACAGTTATGCCACATGATGGCGACAGAGGGCAGCTCCTCAAGTGTCCTCCACACTCTCTCATCTGAGCACAGATGGATTTGGTGTGTGTAATGTTGGACCCACTGGTAAGACAAACACCCTTTTCCACAAATAAAGACACTCACATAAAGTTGCATATATTCAAACCTCACGTGACAAAGGTGGGTTTAGCGCACAGATCACAACATAAACTCCAAAAATGGCATTAAAATCGGAACCATCTGTGCGTAAATGACGCATCGCGCTCCGTGGCCTGGCTCTTTCTTTCATAGATGTTGGCATATAAAATAAATTTGGCTCACAAAACTGAATATTATAATATCCGTATGTCGGCTTAAAGTAGATCACGCATCTGAGCACTGAAACAAATCATCTGTTCAGCCGCAGCAGCAAGCAAGACGGACAGAGGACACGGAGACGTGTCCAGGTCTAGCTGTGCGAGAAATAAGAGGAAGAAAGAAAAGGAGGGAGACAAATTACATATCTTGTTAACTTCATCATGTGTGTTTATTCACTAGATATTTAATTTAATTTGATGCAGTTTCAGCTGTATTGATTCGGTCAGGCTGTGTGCCCAAACGCGTGCCAAACGCGCTCATCAGATCAGATATAGATCAGAATATATCGATATAGATCTAAATGTATGTGCTGACTCAGATTAATAGTTGATGATGATTATTTATTGCACTGAAATCTGCCTGACACTGTGGAAACCTGCCGGTGAGGCATCAGTGACGTATGCCGATACGCCGCCGGTCTACCAAAATACTACTAGACCAGCTGCGTTCCGCCTTGCGCTGAAAGCTGACCAGGTTTGAATCGGCGAGCTTTCAGCGCACGTTACACGCCGGTGGCGAGCACGAAAATGTCACTGCGCCAGCTGATTCTGTCGACACCTCCCCCTGCCACGCCACCACGCCCAGCTTGGCGGATCTCGGCTCGCCTCCGTGCGACTCAGTCCACGAAAATACCAAACTCGCCTCACGCCGGGCTCCGCCAGACGAAAATACACCTGCGCGGGGCTCGCCCCCCTCCGCCGCCTCACCGGCGCGAACGAAAATAGAGCCCTGAGTGTGTTTGCAGACAAGGGCACGTAAAGTTTTCTTTACACCAACACTAATTTATACAACTTGATGTGAACGTGAGTGTCAGCTTCAAAACAACACAGGAATCTCTTCTGCTGTGGACCAACCTGTGTACTCTGTCATGTTTTATACGTATCCTAAATGTGTGCATTTGTTCAAAGTAGAGGAAAGACATCAAACTTGTGGCTTTTTTGTTTCTTCTGTACATGCCTTGGCTCCGAAATATGTCACCAGCACAGCATGTCTGCCTCCATCCAGGCAGCATTTTGGCCTCTCTTTTCCTAACTGGGAGGAGATGGAGGCATGCCATCCATGTTGATATTCAGTCAGGGACTGATTCAAGTTTCTCTGGTGGTAAGAAATGTGAATCCAAATGTAATCTTTTGCCCAGGAATGTCACTGAGTTGACAGCTTGTTTCTGCTGCACAAAGATGGCTGAAGAAAGTCATTCCAGCTTTGTATGTTGTTTTAAATGTGAAGAGCAGATCTGTCTATCAAGTTGAAGATGTTCTTGGGTTTAAATGTACATACTGATTGACTCTCTGTTTCTCCTCCTGTTGTGTACAGTGTTAAACTGCTGTGAAGGGGACATCCTCCTCCTGCTGGACTCTTCAGGAAGTGTAGCAAACTATGAGTTCTCTCGCTTGTTGCAGTTTGCTGCCGAGCTGCTTCGCCCTTTCTCACTGGGACGTGGGCATGTACGAGTCGGCCTGCTGCAGGTGGGCACAAGCCCCAACCTGGAGTTCGGTCTGGATGTCCACGACAACCAGGTGAGCCTGCAGAGAGCTATGCAGAGAGTCAGCCAGCTTCAGGGAGACACCAACACAGATGTGGCTCTGAGGGTGGTCCAGCAGCTTCTAGCGGATAAAGAGGATAATGTGCCCAAAATCCTGCTGTGGCTGACCGATGGTGTGCAGCCTGGAGATGTGGATGAGCTGATGTCTGAGCTGAAGAAGCAGGGAGTTTACGTGCTTGCTGTTTCCACAGTGCATGGCAACTATCAGGTGTTACAGCGAGCAGTCACACCACCTCTGGAGTCTCACCTCTACTCAGTTGACATAGATAACATTGAAATCATCACAGAGGACATAAGGGAGGCCATCATCAGTAAGTATGTGTGTGTATATTTGAAATATTGACCCACTGAGCATTTTTTGGTCTAAAAGAGGTCTAATGGACGTCTAAATGTAGCCCAGACGACTGGTCTAAAATCAGGCTACCACAGGTCTAAAGATGCAAGTTTTTAAGACATTTCAATTTAGACCAAGTTTAGACTAGCCGGCTTACAGAGGTCTAACTGTATATTGCTCAACGGCTATCACAGTTATTTCGGTTAAGTACTTGGAGATCAGTTATGCAACTCACAGTTGCTTTTTGAAATAAATAGTTATTGAATAATGGGCTAAAGTGCAACGTCTAAAAATATACTGAATCTAGACGGTTGAGATGAGGTCTAAAAAAAACTAGATGTCTAAAAGCCGTCTATTGCTCAGTGGGGAGTATATGCAGAATTATTTATTCCAGACATAAAATCGATTAAAACCAGAGAATTGCCTCCTCAGCATCTTCATTTTATCCCTCTCTTCTCATCTTGTCTTACCTGTAGAAATCATCCGTGCAGAGCGACTGCATGTGGTTGACCTGACTTCCCATAGTGCTGTGCTGCAATGGCGTCCAGTTCTAAGCGCAGGCAGCGGTTACTATGAACTGAACTACAGGTCTGACTCAGAAACAGATCCTGGGACGAGACTGATTCTCCCTGGAAACTCCAGCTGGGTAGAGCTTCTCAACTTGCAGCCTGACACTCTTTACACAGCCTCCCTCCGCCCAGAGTCCAACCAGAGGCTGTTTAACACCCTGTCCGTCAGCTTCACCACACTTCCTGGTGAGATCCTGGTGGATAAATTCTTTCTTTCATTCTGTGTTGAAGTCAAACGAGCTTTAAACATGAATTGATAAAAGGGGAAAACTATAAATCAGCGGACCAGGTAACTACTAAGAGGATGCATTTGTTTGCTGTTATGGATTTTTTGATCATCTTTAGGAGTCTGGCAGGTTAAGCATGGATGCCATATACAGTACAGGCCCTCTGGTCTTTATGGCAGTGGTCCTCCTTCCAGTCAACTTTCCACTGATGTGCTTTACAGCACTCTGAGCAATAAGCCCTTTCAGCAGTGACCTTCTGTGGCTGATCCCCTTGTGGAGAGTGTCAGTGATCATCTGTCGGGTAACTGTCAAGTCAGCAGTCCACCCCATGAATGTGGTTGTGCATACTGAACCAGAGTGAGAGAATAAAGGATTAGTAAACCTTTACACATGATCAAGGTGTCTGATTAGAGCTCTTTCAGGACTGACTAAAAAATTTTCGATTTTTCCCACAATATTATTTGATTTGATTTGATTTATTTGTCCGGAAGGGAGATTTTTCTTCCCCGATAGTACATTGCACATCACAGACGACAACAGGACACTACATACACACCAACAATAAATGACATACATAACAACAATGATGACAACACAATAGCGGACAAACAGATCAGCGGGGCCTGCTGTTCAGGGTGGCTGATGGGATCAGGCTTTTCCCCAGCCCTCCTGAACTTGATGGTTTTTTATCTGCACCCCGTGGGTGGTGGGATGATATATCGGTTCAGTGGGTGGGTGCAGTCTTGTGCTATGGAGTTTGCTAGATGGACTTATTTAGTTCTGTGAGGTTGGGTGTGGGGAGACCGATGATTTTAGCAGCTGTGTTTGTGATGAGTGTGAGTTTGGCGCGGTTGGTGACAGAAAGCATATTAAAGTAACATGTGGAACAGTCCAGAAGGGTGGCGGTTGAATGATGCTTTGATAGAGTAGCAACAGGAAGAGGTATGATGTTTCATGATTGCGTATTTTTGATTTTCCTGAATCGTGAGACATAATAATCAAGATTCAGACAAAAAGTCTTGAGATGTTTCACATTGTGTGTGATGAATTTAGAATATATAGAAGTTTCATTGTTTGAATTAAAAAACGGGGAGAATTTTTATTTTTTTTTAGTTTATTTTATTAGTTTATTTTCAGTTTCATGTATATGTGTATGCAAAATGTACAAAAAAAGAGTTAATATACCAACAGTTTACAGACAAAACTTCCCAAGGACCCCCCCTCCCCTTTTTCTTCGGCAGTGTGTAATTTTTTCCAGGGGTATGCAACTATTCATTTCAAATGATCACCTGACAATAAAAAGAGGGGAGTCCCATTTCCATGACACTGCAATGCATTTCTTGGCTACACTCAGAGCAATTTCTATGAATTTGAATTGTGTTTTGTTCAGTGAGCCACAAATACTTGTTAAATGGATATTCCAACATAAAATTAAATTAGGGTCAAACACACCACAACACCGAGTTAGACACCCCCTTGAGAGATGAATGTTGCTGACCACTTGTTTCTCTAGTTATACCAACTTTAGTAACGACCACAGATAGCAATACACAGCAGTCTGGGGAACCATAAACAAACCTCAACCAAAATGCCACTCTATAGCCACAAATAATGCTTAGAACCACCAAACATCTTTTTAACTTTGCATGATTTCTTTAGTAAAGAGACTAAACATAACTCACCCACTCTCTTCCTGCAGCCGCTTGTTTGTAGCGAGACCTCAGGTCAGTCCATTACAGACTGAAGCGGGTTGACACAGCTCAAGGAAGAACATTTATGATCATTTCTTCATGGAAATGCAATCAGACCGAGACGCTAAGGCAGAAGAACTACTGCGTCTGCAGTGCAAAATGATTAATATGGTGATTATTACTTCAAGGAAATGATAAAGAAATGATCATAAATGTTCCTCCTTGAGCTGCATCCCCCCGCAGCAGTCCATAATGGAATGGCCCGAGGTCTCACTACAAACAAGCGGATGCTAGAAGAGAGTAGGTGAGTTGTGTTTAGTCTCTTTGCTTAAGAAATTAGGCAAAGTTAAAAAGATGTTTGGTGGCTAGTACTATGGCTGGGACCCTATATATACTGTTGATGAAGTTAGGTGCTGTTCTGAGCATTATTTGTGACTATAGAGTGGCGTTTTGGTTGAGGTTTGTTTATGGCTCCTCAGACCACTTGTGTATCGTTATCCTGCGGTTGTTTCTAAAGTTGGTATAACTAGACAAGCAAGCGATTAGCAACATTCATCTCTCGAGGTGGTGTCTGACTTGATGTTATGGTGTGTCTGACCCTAAATTCATTTTACACCAGAATATCCCTTTAAATTCCCCAGTAGGCACAATTCAGGATCCACTGGGACTTAAGCTCCAGTGATCTTAGTTGAAGTGGCGCAGATATCATGCCAGAAGGGGTTCACTTTAGTACATAACCAAGCACAGTGCAGAAAGCAACTGACTTCAGTGTCACATCTGAAGCACCTGTCTTACAGATCAGATTTGAACGAATGTAATTTTTTTGGGGTAAGGTATAATTGATGTTATAGTTAATTACTCTATACCGGGCATTGATGACAGTTAACAAGCTATTTTGACATGTATCTGCCCAGAGTTGGTCATCAATTGTAAAATTCAGATCTGACTCCCATTTCATCTTGGATAGGCCTGGTTTCTGGCTTTCCCTCAACAACAGGAGGTACATCTTAGAAATGAATCTACATGCGTCCTCCTTGTGAAGAAATCTCTCAACATCATTCATGATGGGAGGAGAATTGAGCTTTTTCAGGATATTGTAATCTTTTAAACTGCACCTTTATAGAACAAAACCTGAGACTTAGTTTTTTTTATATAAAAATGCTAGTGATTTCTTGACAAACATCCACGCTGTCAAGAAGACTACGACTCTTTTATGTCTGTTCTATGTCTGCACTTTGAAGTTCAAAGTGAGTGTATTTTTATTTCATCTCAGAGAAATACATCACTGAAGCTGCTGCACTGCTATCTGTGCAGGACATGCTATGCTTTGACCTTCACCCATTATAATAAGCCCTAATTTGTTTCAGGTACAATCATCTCAGCAGTGGTTCATGTCCTCTCTCTGCTAATGCTCCCTTTAGATGTTTTGAGCCCAGCAGAGGTCACCCTGTCAGACTCTGGCCCACATCAGGTCCGTGTCAGCTGGGGTCCCTTGCAGCCAGCTCAGGTACAGAGATATACAGTTGAATATGGATCTATTCCAAGCGGACCTGTCCACACTATAATGTTCAACAACCAGCAAAACTCTGTATTACTGACCGGTCTGGAGCCCGGCACTCAGTACCTGGTTACAGTCAGTGCTCAGCATGTTCATGGAAAAGAAAGAGCCATGTCTGTAAGGGCATGCACTCAAGAGGGTGAGTGTTTTTGATTTTGAGTCATTTTTTCCTTTTTACAGATGATTCATTTGTATCTTGTCTTAAACCTTTGCTCTTTATCCGTCTTTGTAAAAGCTGACCTTTAGAGATTTTGTGAATCATTCATGTGATGCTTGACCAGGCCCATTCTGTCTCTGTTATCTTTTGGCTGCAGCTCTTCCAGCCCTGGCTGACCTTCAGCTGAGCTCTGTGGATCTTCAGGAGGTGAGGGTAGCCTGGCAGGCTCATCAGGAAGGTTTGAAAGGTTTCTGGCTTAGCTGGGAGGGAGAGAGACCCCACAGTGTTTACTCAAAGCCCCCCATCTCCACATTTTACCTGCCTCCTACCTCTCGAAGTACACACCTCACACACCTTCCCCCAAGCAGTCGAGTGTGTGTGTCCCCGGTCTACAGTTCAGGCCGAGGAGAAGGGATATGCTGCACTGCAAAAACCCACTCAGGTTAGTTGCACTGCAAATTTCTGTTTGAAATTATATCATTCCATTATGGGTTTAGTCAACTGGGGAAGTGTAATTTCCTGTTTCTCTGTCTCTTCTTTCCGATAGATTTCCGACAGCCGGGTTAATAATCAGGATGCTGGACCAAAAGTGTTGCAATAATCATGCCAAGTACTGAGCTCACGGGAAAACTGCACAAAATAATGTGTCTTTGGTTAACATTTTTATCTTGAAATGAATAATAGTCACACAAAGGCTTTATCTCAGAACTCCAGCCGTCCACCAGTTTATAAATGAGCAAAGTTTCTGGAAATATTATTCATTCTTACTTTCTATGTTTGGAAAGTTCTCAAACTTTGCAGAAAGTTTGTCCTCCACAGCGCCTGTGGTTCATTCAAAGTAAGGAATGTACACAGTTATAGATCGTGGTTCATCTGATAAACAGTTGTTGTTGACAAAATTATTTATTGATGTAAAAGTTTTATAGTGATGTCAGCTTGTTGATTTACTGTTTGAGTACAAAATTTTTATTTACTCATACATCTTTTGACTTTTTCTGCAGTATTTTTTTCTGCTATTTATTTCTGTACTGATCAAACCTGATGTCAGACCAAAATATACATTTCCCAACACCCTTTTTTCCAAACCCTATCATCTGGTAATGATATTCATTTTCAACAGAGATTCACTAAGAGGAAGTATAGATACACTGTAAACCCAAACAAGTTCAAAAAACTCAAAATGTTACATTACATTACATAAGAGCTTTTAAGTTATGCTGACAATATTTTTGAGTCACACTATACTTAAAACAGTGTGTTCAGTTGACTTAATCTTTATTCTAAGTTCAATCGATTTTTTTTTAATTCCCTTAACTTAATATTTATGTCGTCTTCATACTCAAATGATTTGAATGAAGGATACTTATAAAAATTAAATGACATGGACTTGAAAAATTAACTGTACACAATGTATTACATCAATAGTGTCTCCTCAAAATATTACACCTTAATAAACACAAATATTTACCACTTTAAAATGTTCAAGATGCCCTGTTTTCAGTTTGTAATGCTCAAAATAATAACACTTGGAATAAGCAGAAGAAGATCATTCATGTGTTTTCAGGCACTGATACCCAAACAAATAATAGAGGTGAGGCTATCCTGGACAAAAATAAAAAGTACCATATTTAACTTTACAATATCATAATTTCAAAGCATTATCCAGACTCTTGTGGGCACTCTTAAATTATTCCGTTTTCCACATGGGATGAACCCTCCTGGGATCTGAACCCAGAGTAAATTCATTATGAACCAGATGTCCCAACCACATCTGAGTGCCATTTCTTTATGCTGCCAATGCTGGTTCATTGTGTACTCTGCATTACATAACTGTAGATGAAAAGCATGGTCCAGGCACAAGCGTTGAAAAGCCAACATCAATTTGATCTCGGCAGGGGGTGGCCCAGTCTATTTCAACACAGAGAGCCTCTAACTTATTTTAATCCAGTGCTTTCTTGTTGTGAGACAGCTGTGCTTCCCACCATGCCGGTGTGCTACCTGTTTATGCTAAGTCTTTTAGTTTTTTTTTACTTTTCAGGTCATGAATTTGATCTAAATGCAGACTATTAGGTGCCTTGTGGTGCCTCTCTGTTTGAGTCCATCTTCTTTGTTCTGAAAAGCACCGCTGAGCTCCCAGAATATTCTGGCTCAGTACAGGATGACCTTGGGATTTGAACCAGGAACCATCTTGCTGTGAGGCAGCAGAGCAATCATAATAACCCTGTTCAAGAGCGTAAAATTAGGTTGATGTGGCTCAGGGCAGGTTAAATAAGTCATGACAGAAAATTCAAGTGAATACAATATGCTTTTTACCAGTGGTTCTCAACTGGTGGGTCCCAACCCAAAAGTGGGTCGCTAACAGCTGGTCAAAAATGTAAGTATTTAAGGCGCATCTGATGTTTGATATGTCTTTTGTTTTAAAAAATAGCTTATTTTGAAAGGCACGCGTTATGTCATTGTCCTCCTTGGTTTCTTATTAATGTAGCCCGAATGCAGTAAAATAACACCTTTTTTTATGGTCATTTTTTTTTTTTTTTTTTTTTTTGGTGCAATGTTAGATTTTTTCACTTTGTCCATGCTGTTGCATGGTCCTCCTCAGGTTCTTCTGAATATGCTCTGAATGCAGAGATGCAAATAAGTCAAATTTTTCATTTGGCTGGTCTCCATTTTGTGCAATTTGATATTTGATATTTTCTGTATAAGCAATTTCAGTAGTTGTCGTCCTCAGTTCATGTGCACTTTCAGAGCACTTTACTCAATAAGATAAGTGTATGTATGTCAAATATTTGAGTCTTTTAAGGTTATAGAAATAGATTTGCTTGGTTTGAATTTTATAAAAGTGGGTCATGACTTAAGGACCATGGGAAAATGTGTGTCCTAGGGTGAGACCAGTTGAGAACCACTGCTTTTTACCATTGATTGAAAAGTTAGCAATAGTTTTTTTCGGCCAGTTAAATTGCACACCTCATGAGATTATACTCACTCACACAGACTCCAACACTCTGAACACTGGAAACCAGTGAGGTCCGTAAGAGTCCAGTTTGAAAGTGGAGGAGCACTGCAATTTTCCTTCCTGTGATAAAAACTACATCCACTAGAGGCCACCGCCTAACAACTAACATTAATGACTTCGAGGTGCTGCTCGAACAGACAATCCACACTCAAGCAGGCCCATTCATTTATACTTATTCCTCCAGTTTTTAATCACAGCAGAATGATCGATCTGCAGTGCAGCACCAGAAATTTTCATATCTAACATGTGCACTGTGGACAACTTCTCTTTTTACCACCTGCTCTCAGCATAACAAGCTGTTAACACCGTGATTTAATGTGAATAGAAGGAGTATTGATATTCACTTTTCCTGCAATACACATCCAAGGGTAATATCACTCATGTTGCTGGTAAATTGGTTATTACCTCACTGTGTTTACTGCCTTTTCTTCTGGCACTCCTCTTGTGTTTCTGTAATAAACTGGTGGTATCACAAACTAAATTACCTCTGTTACAGATAGAATTAAATAACACTGGTCAACGAGGGGTGCAAGGTTCATGTCCGTGAACAAGTCAAAGGTCACCGCAGGCCTGTCGATAGGATTAAAAAAGTAGACGGTGCAGATGGTCTCACCTGAAACATCGATGCCTGCAGCATCTATAAGAATTAGTTTAAAAAATAACATGGAGGCAAAAAGTTTTCTATAACCAAAACAACAAAAAGTTGTACACCAGATTTATGTGCATTTCAATCTTCAACTGCATGCTGAAAACCCAATCACCAAAGGCCTCACTTCCCCAAGGACTATAGCATAAGGATTTTGCAAAGGAAGCAAATTTTACCCGGGAAGCAAAGCTGATTAATCTCTTGTGTTTTATTATCATGCAGCATGAGCCCCCTAAGGCCGACAACTTGAGGTTGCTTTATGCGTTTCTAAGTGCCTGATGGGAATGTGCAATCAGTACAGAGCACTGAGACGCTTCTACTGTGAGTTTGTATCATGATGAGTGAGGTCGGGTCGCCTTCTCTGGTTATCCAAGAGTGGAGATTGTTGATTTAAATGAATGATCGGTGGGGAGCAATTTGAATCATGTTCACCTGACATACATTGAAGTGAAGATGGAGTATGTTTTTAGACATTAAAACATTTTCAGAGACTACAGTGTTGAGAAAATGGCTGGACTGGGCGACCCCATCGAGGAGAATGCAGACTCAGAGCTTGTGGGTATGGGACTTCGTGTCTCTGTGTCTCCTGCCCAAACTGCTTTTTACATCCTCCTGGTGATGCTGGGCATTGTGGGTAATGCCACGGTGGTTGTAGTAATTGGTAAGAGTGTCATTATGGACCGTGGTGGTGGACGCAACTCTGACATCATTATCATCAACATGGCGCTGTCCAACCTGCTGGTGTCTGTGATGAGGAACACTCTGCTCGTCATCTCGGACATGGGACTCCAGGTATGTGACTCTGAAACATAGTTTTTCAAAGTCTTTACGAGTTGCTCTTTTTTGTTTGTTTTAAAATTATGTTGATGTTGTTTGCGACAGGAAGGTTTTGCTTGGGATGTTACTGCCTGCTAAAAACAAACCTGTAGTGCCTGAAATATTATAGGTAAAAGGTGCATCAGCTGTCTGTGTGTCTGGTTTTACAGACTCCTTTGTACCCAGTTTGTCTGATCCCTGTCTTTCACAGCTGTACTCCTCCAAAGAGTGGTGTCAGTTCCTCATGGGGGTCTGGGTGTGGCTGCGATCAGTCAATGTGTGGTCAACGCTCTTCCTCAGTGCGTTCCACCTTCAAACACTGAGGCGTGTGGCTCCCACTATCGGGAACCTCCACGGGCCCCGAGGCCCTCCTAAAACCCTACTGCTGAGTCTGGGCCTCATCTGGCTCCTCAACTTGTTTTACTCTATTCCTGCGCACATATTTTCCACAAACGGGAACGAAAACAGCACAGAGGTGAGAACCTTCAACAGCAGAAGATAACATTTCTACAAAAAGTTGAAAGGATGGCATTATGTGAGTGTGATCGAGCAAGTTAGTGCAGACTTTCACATAATAATATGAAATTTACAAAATATTTTGCAAACTTGATGTAATCAAAACAACCAGAGCAAATGTCATAATGGGCTGTAAGGGAATACCTTACACACAGAATAAGGAAAATAACAGATGTCTGTGCAGATGAGAAAATGACATGGAATATAAAAGCAGTGGCGTAGAGAGTGATACACGCCACCCAATATGGGAGCTCTACCATTTTGATTGATTTATTACATTAAAGATATTCATGAGATCAAACCCAGGTTTGCCTTTTTCATTGAAAAAGTATCCTCAAGTAAATCCTTGATGAGTCTGTGTAGTGGCAGATTCCTCTCTAACAGTTTTTAAAAGCCACTTGGATGAGACGAGCCCCACAGATGTACTGACACGTGTCCACCTTCATTCATAAAATGACTCCAGTACTCACAGGTCTGTAGTTTTTTCCATTTATTTGGCTGATTGCAGGTTCCATAGAGCTCACAACTCAAAAACTGTACAAAAAATCAAAATGCTCCAAATGTCAAATGTCAAAAAACATTTGCCGCTCATCTCAACCTGAATCAAATAAAGACTGACCTGCACACCTGTGCCGGCTGACCTAAAAAGATTGCAACTCCACCTATAACCAAACATCCTCTAGACAAGTGTATCTGAATCTACTAATCAACGCAAACAACCCATTTAATTACTTTTAAATCATATATTTTGGGTGCTTACAATTAATAATATTAACTGAGACTTTCATTTGTTTGCTTAAAAATAAGATTTTGACATAAACTAAAAAACGGCTTCTACAGTCTGTGCCACTTCTCCTTCCACCCTTCTCCTTGCTCTTTCTCCAGACCCTGATGTTGGTCAGCAGCACAACACGCCCCCTGCTGGGCTGTGTGTGGAACTTCCCCTCCAGCGGTCTGGCCTATGCCACCACATCTATGGTCATCCATGAAACCATCCCCATCATCCTGATGGCCTTCACTAACCTGGGCTCCCTGTACACACTCTACACTCATGGGAGGATGAGGAGTTCGGTGCAGGATGCACCCGTCATAAAGCGAGTTCCTGCTGAGAGACGAGCAGCCAAGGTCAGACTGAAAAAGAGGTTTTCAGACTTGAAGAGCTCATGAAAAGTGAAAGATTCAATTAATTTATGCAACAAACATAAATATAGATTTCAACAAACTGTTCTGAACAAATGTTAATCACTCACCTAATTCTTTCATGTGTTTTTCTTCAGGTAATCCTCGCTCTCATCATGCTCTTCATTGCATCCTGGGGAACCAGCATCATCTCTGTCAACTATTTCAACTATAACCGCGGCTCCTCGGCTGAGTTTCTTCTTGTCATTGCTCGATTCGCCAACATTATCTTCATTGCCTTGTCTCCTGCCGTTCTAGCAATCGGACACCGTCGGCTACGCTCCTTCATCAAGTCTATACTCGCTCACTGACCGAGCCCAGACTGTCCTGCCAACCATTTACTTTCTTTTTTTTTCAGCTTTCTCCAGCATAGCAAGAGTCATGTTTACAGGTATGATTATATGATGTCAAAGGTTTTATCAGGATAAGGTTGATAAATTTTTGAAGTTCTTTATTTAACAACCTAAATAATTGGTAAAAGAAAACATGAAATGAACAATCTCCAAGTCTTTCATAACCAGTTCATTCAAGAGTCAAACAACAATGTTTAAAGAATTACTTTCATCATATTTAAGTCTGAGATCCTGCTGTGTGATGAAGAATGAATTAAACAATTTGAAATGTGGACTTTGAAATGTTTAAAACAGATATAATTTTACTCAGCAAAAGGAGAACTCATTAAAGACTTTTTTTTTTAAATGGCATAATTCTTTATCTTCTTATTTTTTCTCTTACAAATTTTTGTTTTACATTTTAACTTCCCATTTTGGAGCATTTTTCAGTATTTGTAGGGTGTTGAAAGTTCTTTGTTTGGGTCTTTTAGTCCTGTGAGATATTGCACATGTTATTGACAAACACAAATTGGCATTATTAAGTCATATCAATCCCTCGATACAACTGAGTTGAGGAAAACTGAAGCTTCATCTGAATACATTTCAGCCCAATAGAAAATAGAGGAACAATGACACACAAATTGGAAAAAAAAATCACAGCATTTTTATCGTCTTGATTCCACTTCAACACAATGTGATTATTTGAAATATCTCAAAATAGTACTTCACCATTTTGTGCTGAGGACATCCTTACTTGTTTGAGTATTAATGTTAGGATTTGTGTAGTAGTTAAATATGAACAAGCTCATATCAAGCGTCCGTCACTTTAAAGCTTTGACTTGTTCCTCCACTTTTATCTCCTTCTGGGCCTTATTAACAATGAAAATGTTACGATTTCCTGTAGTCTTTTGGCATTTACTCTTTTTATCAGCGTCCATCCTGTGACATTTGAGAACTTTGGACCAGCCCAGTATCATACCCATGATTCTCCTCCTCAGCTTGCTGTGTCCCAGAGCCACCACCATGGGGCTGAATCCTACAAACACTGATGCAGAGAAGTGGGCCACAGTCAGCAGCCCCTCAGCATGGTGCCCCCCATCGTGGTTGTAGTATGTCACTGCAGCAACCTGCAGCACCCAGCAGACTACGAAGAGTGACACCAGAGACATGATGACATGAGCTGCTTTACGTTCAGTGGCAACATGTTTGTCTAGCTCACTGTGACTCCCCCCTGTCTCTCCCCCTGAGGTCACGGCTCGGATGTGTTTTGCCAGCGCATGAAGAGTGGCCAAGTTGGTGCAGACCATCAGCACCAGCGGCAACACTTCGTTAAAAGCCAGTGAGGTGGAGGCGAAGGCTGAGCCCTGTTGGATGGTGGGAAACTCCCACACGCAGCCCAGCAGAGGCCTGGTGGTGCAGCTGATCACCATAAGCTCCACAGTGGCATTGCCATGAACATGAGTGCTATAGACCAGAGCTGGGACTGAGAAAGCCAGGTTCGCCCCCCACACCAGCGCCAGGACAATCCATACCCGCCGCCTCTCCCTCTGCAGTGCAAGAGGTCCAAAGGTCACCTGCTGTCGCCTCAGGGTGGTGCAGTGGAAGACACTAAGCGCTAGAGTCACCCAGCATCCCACAGCTCGCCACCACACCCACAGCAGCATGAAGACTCTGCACCAGCCTGGGGACAGGGACACATCCAGACCCAGGTCTGAGACAAAGATGGGCACAGTGCGGAACAGTGAGGTCAGCAGGTTGGCCAGTGAGAGGTGCACCAAAATGGTGTCAGAGGGAGGTAGTCTCCGAGATGGACTCTCAACAGCAGACTGTAACACCTGACAGAATAAGTGTGACAGACTGAGAAAAAAGAAATGCCTCAAACATTAAAGGGATATTCCGGCTTAAAATTAGGTTAGGGTCAAACACACCATAACACTGAGTTAGACACCCCCTCAAGAGATGAATGTTGCCGACCACTTGCTTCTCTAGTTATACCAACTTTAGTAATGACCCCAGGATAGGAATACAGAGAGCCACACGCTCAACCAAAACGCCACTCTATGGCCACAAATAATGCTCAGAACAGCACCTAACTTCATCAACAGTACATATAGAGTCCCAGCCACAGCACTCGCCACCAAGCATCTTAACTATTACTTCAAGAAAATGATAAAGTAATGATCATAAATGTTCTTTCTTGAATGCGTCACCCCGCAGCAGTCCATAATGGAACGGCCCAAGGTCTCGCTACAAACAAGCGGCTGCTGGAAGAGAGTAGGTGAGTTGTGTTTAGTCGCTTTGCTAAAGACATTAGGCAAAGTTGAAAAGATGTTTGGTGGCTAGTGCTATGGCTGGGACCCTATATGTACTGTTGATGAAGTTAGGTGCTGTTCTGAGCATTATTTGTGGCTATAGAGTGGTGTTTTGGTTGAGGTTTGTTTATGTCTCTTCAGACCGCCTGTGTATTGCTATCCTGCGGTTGTTGCTAAAGTTGGTACAATTAGAGAAGCAAGCGGTCGACAACATTCATCTCTTGAGGGGGTTGTCTAACTCGGTGTTACGGTGTGTTTGACCCTAACTAAATTCTACTGCCGGATATACCTCTAAGCATAATTATTAATAGATACATCAGCTCACCACATGAATAACCAAGATGTTTCCCACGATGCCAGAAAAGACCAAGAGCCCAAACAGAAAAGCTTCGACGGTGAGGTCCTCTGACATGGCATCACCTTCTGCATGGCGACATAGTTCGCTTTTTCTTTCTGACCTGCACGTGGGTGAGGTTGCTTCACATGATCCACTGCTGCTGTTCACAGCCCTCCACATGTTTTATATGTATACACACACACACACACACACACAGACTGCCACAGGTTTGTCACACATAAGGACTCATCTTTGCTGACCCGACTCATGGTCAGTTTAATCCAATATGTTGATGCTTGGAGTGCAGAGGCAGGCGTTTTCCACTTTCTCTTTACACATCAGCAACAAACTGTGACTGCAAAGCTGTCTGCTGACCAGCATGATCCCATCAGCAGATCTCTGTTGCTGCCATTTGTTGTGTTCATCACAGCCTATTTTACATTACATCAATCAAAAAAGCATCAATTAAGTCTGCTGAAAAGACATGATGTAAAGTACCACTGATCTGCTCACTTCTTTCTCAGTAGTCAAAGAGGGTATTACTGCAGATTACACACATTTCTACCAATTATCTTCTGTGACCTCCAAGGAACAGGTGGAGCTGTCCTAATGCCACTGATGCAGCATTTTTCCCTCCTGTTAGTCAGCCGTTCATCTGCTCCCTGGGTACTAATTGTTAACTTGGTTTCCATGTATCTCTCTTGGGACGTGATAGTCATTGCTGTGAATAATCTCACATGAGCACTGCTTGATTATTATTTTGATTATAACTTTTGGAAGTAACTGTATATATATATATATATATATATATATATATATATATGTGTGTGTATATATATAGCACCAGAAGACTGGTTTAGGCCGGATACCAAACCAACAACCACTAAGGCTAAGGCTATAAGTTTCATGTTGTAGATGGGAAGCCTGTTTAGATGACATTTTCAATCATTTGAAGCTGATGTGAAAGACTTTCAGTTTGCATCATTTCTAGTGTCTCCACTCGGTTTTGACCTTGTCATGTTGATGTTCTCCCTTATTTTTGGTGCTGTCTTTTGCCGATCTCTCTTACTGATGACAATAATATGTTTATCCTCTGCATTTGTAGTAACTCTCTTTTGTCCAGGTCTTTTTCTATCATCATAACTTCCAGGTTCCTCTAGTCTCTTCAGAGTGTAGTGGACTCCTTTGTTAAACACCTTTAGGCATTTTGCAATTTCTCTTTCTGTGTATCCTTCTTTTCTCAATGTACAAATATGTACTTTTGTTTCTTTATTCAGTTGTCACTCTTGCAAATGTTTTCAACCCTAAAACTAAGCCCTTATCTTTTGCTGACATATATTTAGCAATGGTCTGTTAACATCAATGTATATCTAAAGGTAAATGGAGTAAAATGGTGCATTTCCATGAAAGCAACATCTGATCATGGAGTAAATACATCCCAAAATACATAAAACTCATGCTGGATTTTAAAAAAAAGCACAGAGTTAATGACAAACTTAGTGAAACAAAATTGGGTGACTAACATGAGCAGCAATTATTTGTCCTTTAGTAGAGCTTCATGGCCCCATTGGGAAGGAAATCTGAGAGCGCAATGTATTTCTTTATGTACCTGTGTGTGTGTGTTTGTTTTCCACTACTACATACACAATATATTTTCTTTATCCACTATAGCCTTTGGCAATCAATACACAAGTTTTACATAACTGTTTATTTTTCTCTGCAAGGGAGGTATCAGATGCAGCCACCTATAAAAGATATACAGGAGAAGATCAGGAGATTCACTGGGTCATATGCACATCAATCTAGCTCATGCAATTGAATCTGAATAAGATCTTGTCAGAAAAAAACAACATGGCGTCGTGATTTCATGGCATCATGTACTAACTGATACTGTTTGATGATTAACAGATGTTGAATTATTTATTAAAACTACACAATCGTGATAAAAATCAGTATTTATTCAAACTTTTTAGCTGTCTTACTCTTCTCTCTTGGATATGTGTGAAACAAAAAAGAAAATGCAGATTCCACTGGCACAAGCAGGCTCATATGACTCTCGGGTCTCACGTGGACTCTGCGTGGATGTGGGGGTTTTGCAGGTGAGCAGCCCAGGTGGGACGCAGGTTCGAGATAAACTCGCTGTTTTTCAGGACTCCGCTTGTTGACTTTGTTATTGACGGACACCTGAAGCTCTGCGTGGGATGATGACTCACAAACCGACTGATGATGACTACAAATATTTTGTGCACGCACCCACGCTCCCATGAACTCCGTGGCGCGCGCTCCCCCCACGTGCACTCTCACACAGCAGGCATCAAAAGGCTTTACGTCAAGGCAGACAGGAAGAAGAAAGCGAAATCTGATGGCACGATAGCCGGGTCCTTTCGTCCCACTGTAACAAGTAAGTGGTTTTTGGAAACGTCTGCGAGTCGGAATCTGCAGCTCGGTGACTTTTTATCGCCGCCAGAGCTTTGTCAACTTCGTCCTGATAGCTCATCCTCTGCAAGGTCATACCCGGATCTCTTTGACTGGATGGTTTTCTTTTTCTCTGTCGCAGATGCATGCCCGCTCCTCCTGCCCATGGACGCGCTCTCTTGTTTCACACGGATTTCGTCTGTGTGCACAGAGGCAGAGCTGATCTTATGGCAGCCATCAGCCCGCCATGTACCATCGCTCATCTAATCCACTGTGAGAGAGAATAAAGCAATGAGAGGAGGTGAGATGAAAAGCCAACAATCTCTTTTCGCCCTATCGGCACTCCTGCTCTGCACATTACAGCAGACAGCTGGCTCCAGCAGATCTCATCGCAGCAGCAGCAGCCCAGCATCATCAGCATCATTATCAACATCATCTCCATCAGAGGTGCGAGGCAGGATTCATTTGGGGATGCCCCCAACCTGGTTAAAACAGACTGGCTCCAACTATGGCAATCTCAGCCATAAAAGTAGGCCATCACCAAGGCTTAAAGAGGTAACAGGCCAAGTGAATAGCTTTCCTTTTAACACCAGCACAGGCAATGTTACCACTGTGGTTTCTGAGAGTTCTGGCAGGCTACCAAGCTGGATCCTAGAGAAAGGGGAGTCACCACTGTGTGCCTACCGAGTGATAGAAGGAGGCATCGGGGGGCAGCTATGTTTTCGGAACACCCTGTTCGGATACAAGTGTCCTAAAGCTGACTGCAGGACAGTGGTGTCTCTGGGGAATCTGGTGGCGAATATTCTTATCAATGGCAGCGTACTGTTACAGTGGACCCTTGGGGCAGAATCTACAGTGACTGGTCAGGATGAAAAGACAAAAGGGGCTGCAACTGGTCAGAAGAGCAGTGGGATTTCTGGGACGGATCAAACAAGGGAGGGAACTGTAAGGTCAAGTAGTGTATTCAGCGGTCGCCGGCACAGACGGGGAGGCTACGAGCTCAGCTGCTGGTGGAATGGAAGCTACACCCAGTTTGAGTGTGCCGGTGTCCATCTTGGATCTGGCTGCAGGGACTTTCTCCTGACCGAGCTGCATGAGAACATCCCCTACCGCATCTGCCTGCGCTCCCTGGCCCACTCTGATCCAGTTTTGAGAGCACCTCATCAGCAAGACTGTGTAGAGTTCACCCTGCCACCGTCTGGGATGCAGGACATTGTGATTGCTATGACAACAGTTGGGGGTGCTATTTGTGTGATGCTGGTTATCATCTGTTTGCTGGTGGCATACATCACAGAAAATATCATGAGCCCCACGACACAGCATACATACTCGTACCGCACCCACTCACGTCGCTGAAATGACACTAAATTCAGGATGCACCGTGAAATGAAATGATCTTTGTCTAACATCCATGATTAGCATATCTAATCTCATAATCATAGTCATTCATGGTCACTAACAGTTAACAGTTAACCACGTATAATATGATTTACAGGTCCTGTTATGACTGAACTGAAGCACAATCAACTGTGACTCTGCAAAAAAAACACTAGCCTTGACAGTCTTTGCAAGGATGCACTGAACCAAAAGTACTGAAAACCTACATTTATACACATCACAATGGTTTGTTGCATTTTGTTTTTGTTTGAGGTGGTCTGTGACTGAGTTTGTCAGCCAGTATGTTGGCAGCATTTATAGAGCAATACAAACACCAGGAGGGCTTTTAGTACTTCAAAAACAGTCTTTGCTACATGTCAAAGCTGTAAAACATCTAGGTAGGAGACAGGTCTTGTTCTTGCCTGCTGGGCCACAGGAAAATCCAACTAAACTGAATCATTTCTTTCACACAACTAAACAATGCTATCATTTAATTTTGCTTTAAGGTCTGCATACAGTGTTTGTATCACGTTGTGAAGAGCAATCCAGTCTGGTGTACAGTTTTCAAATATTGTGCTGAACATCTTGAGTTAGAGCACCGTCATATTATGCTGTGAGAGAATAAAGTACCATGGGGTCATTTGTAATACCTAATAGCTGCCTTTAGTTTTCTTTTTGGGGTCTTTGAGAGTGTGCGTGTGATATTTTTCATCTTTTAGACAGAGGTGCCTTATAGTTGAAGGTCAGGGGTGGTTAGGACACACCTAAGGACCCATGAAAGGGCTCCAAAAAAATAAGAACATTTGAGGTAGTGAAGAATTTCCCAGTTTGGGATCAATAAAAGTCTATCTATCTATCTATCTATCTATCTATCTATCTATCTATCTATCTATCTATCTATCTATCTATCTATCTATCTATCTATCTATCTAATTCTTAACCAATAGACTTACACTTTCTTTATTGTCATTGCACAGAATAAAACACAGCAGTAATTTCTCTCTGCAACGAAATGTCCTTGCTTGGCTTCCATATCCTCCTGAGACCCAGTAATTCACTTTTGTGCACTGTAGTGCACATTGAGTTTTTCACACAATACATGCCACTCTGTTAAGTCCTGATGTTCCTTAAAGAGGACAACCGCAGCTTTAAAATGATGTGAAATGTGTGGGGGTGTGGCCTTGGCAACTACTCTTTTCCTGTATTTCAAAATGGCTTTTGAAACACATTTTATGGAAAACAGAAAGGTAACCATGATATCTATATTTAAAATGTTTTTGTTTTTGTTATATTTGGATTAATTTCCCAATACAAACATCTAATAAGAAATTTGAAGGAGTTTTCAGAGCTAAGCTTATTTAGTTTTACTGGGAAAATGACCAATTTATTAATCTATACTGTAGTGCACATCAGGACTCTGTACTTGAATTTTGTTAAAGTGTCAGACATTCGAGCAATGGAATCCTGTTGTGTACTGAAGCGCACATGTAGATTTTTAATGAAATTAGTTAAAAACAAAATAGTCTTTGCAATGTGTTTTTTACCACCCCAACTCTTGATGTATCTGAAAAAATCAAAATCAAAACCTTTTTTTCCCCTGGGTCTAAGGGGGATATCACAGCATAATGGTGTTTTGTTTTAATATATAGAAAAAATAAAAACAATAAAAACTAAGTGTAAAATTCATAACCTTTCGCAATAGACAAGAATTTAACTTTTTTTATTCTATGGAAACCTTTATAGGTATGTGCTACAGATCAATGTCAAGAAAATATATTCTGCTCTTCAGATATGTTTACATTATGACTTTAGGGGTGGTTAAACAGGGTAAGATGTAAAGTTATATCAGACGAGGAGTGTGGTATTCATCATCTACTGTGATCATGTACTAACTTCCACAAATACCAGATTCCTAAGATGAACACATAAAAACTGTCCCTGAAGCTTACTCTAATATCCAGATGTTTATTTATAAAGTCTGAAAATGTTGGAATGATCAGCAGTGATTTATTTTTCTTTTGACCTAGTTGGCCTTAAAACAAACAAAGAATATCTGCTCACTGATGTGCAACATGGCACGAATTGAGAATATATGCATGACTTGATTATAGAGAGTTCCCACTGTATAAACAGAATAGCAGAAGCTCTCAAAATTTATGCCATCTTAAGGTATGCATAAAAAAAACAAATCTTTGAATCAGGTAAAAAAAAAAAATCTGCATTCTGCAAAGAAAGTGAAAGATGCATTTAATGCATTAATCAGAAGGGGTGTTTAGTATTCAATACAGCAAAAGGGTTCATTTTATGTTTTATGTCTGAGAAATTTGACACATGGTGTCGTCCTGTATTATTGTATTATTGTATGGTTAATTTCGTGCCTTCCTCAGATGATTTGCAACAGATTCACGACAGGGTCTCTATTATCAATTAAATTCAAATGTGCTTTACTGGTATGAAAGTCAGTACAACATTGTAAAAGCATATACAATAGGGGAGAGAGGAGTAAATTGCGCCAAAGGGTAAGTTGAGCCACCCCCTGTTGCTTGGAAATGGTAAAAGAAATTGATTCTGTGACCAAATATTTATGAGATGGGCATCAATCCAGGGAGTCTGGGAAAGTTAGAAGCACATGGGTGAAGGGGTCAGACATTTATTTAAAAAAAAAAAAAAAAACATTTTTCACTCTTCAAGGTGAAATTTAGTCTGTCCTAAGTTTTATTAGAATTGTGTTCAGACAAAAAAAAAGATCATTTCAAATTTGTTTTTACATCAATTGTGGTATCTATGAGCTCCTACATCAGGTCAAAAACCTAGCATAAAGGTCCACAATTTTAGCTTAGTTGGGCTAATAAAGTCATAATAGTAGTTCAGGGGTAAGTTGAGCCAGTGGATCAGCCGAGAAAGTTAAGAAGTCTGATGAGAGGATCAGAGTTTCAGTTGAGCCAGTGGCTCGGGGAGGATCAGAGTTTAAGTTCAGATTGTTGAAATGTGTTACTTTTTCTTTTCAAAAATACAGCTGTGAATGTTCTGAATCACTTAAAGGATCACTTAAAGGCATTCTCATGTTAAAATGACTTCATACAGAACAGCTTTTTAGCAGTTATAATAAAAAGTATTATTGTACCAGTTGAATAGCGTATAATAGATGAAAATACACATGAATTTGAAGAAGTGACTGTCATTTAGGCAGAGAGAGAAGATGAGGGAGGGCTGGGGTGGAGAATGGGGGGATAGTAGGGATAGCTCAACTTACCCCGCTCCTATGGTCAACTTACCCCATACATGGAGTAAGTTGACCATTGGAGACCACTTTATTTTTGGCATGCTATATTATCAAGATAGTTATGTTTACACTCATTCTGTTGGTTTGCAGGGATGCACAACATCTTGAAATAAATGCAGATACACTAGTTGGAGACAAAACTATGATTGCCTCGATGTAGTGATCTGAAATATGAAAAGTGGCTCATCTTACCCCACTCTCCCCTATTATACATTGATTAATACACAATAATTCATTAATAGAACATGTATAATCTGTCTTTCTCTGTCTCTCTGTCTCTGTCTCTGTCTCTCTCTCTCTATATATATATATATATATATATATATATATATATATATATATATATATATATATATATATATATGCTGTTATCAATATAATGGTGCCACTTTTAAAGTCCTTCATGAGAGAAAGCACGTTTGTTTACTGACGTCGCGCTGCGTCACTTCATTTCACATGTATAATCTCTCTCTCTCTCTCTCTCTCTCTCTCTCTCTCTCTCTCTCTCTCTCCATAGATATATATATATATATATAATCTCTATTATTGATATATCTGTTATCAATATAATGGTGCCACTTTTTAAGTCCTTCATGAGAGAAAGCACAAGTTTGTTTACTGACGTCGCGCTGCGTCACTTCATTTCTCGCCATAACAGCTGGTAAGCCCCGCCCATAAAAGACATCACTCAATAAAGCGGTACTCCACGGAGCTCCGCCATTTTGACTTCCTGCTTCCTAAGAAGATAAACCGTCAGCGTAGCACTGTTCAGGGAAGCTGGTGTTATTTTTGCGTAAGATAGGAGTTTGTATTCTTTATTTTTCTTGTTGACATTAAAAAAATACAAACTGTGTAGGTTTCTGACAGTTTGTGTCGGTTAGTTTCAGCCGGGGAGTCGAAATGCCGAGCCAACCGCTGCGTGTAGCGGTTGTGTGCTCGAGCAACCAGAACCGCAGTATGGAAGCGCACAATATCCTCAGGTAAACATGAACACCGGGATCAGAAGATCATGGAGGACCGTGAAGGAAACAAATGAGTGCGGTGTCGAGCCGTTTACTAACCCGAACATGGGCCATATCATCACGGTGACAGAGTCCCTCGGGCCTCAGAGCTTTAACAAAGGACTGACTCCTCATGAGTTTGACTATGGGTTTTCAGCGGACGTGAATGCTGGCTTGAGACTGGGATTGTGACTATGTCTGCTTTAACACGCAGACACAGATTTAGCCTTTCAACAATTCAGGGTTTTTAAAAACCAGTTGAAGTTGTTGGGTAGTTCCCCCCTTCATCTCATGACAACAGCGCCCCTCTGTAGGGAAGATTCCGGAAGGGAGTAATTGCAGCCGCCCCACTTCGATGATGTGATCAGTCCCCTCATCCACACAGCACATGGAAAATTCCCTGATACTTATCATTTTAACTTAATTTGATTTTTTTTTCAAAATATGTGTATTGCTATTGAATTGACACGCACATGGTCTGATCTCCTCGTAGCTTTGGTGGTAGGAAAGTGATTCACCTCTTTCCTCAAGAACCAAAGTACAGCCTAAAAACCTGTTTATGACAAACTTAACTGTTTACCCTTTTTAAAGACCCTTTCTCTCGCATTTTTGAGATGGGGGGAGAACCTGGCTGAGGTCACTTAAATTTGACTAACCCAGACAGCATTTGACAGAAAACCTGTACACAGACTTTGTGCCTTAACACATTTTGATGTTGCTGAATCTTTGTTGTAGCTTAGATCTTATTGTATACGGAGATGTTAAGTAAAAAGGGGGTTGAAAGAGGAATGACTGCATAGTATTTTTTGTATCCAGCGATGTTGATTGACACTGAATTTAATTGACTGTCTTGTGTTTTCGTCTTTGCAGCAAACGTGGATTTGATGTGCGCTCATTTGGTACGGGGTCTCACGTGAAGCTACCTGGCCCTGCCCCGGATAAGCCAAATGTGTATGACTTCAAAACAACTTATGTACAGATGTACAACGACTTAGTCCGAAAGGACAAGGAACTGTATCCCCCTTTTACTTTTTACCAAACTCTCTTTCGGAGTATGCATTCACAGTACACATGAACACAGATTAGTAAACATTGCTCTTGTCTAGATAAACTGTGTAGATGTTGATCTTTGCCGAGAGTTAATGGGAGTGTGAAGGCACTGCAAGTGGAAGAGCGATGATGGGTTAAGTATGTGCAGATATTTCAAATGTATTGCAGGTCAAAGTTTTGTTCTCAAACCTCTACAACACTCAAGGACAGAAAAAGTTCAACATATGAGCGGTGGAGCAGTAAGTGCCATTTTTGTAAACACAATGTTTAGTATTTTTTAATACGACCATTAAAATACAAACTGTATTTGCTTCTAAAGGTCTAGTTTAAATTTTTTAGTGTGTTTTGATAAGGTTGTCATGTGACTGCTGTTGTTCTTTGTTAACTAAGTTCTTCTACCTTTCATTTTGTTTTCAGCTTAACATATACCAGAGGATGTAAGATCACTTTTGTTAATTTTTTTTTTACGTATCTCGCATATTGGAAATAAGTACTGAAATACTCAACCAGCAGGAATGTATGGGGGGAAAAAACAACCACGGATGAACTGCGATAGCATAGAAAAACAGTGGTCACCTGAAGAAAACTGGAAAAATTTGCATTAATGAAAGTTGATTTAAAAGAACACATCGAAGTCCTAGACATGGTTTGAATTAAGCCACAAAAGTCTGACTTAATTAAGTTTCTGAAACTGCAATATTGAACTGCATGTTTATACTTCTCAATACAAAAGGTACTTCAGAGCTTCAAAGGGTGTTGAATATGTTTTTGAACAACTGGTGATGTACCCATGGGCCACCTGATGGGTTATCATAAATAGCCTGATGCATTATTACATTTTACTGATATGTGGCAGGGAACAAAATTACATAAGGTGGATTTGCACAGGATTTGTTTCGATATGTCTGAGCTGGCTATGACACTTGGGCTGCTTCAGAGTCAATGATAACAGCGGTACTAATTGCCTTTGTTTATTTAATTTAATTTTTCGTCAAATTTCAATATTTTTAAAAATGAATGTCCACATGTTGAAGTGGCGTAATGATGAAATAGTTTAATTGTAGGATGAAATCTTGAAGTTCGTTAATTTTTCTCTGGTCAGTGCAGATTTGTACTTTAAATAATTCAAACAGATTTTGTTTTATTCCAAATCGGCCTATTTAGTATAATATGAAAAAGTATGTGTGGGGGCAATGCACTTTACAGAAAAGTAATTATTAAATTTGATATAACTGATAAACCTTTTCAACCCGTGATCTATCTGCAAATCTCTCAATAGTTTATGAGTATAGTACCTGTGCATAAATAATTTGCATGTTCCTTTTTAAAATATAGTTATTACATATAATCACCTCAGTGTAGTTAAATATCAATATTTAAAGGGACAGCACAGTTAAATATAGCTGATTGTCACTTTTATAGCTTGTAATGATTTGTTTGTGTGTCAAGGGAGTATCTGACAGTATACAAATATCAGATTTAAAGGACAAAAAAATCAGCCCTTGTGAGAAATGTGGGCCCATGAACTGTGTTTAAAATGTATGTTATTTTTTATTGGTTGGACACCCCCCGGCTTAAGTTTAAAACTTTGAGATTAATGCTCTACCGGATGCCTCTGAATGTGTGTTTTGTTAGAAGGCCACGTTTGATTGATAGTCATGTCTGACACCACCAGAGGGTGCTACAGTTTCTCTAACACTAAGACTCACTGCTGCCACCCAAGTTTTCACCTTTCCACATCGTCTTACTTATGTAGACACAAATCTTTTTGTGTCAGAGAAAATATTTGCTTATCTGTGTTCAGTTTGTTGAATATGCTCTATTAATAGTCATTAGTGTGTTGTATTTGTACCGTCCAATCTGTTGCCTGCTCCTGTTGTGTTCCTTGACCTCCCCACTCTTCAGATACACACAGAACGGCATCCTGCACATGTTAGACCGCAACAAGCGCATCAAATCAAAGCCAGAGCGCTTCCAGAGCTGTAAGGACAAGTTTGATCTGGTGATCACCTGTGAAGAGAGAGTCTATGACCAAGTGGTGGAGGGTAAGAAGTCTTAGAAGAATTATCTAATTTTTGGAGTCAAATATATGTACATTTTAATATTTGTGTTTACCAGAACACTACATTGATAATAACCATGTTTATTTTTACTTACACTCTCTGGTCACACTTTTTCTTGCATCTTTTCCATCCAGATCTGAATTCAAGAGAGCAGGAGACGCTGCAGCCGGTGCATGTAATCAATGTAGACATTCAGGACAACCATGAGGAAGCCACGCTGGGCGCCTTCCTCATCTGTGAACTGTGTCAATGTGTGAGTGTCTCCAGACTCTCTAAAGGGCAGAGTAAAACAAACTGTCATTTTGTGAAGTTTAGATTAACAACGGAAATAGATGTAGCTCTTCAGTTTACCAAATAGATCAAAATGGTCCTAAAGGTCTATAATCATCAAGTATATATCTGAATCAAAAAGCTAAGGACACCCATGAAAATACAGCCAACCTATGCAGTAATGATTTATGGATAGTGCAATGTTAATTATTACAGTTTATTGGTGCCAATAATCAGTGTACGGTAGGTGTTTGACGTTCTTTCTGCTTCTACCCTGCAGATCCAGGGCACTGATGACATGGAAAATGAAATCGATGAGCTCCTACAAGAGTTTGAGGACAAGAGCAACAGGCCTTTTCTTCACACTGTCTGCTTCTACTGATACACAACTGACATTTGCGGAAAAAAAAAACAGACCTAGATCAGAAGCAGTCAAATATAAGTGTATGAACACACAAACAGACTTACACACACACTCCTCTTAAGCCAGGACAAACAAGTTGTGTGCTTGCAGAGACACAAGCTCACTATCTCTCTCGCTCTCTCTCTCTCTCACACACACACACACACACACACACATATAAACACACACACGCATAGCTTTGGGTCAGGACCTAACAAATGGCTGCTGTCAGACATATGGGTGATGATGGGTTTTACCTCTATCCAGAGGGTGAACTCACTCTTTTCGCTCTGCCTTTATTTCTCTGGAACAAGGTCAGGCCAAGCTCTTCTCACACCCACAGCCCAGTGAAATCATTTAACCATGTCTCCTCAGGGAGAGCCATAGCACCCGCACTCCTAATTCAGCAACTCTTTTCAAAGTTTCTTTGATTTTGTTTAGTAGAGCAAATTGATGCTGGTGAATTTTTTTTTTTCAGAATATTATTGAATTGTAATTAATTTAGGCAAATATGTCATATTTTTATTCCTGATTTGGAACAGTGTAAATGTGTTTTATTTGGTTTGACAGAGAGGAGAATAATTCAACTGAATGCGTGTTTCTGTGCGACTATGTGATGTAGTTTAGTTAGAATTAAGTTAAAATGGGTGGGCTAACAATGAATAACCAAACTTAGACCTCTCTGAGGTTCTGCAATGTGTTTTCAAAATCGTGTTGATTCATATTTAAACTTGGATATGCTGTTTTCAGGGCATAGTATTTTTTCTTTTGTAAATGTTGAAAGAATTGAAGCATTGTAATTATTTGCAAACTGCAAGCTCAGCTCAGAGTGCCTGATATTTCTGTATGTACATACAAATCCACTATAAAAAGAAACATCTTCAGGAAACATGTTATTGGTCTTTCTTTGATCATCATTGCTCATACTCACTCATTGTGTCTTTTAAAAGCTCTAGGACTTCTTTGTCCATTCGATCATTGGTTTCCAACATGTTTTTTTAAGTTGTTTTATTTCTTTGGTATAAACTTTTAAACTCTTTTTCAAATGCATACTTTTTTCACCTGTCAGGGGGGGACGTGTAGGGCTTCACTACACCTGGCCACAAGTATAAGGACTAAATTCACATTGATGTCGTCATAACACACAGATGTAAACAAGATCATTTGCAACAAGATTGAAAATGTTTCTATCCTGACTTGATGCCTGAAATCGGGTGAGGGTGGGTGTTAACCCAGCAGCTGAAGAAACAGCCCTGATTTCACAATCTCATCATCAAAATGTCAGTCGGATGAGATGTTTTCACAGGGGATACTGAAGCATATAGAGGACAAGATAAGCAAATGCTGCTTTTTCCACAGTGGGTGTCAAAATGAACAGAAACTGAAAGTTCCTTAACGCAGGAGATGTTCACTATACCCAAATTTAGCATTAAATTAAAGAAGCTAATCCCACTTTACCTGGATGAAAGAGTCCACAACTTTTATTTTGTCATGATGCGATCAACCAAGGTGTACCTCTGGTCCTAGTCTTGAGGCAGTCATAGTTTTGTCTCTAACTAGTGTATCTGCATATATTTCAAGATGTTGTGCATCCCTGCAAAACAACAGAATGAGTGTAAACATAACTGTCTTGATAATATAGCATGCCAAAAAAACTGGTCTCTAATGGTCAACTTACCCCGTGTATGGGATAAGTTGACCATAGGAACGGGGTAAGTTGAGCTGTATCCCTACGACCCCCCACTCTCCACCCAAGCCCTCCCTCACCTTCTCTCTCTCTAAATAACAGTCACTTCTTCACATTCATGTGTATTTTTATCTATTATATGTTATTCAACTGGTACAATAATACTTTTTATTATTATTGCATATAACTGCTGAAAAGCTGTTGTGTAAAAAAATAATTTTAACATGAGAATGCCTTTAAGTGATTCAGAACATTCACAGCTGTATTTTTGAAAAGAAAAAGTAAAACATTTCAACAATCTGAACTGAAACTCTGATCCTCCCTGAGCCACTGGCCCAACTTACCCCAGAACTACTATTATGACTTTATTAGTCCTCTAAGCTAAAATGGTGGACTTTTATTTTAGGTTTTTGACCTCATGTTGCAGCTCATAGATACCACAATTAATGTATGAAACAACTTAAATGTTTTTTTTTTTTTTATCTGAACACAATTTTAATAAAACTTATGACAGATTAAATTCACTTTCAAGAGTAAAAAATGTTTTTTTTATTTTTATTTTTATTAATGTCTCACCCCTTCACCCATGTGCTTCTAACCTTCACAGACTCCATGAATTGATGCCCATCTCCTAAATATTTGGTCACATGATCAATTTCTTTTACCGTTCTCAAGCAACAGGGGGTGGCTCAACTTACCCTTTGGCTCAACTTACCCCACTCTCCCCTAATATGGAGCTTGAACCCAGGATCCTTTCCATGACAGGCAGCAGCCCTCACTGCTTCACTACACATTAGCCTGTCAGTGCTTGTTTTTTAAAAGTCCTTATTTTGACAGTGGAAGTTTAAATTCATGGTTTTAAAAAAACAAAAAGCTACATCACAGAGAAAGTCATATGCATCAAGAAATGCCATGATGGTAGTCAAGAATGTTGTCGTGGTTACCACAACAGGTTACTCTTGACAGCGAACATAGTTAATTTAAGATTAATCCATGACTGGTAAAATAAACCTGCCAACCTTCACCAGTAGAGTTGAACAGCGGTGGTCTTGTTTCGTCTAAACTGACAGAAAATTTTGGTTTCTGGAGGCAGGGTACTGTGGGATTTGTCATCAATGCTTACTTATTGAATCACTTAATTCTGAGGAAAAAAGTATTGAATAATGAAAAACAAACACAAAAAAAAACACTTCAACACACCACAAGTAATTTGTTGCACCACATCTGGCTTTTATAACATTTTGCAGTCTCTGAGGTATGGAGTTAATGAGTAACAAACAGTACTCTTCATCAATCTGACTCCAACTTTCTTTGGCTGCTGTTGCCAGATCAGCTTTGCAGGTTGGAGTCTTGTCATGGACCATTTTCTTTAACTTCCACCACAGATCTTCAATTGGATTGAGATCTGGACTATTTGCAGGCCGTGACATTGACCTTATGAATCTTTCTTCAAGGAATGTTATCACAGTTTTTGTTCTTTGGCAAGATGCATTATCATCTTGAAAAATGACTTTCTCATCCCCAAACATCCTTTCAATTGATGGGAAAGTGTCAACGTAAACTTGTGCATTTATTGAAGATGTAATGACAGCCATCTCCCCAGTGCCTTTACCTGACATACAACCCCATATCATCAAAGACTGTGGAAATTTGCATGTTTTCTTCAGGCAGTCATCTTCATAAAACTCACTGGAACGACACCAAACAAAAGTTTCAGCATCATCACCTTGCAGATTCATAATTCATCAATGAAATGATGTTAATCAAGTCATTCACAGTCCATGTTTGCTTTTCCATAGCCCATTGTAACCTTGACCTTTTCTGTTTAGGTGTTAATAATGGCTTTCATTTAGCTTTTCTGTATGTAATCCCCTTTCCTTTAGGCGATTTCTCACAGTTCGGTCACAGACATTGACTCCAGTTTCCTCATGTTTATTCCTCATTTATTTTGCTGTGCATCCTCTGTTTTCAAGACATATCGCTTTAAGTTTTATGTTTTGACGCTCTGATGTCTTCTTTAGTCTACCAGTATGCTTGCCTTTAACAACTTTCCCATGTTGTATGTACTTGGTCCAGATTTTAGACACAGCTGACTGTGAACAACCAACATCTTTCGCAACATTGCATGATTTACCCTCTTTAAGGGGTTTGATAATCCTCTCCATTGTTTCAATTGACATCTCTCATGTCAGAGCCATGATTCATGTCAATCCATTTGGTGCAACAGCTCTCCAAGGTGTAATTACTCATTTTTAACTGCAGACTAACAAGCAGCTCTTATCTGATGCAGGTGTTAGTTTTGGGAAAGAAAATTCACAGGATATTTTTTTCCCTCAGACTCAGACTGAGTGATTCTATAATGTTTTTCCTTTTGCTTGGTCTCAAAAAGTAACTGTAACTGACTACCACAATATATTTTCTTGATTTCTTTTAGTGTTTCTTAAAGTCAGAAAGTTGCCATTTGAAATGACTTTATTTTCATGTCATGTCTGTGATCTCCTTTTTTTCTACAAAATTAAACAACTGAATGAACATCCTTTAAGACAGGTGATTCCCTAATTTTTGCCAGGGGTTGTATAATATTGAGGTTCAGTGGTTAAACTTGCAGGGCAGTAATGCTCCCCCCTCTGATCTAAGCCCCTCTCTCCTGTTTGCGCTTCCACCGTTATGTATTGCACGTTATCCCTCCTGTCTTTTGGACCCTTATCTTTGAAATCAAACGTCTAATGTCTCTTACTGGTACAGCGACACATAAATTAGGCTTTACAAGGTTAAACAATGAGATGTTACACCACTGACTGCTCAAAATGTAGCTCTGAATACATTTCAGTTTTAATCTGGCTTTGATTATTTCAGTGTATAGCACTACTATTAAAGCCACTGGTGCAATCATATCAGAGACTTTGCTCCAAATCCTTGTAAGAAACATCAGGAGTAAAATTCATACAAAAACATCCATTTAATTATTGCAGTGGACACTCCACTGCATGCAACACTTACATACTGTTATTACACACTGTCTGGTTTCCATGTTAAGTACATTTCTATGATCATACAATGTATATTAGAATGATATCTCCTCGGATGCTCTGTTTTGAAAAGTTAAATTATTTCTTCCAACCTGCTTACTGATTTACATCTTCTGTCATGGACCGGTCAACAGACTTTAAGACATACACTGACAGACAAATTAAAGTTTAACTATTTTTTTTTCAGGCTGACCAATTTACAAATCAAACTGGTGTTCCATCCTTTGGAGGAGAAGATAGAGTTTTGTCTTCTTTTTCCTCTGAAGTGGAAGCAGCAGGCTTGTCTAAACTCTCCACCGTTGTTGCAGTGTCTTCTGTTGGAAGAGCTTCTTTACAGTCCTGACCACCTTTGCCTTCTGCTGAAGGGTTGATGTCTGAAGGAGAAGGGGCTATACTTTCATCTTCTTGTTTTGTCTCCAGGACCGGAGCAATCACCTCCTCTGCCTGAGGTGCCTCACTGAGGGGCAGATTAAAACCCATTTTACCCCCACTTGGCACCCCAGTTGGGGGAGGAGTAAGGGTCTTACCCTGAGCCTCCTCGTCCCCGTGCAGCCAGTCCATTTTCTGAAGGTGCTGCTTGACAGCATCATCAACTCGGGCATCAATCATCGCCTCCGTCAGAACACCATCTTCAGATGAATATGCTGCCGCCTACAAGAGGACATGAGCCAAACCACGTTAAGTGCTTTTGCATGCACACACATTAACTGAGTTACTTGATAAATGTGTAAACAGCATAAATCAGATAAAAGCTATTATGAGATTATCAAAATTCAGACAAACATACCTAGGTTTTGCCCAATAAATCATCAAATCAGTGCATGTGTACGGTAATAGTGCATGAGAATATAGTGGGTAAGAAATAAAAATCATGGCCAACTGCAGCAACAACAACAATGCTGAAAAATGCTCAACAAAATGAAGGAAATATTAATCTGTAGAGCTGTGCACACATCCACTTATCATTAATAATCTGCATTATAATCTGCATTGGTATGTTATTTGAATAACAACTATTAAAACCTTAACTTCTGTTAACTTCAGTTTTCTGGTACATTTTCATTTTTGCCTTTCCTGAATCCAGGAACACAGCACTGTTGGAGCACACAGAACCTCTCTATGCTTGGATGGGGAGTATGTTTTGGTTGTAAAAGACTTGGCTCTAGGAGCCAGCTCCTGTCAGCCAAAATGGTGCTATGATGGGCTGTTTGGGAGCTGAAGGAGCAAATTCTTGCTGAGCCAATTGATCTCAATCACCAAAAAGAGCCTGAACTCCAGTCACCAGCAGCATTAAGGCTAAGACTCTTTACCCAAGAAGATCCCAACTCCACCGGGGAGAAAAACTGGAACAGCATAATGTTGGTTACGCTTCAGCAGAACTGTTTGATTAACTGTTGTAGAAGCTGACATCTTCATTCACAGATCAATGTTAATTAATGTGATTACAATTTTGATTACTGTCCCGACCTAAATGAGAGGAAACTGTAATAGTGAAATATTCAAGCCCTTTGCATCCTCTTGGAAAGAAATCAACATGTAACAGCTTATTACTGTTACCTGATTCTTCCCAGTAATCCAATTATGAACGCAATCATGTAAACACACTCAACGCTGACTTTAGAACATTTTGAAGCTTATTGGAGTTCAATTTGTGAAATCCAAATGAATGCTGAAGCTTGTTTGTTTTAAGTTTGTCACTCTGTGTTACCTGCCAGGCCACACCAAGCTTTGAGATCTCTCGCCCTGACATGCCCTCTGTCCGCTTTGCTATCTCAGAGCACTTCTTCCCATAGTCGAACTGTGCAAGCTTCATCCTCCTATTTAAAGACACACACACATAAAACAGACAGATGAGGGGAAACAAAAGCAAAGAAATTTTTTCCCAAGTCTTGTTTGTGTAGCCACAGTTTAGACTGAATCTTCACCTTCCCTTATCTAAGTGAATTTCATCCTAATCCTGGTCTAACACAGAGCCTTTCAGCTGCCGCATCATGTATTTATGCAAGCCCCAATAATAAACTAAACCCCAATTGGACATGCGTTCTCCTGGACTGAACTTAATAATTCGTTTGAGCATGCATCCTTCCTGCTTAGTAAATTGGCTTCATGCCCTGTTTAACAGCTGTGGGGATTGTACTCACTGCCTCCCTCCAGTGGCAGGTTCCAGCACATATTTGTCAAAGTACAAGCGCACCAGCCTCTCTCTCTCCTCAGGGCCCGGCAAAGCAAAATTCACTATTTCATCTATACGGTCATTTATGGCCCAGTCAAACTGCTCTGGTTGGTTACTGGCCAACACCATCATGAACCTGTATGAGGAAAAAAAACAAATCAAGAGACATGCTGAGATGAAGCCAAGTTTATCATAGCCAGATGACCCATTAAAGGTTTAGGTAAGAGCTCTTTACTTGTTGCTCTGTTCTCCCGTGCGATACAAGAACGCGTTCAAAGTCGCTCTGAGGTCTTCACTGATCTTCTCCTATAAAAGAAGCAATAATATTAGATAAACAGGGACAAAAGCCTCTGAGACTACTGGAAAATAAAAATACATGCAGACTTACAGTGGCTCTCTTGCGAAGGAATGCATCAGCTTCATCGACAAAAAGCAGGAGTCTGCAACAGGATGAAACATATTTACTTTATATGTTGACAGTTTATATGTGGCGAACCCTACAGTCTTCCTTAAATCAAGACACCCACCCGCGTCGATTTGTGTTGGCCCAGTCAAACACTTTGTGCATGGCTGTCACGCCATCACGGCCCATGGGTGCCACATCCCCACCAGTCATAATTGCATAATCCATCCCAGAATGCATTGCCAACTTCTACATGGTTAAAAAGGAGACAAACCTCACGGTTAAGACAAATGATCACTTTTCATGTGTTTAAACCTGTTTTGTTTAGCCTGCAGCTTTACCTTAGCAAAGAGAGTTTTGCCTGTGCCTGGGGGGCCATACATTAGGATGTTCCTGTACAGGCCGTTGTTCTGCCTTGTGTTTCTTGTTGCTATGGCAATGTCACGCACACGCTCCTCCAGAGAAGGCTAAGAGGTAGAAAGTACATGCTCTTATACTTATCCTTAAACCAAGAACACAACTTTCATACAGATTTTCTACTTACACTGAGCACAACTCCCTCGAGGGCATCCTGAGGTTTGCTCTTCAGCCGTTTAACTGTCTGAGGAAGAGGAGGGACCAAAACAGTACGATTAGCATACAGAGACCTGCAGTTAACAAAAACAGAGCGGTTCAGATGCAACTCAGTTACCTTGACTGGATGCTTTATCGCCTCTCCCACAGTAAATCGGGATGTTTCCCGCACCAGTGAGGGCTTCCCAAGCCTAGCCTCGATGTAACGTCCCGCCACCGCTGTTGCGTTTCGGGCAGAGTAAACCCCCACAGCTAAAAGGGTCAGTCCTGCCACCTGGTGGAGTAATTCAACAGTAGTTTAACACCACATCCTTTTACTGTTCACGGGCAGGATCATGAGAAAACACTTATCTAAAACCCATCTCATGATCACCACTAAACAGTTGCATAGCTGTAGTCAGTAAATGTTTGTGTTTGTTTTCTCTGTTTCAGGGCTAGTGCTGACTAATCTAACTGTGGATTGAAAGAGATGTCTCACCGTTGCTGTGACTTTGTCCCAGTCAGACACAAAGGCTCTGAATCCTTCTCCAAACACAGCACCTGCAGTCCTAAAAACAAACACCAGTCAACTGTCACAACGCCTTCTGGCCGTTTACAAGATGTATCTGATTATATGGCGAGATAACATGCAAAAGTGACCATCCCTGTTTGAAACATTAGCACTGTGTCAGCTGTTCCAAGGTATTTGTGAAATGATTAGTTCAAATTACTAGAGAGCCAAAGAGAGCTCTAAGAATTATTTCAGTTGTCATGTGCCAAAAAGTCATCTACTATTTACAGAAGAAGGAAAGGGGCAAGCTCAAAGAAGCTGTCCACTTTAGGTCTGTTCTGTTTTTTAAACCTCACTATCATAACAGCTGTTTGTGAATCTTACTTTATAGACTCCAAGACAGTCTGTCTGTGCTCTGCAGCCTTCAGACGGATCTGCTCACGGATAATATCAGCATTCTCTCTCTCCACACTGGCCCGTGCTTTAGACTCTGCCTGTATACGCAGGAGTTCGTTCTTGTGCCTCAGCTCCATCTCGTGCTCTATTGTGGCTGTAAAAACCAGCAACAGGACAAAAATATGAGCAAACAACTGTGATGTCTCCCAGTCATAATCTTGTCACCAGCTGTACATCTTCTTACCTTTTCTCATGGCCTCCTGTTTCTGTACAGACTCCTCCTGTTTGCGGAGGTTCTCCTCATTCAGGGCTTGCTGTTGAAAATATTCATGGTCACCATTTGCTGCCAAGTCTATTTTCTACGTATTTTATTGATACTAAATATGTTCAAAATTCCTCCACCTGTTGCCGCAGTTGGTCCTCATATCTTTGTCTGGCAAGCTTGTCTTGATACTGAGCTCTCTGCAAAGGGACAGAAAATTCACTCTCTGTAACAAGCCTCTGACTGGTCATCACCTTTGAAAACCTTAGAAAGAAAGAATTTCCCTCCTCACCGCTTGATGCTGCTTGGTCTCCTCATTCAGTGTCTTCCTCCTTTCCTCTCCTTGGACTCGTATCTGATCACCTTTGAGTTGTTCCACTGCTGCTTCATATTCCTGTTAAAGGAGAAGATGTAAAAAAAATCTTAAACTCATTGGTCAAAACTCTAGTGATCACCTGAGTCTACTGCAACTACATTATCAGCTTGGTTGGCAAAGACAGTCTCAGGCACAATATCTAATTTACATGCTTGCATTTGGTGACAATGGAAATATGTTTAATTTTCCCCTGACTTCTCCATATCCAGCTTTTTGTAAAAAAGGTGACTAAAATTTTGTATATTTTATCGAGATACAATACAACACAATTTTAAACGTATATGGCTCCTCAGACCACTGTGTATTGCTCTCCTGCGGTCGTTACTAAAGTTGGTATAACTAGAGAAGCAAGCAGTCAGCAACATTCATCTCTCAAGGGGGTGTCTAACCCGGTGTCACAGTGTGTTTGACTCTAAATTAATTTTGTGCCGGAATATCCCTTTAAAGCACAAATGCTAAGCATACACACTCATTATGATATTTGTGTACATAGAAGATGAGCAGTATCAAATTGTTTAAAACAGTAAGGTGGCAGTTCTGGTGTGATCCTGAAGCATTGTTACCTTGATTTTGCTCTGATGCTCCATCTGAGTGGACTGTTCCTGCATCCGAGCCAGATCCAGAGCCTCTTTGGCATGTCCTGCAACAAGGAGAGAGGAAAAGGAAAACACATGATGGCTATGTCACTTCTCACTTTACCATTCTACCTCAAAGTATTTGTGAAAAAAATAAAATCATATATAAGAGAAAGATCAAAGTAAACGGGGAACCACTGGAGGGGTATGTTAAACAAGAGGAGAGTGGATGGTGTAACCTCAAATGACCTTTGAACCCTAACTGAGTTTGAATGAAGGTGAGGGCAGGACAGTGCTGGTCCTCGGATCATTCGGTGAACTCATTAAGTTTATGCTAAATACATATATGTGCACTTCTGTTGTGAGTGAGGGCCTCTTTATCTAAAGTGCAGCAGCAGTCGGAGACCACCACAGAGGAACCAGAGGGAGCTGGATGCTGGAGAGTCTCCCCCCCTGCAGAACTGATGTCAGAACATAAATCCAGAGAAACCTCCTCACCTGCCCTCTCAGACACTTACTGGACTTGTCGAGCTCCTTGGCCGCCTGAGCAGCACGCTCCAGCCCGGTAGGATCGAAGTTGCTCCATTTGTCCTTGGGTTTATCTCCTCCGCCGCCGCCGGAGCCTCCGGCGGGCGGCGGCGGTGGTGGAGGCTGTGCCGGGAGACCGGGAGGCACTTCGGGCTGCCCCTTATTCAGGCCGAACAGCCACGACATTTTTATGAGGAATAAATAGAGTTGAGTTTAGCCGGGTCTGTGTGGAGTGAGGGGCCGCAGCGGCAACTCAACTGTCACTACACTTCCTCCACACGCGTGTCACGCCGCAGTCTATCGCGCGTGCGCAGTAGTAAGGCTAAACAACAGCCATGTCGATTGGCTGGTAAAACAGGACTTCCTCCCGTTGGGCAAAGCCATTGGTTATTATATCAGTTAACGTCAAATAGAGGTCATCCATGTGATTCATGTAGTCCAACCCTGAATTACTATGGTAGCCGCAGAGGTTCATATAAAAGCAGAACTCACGAGAAAGGGCATGGTTTATTCGGGGTTACATCAGATTGCACATGGATTTGAAAGTCATTGGTAAACTGGTTGAAAATTAAAATTGATAAAGTTGCACACTTGAAATTGGAACAAGTGCTGTATGGAAATTACAACACGCCAAACAATTTTTTCAGAATTTACAATATAATAATAATTATGGGTAAATATCACATCCATAAAAGTAAATGGCAAAATAAAAATCCACCCCTTGCATTGTTTAAAACAGAACTTAAAGCTTATTTTGCTTCCTTGTCACCAATTAAAGACTCCAGTCTAGAGCTAGAAAACCTATGTGATGATGTCTCTAAATATGTACTGTTGTAACTCAATTAATCATTAAGTAATCTAATATTTACATTTGCTGTTTGTATGAATTCCAAAGGCAGGCCTTGCTATAAGTTTTGTGATTTTTTTTTCTTTTCTACATTATGTTGCTCTCATGTACACTACAGGCCAAAAGTTTGGAAGCAAGGCCATTACAGGCTGAACAGTTGGTAGTAACTTCAAGTTTTTGTTCACACTGCTTTTTTTTAAGTCCAGCATGAATTTTATGTATTTTGGGATGTATTTACTCCATGATCAGATGTTGCTTTCGTGGAAATGCACCATTTTACTCCATTTACCTTTAGATATACATTGATGTTAACAGACCATTGCTAAATATATGTCAGCGAAAGATAATAAGTGCGTAGTTTTAGGGTTGAAAACATTTGAAAGAGTCACAACTTCAGTGCAAAAGCTAAAAAACAAATCACAGTTGGATTATTCACTTTAAATTTTTGGCTTTTGAGAGTCTGCATACAAAAATCCTAATAAATCTCAACTGCGTTCAAACTACCGCAGAAATGGCTAGAAAGAAGCAGCTGAGTAAAGAAATAAAAGTAAAGATTTGTACATTGAGGAAAGAAGGATACACAGAAAGAGAAATTTGCAAAACGCCTAAAGGTGTTTAACAAAGGAATCCACTACACTCTGAAGAGACTAGAGGAACCTGGAAGTTATGATGATAGAAAAAGACCTGGACGAAAGAGAGTTACTACAAAAGCAGAGGATAAACATAGCATTGTCACCAGTAAGAGAGATCGGCAAAAGACAGCACCGCAAATAAGGGAGGAAATCAACACGACAAGGTCGAAACCCATATCTCTGACAACGGTGAAATGACGTTTGAGAAAGGCTGGTCTGAAGGGTTGTGTATCTGCAAAAAAACACTACTTTGTCCATAGAACAAGAAAAAGAGATATGAGTGGGCAAAAGCTCACAAAAATTGGACTTATGATTTGCTTTGAAGTAAAGGGTATCATGAAGAAGGAACAGTACCACTCCATCCTTCAGCACCATGCTGTTCCATCTGGACTCAGACTTGTGGCTCATACGTTTGTTTTGCAGCAAGACAATGACCCTAAGCACTCTGCCATGCTCTGTCAGGGTTACCTAGACAAAAAAGAAGAGGAAGATGTTCTTCAAAAGATGGTTTGACCCCCTCAGTCTCCAGACCTGTCTCCAATTGAGCTTGTGCGGGATGAATTGGATCTATCGGTCAGAAAAACACGTCCCACGAATCAGCAGTCTCTTTTTAATGAACTTAAGAAAGCTTGGAATGCAATCCCTGGAACATACCTTAGAAAACTTGTGGAACGAATGCCTGGTATATGCCAAGCTGTTGTTAAAGCCAGAGGAGGTTACTTTAAAGAAAGCAAAGTCTAAGCAACAATAAGTCAAATACCTAATAATTATAGTCAAAATGTTTTCTGAAAAGTTACTTTTTACACAATAGTCATGTTTATTGTGTTGCAAGGTATATATATGAAACTATGATCTTTTTTTGTATGTCAAATCTGATCTTGCTTCCAAACTTTTGGCCTGTAGTGTATATTATCACTGTTGTTCTGTAAAAGTATAATGTACATCTGAATTGCACTTGTCTCCCATTGAGAGTTTTGTAAGTTGTTGAATATGTTAATAAAAAAAAAAAGAAAGTCATTGGTCATCGACATCACTATAACTTTTGTTACTAGTGTTACTGATCAAGACAAGACACTTACTGGACATCTTAGAATGATTTTAAGACACCAGTGCATATCTGTAAAAATGGCAAGGAAAGTTAAGTCAAGTATAAAATGACAAAATAAATAAACGATTAAATTGACCACTTTAAAGGCCATGAGTTTTGGGGGAAATTGAGATTTCCACAATACTTGTAAGTTTATTTTCAGTTTTATTTTCCATGACTACTTGAGCCTCTACAGGTAAGAGACTTATTAGAAATACTCATAACTTTGATTTTGCTTTTATATAGCTGGATTTGTGTCAGTATTTTATCCACAATGGTCATAAAAATGAAGATGTTTAGTCCAATAATAATCTTTTAGAGATAATGTCATCTTGTTCTGAAACACTACGGTGGCCGAGAACCACAACTGCTGCAAATAAAAAAAGAATGTAAAAAAGAGAAGTCACAACAGAAGTTCCTGATGCAAAAAAAGAATGAAAGAAACCGAAGCCTGCTGCAAAAAAAAAAGCCACAACTGAAGTTAACGACACACAAAAAAAGTGGTGATAGTAAAAAAAGTTACTTTCTGCGAAAATGAAAGCTTGCAAATAGCTGCACTGTTTATTTTTTTTATTGCAGTGGGCTTCAGTTCCTTTTATTTATCAGTAACTTCTGTTGTGACTTTTTTTTTTTGCATTCTTTTTTATTTGCAGCAGTGGCAGTTCTCAGCCACCGTAAAATACAAATAAAGTAAAATTTTTAGGAAATAAATGTTAAATTGCCAGAATGTTGTAAAACAGTTATTCATGGTCCCTAGCAACCACTGTTTGTTTGAATATTCACTCCCTCATATTCTAAATATTACATTACAGAGCCTTGTGTGCATTATTGTGACTATTAAGGTATTTCTGGAGGAAGAGAAATAAGAACATGAATGAAGGTACTTCCATCTAATATAAAATGATAAACACCTCTGACAGTCATAGCCTGAAAATATCTTTAAAAAAAAGACAGGCGGACAATGTGTATATCAAAATGTTTAATGAAATAAACATTCAAAGGAAAACCACAACAAATTATGGAATAAATATTTACAGTGAGACCAAAGTCGTCAAAAAAAAACAAAAGTTGAGGTTTCACTTCTTACACCTTCTTAGAATTCAAAGTCATAATCCAAAACCATGTTGAGCACAGTTGGGAGTAGTTTAAATCACGTAATAAACCACAACACTGCTTGTCATAAGGAGAGCATATATGAAGTAGTGGTAATTCTGTTGGTATAACAGCAGCTAGGACACATGATGGAGAGCTTGGATGGAAAAAAGGAAATAGAACAGAAACTTTTGAATGTGGACAAGTAGTTGCCATGACATCAAAGTTTGCCATGTTGGATTATGTTTATGTCCTTATAAACTACCCTTAAGATGTCTTTTCACTTGAAATGGGTTTCACTCGAGACAAAAGTGTTAAGTTGGGAACAATTATCCCTCTCATGCTTTGTCAGTAAGGACCTCATTGGCAGGAGCAGTCATAGAAATGTGTCAAACTGCAGCAAGGGCACAGGGTTTCATTTTGACTCTAGAGACTGTCCATCAAGGTCAATGATCAAGGCATGGAGGCCTCCCACTGGGTCTATGAGTGAGGTGATACACTCCCTCCACTTCAGGGACATTGCTCTTTTGAGATTTTATCTCCCCAGTAAGAGGGAAAAAAAGTCTTTTTGAAAAGACAGACACCACTGTGGAGCAAACCAATGCAAAGAAAGTGAATGAATTTCTCTAACTCTTTTGTGAACATTCCTATAATCCAAGACCACTGCTCTCAACACCACATGACAAGTAGGAAATGTGTTACTTCATAAATTCCTTCACTGTAGAACGACAACACGTGATAAAACACCTGGAGGCTCTTTGCCATCACCTAACGCTGCACGCAAGCCCTCCTGTTGCCGAGCCCGCGCCAGCTTTGCAAGTGAGAGAAATGAACGAGGTTCTGTGATGGCGAGATCGCAGATAACACGCCGGTTGAGCTGAACGCTGGTCTGGAGGGAGAAAAAAAGTTTTTAATTCAGAACAAATGAATTGTCAGCAACAAAACAAACAAACAAAAACATAGAGAGTGATGATTCTAACCTTGGTGAGGTTGTGCATGAGGGCGGGATACTTCATGCCATGTTCTCGTGATGCTGCGGCAATGCGTGTAATCCACAGCTAAAACAATGAGAACATAAGACAAATGAAATAAAGAACATTAAATACCACTCATGTCACTGAATGATACATCTATCCATCTGAAGCTAGGATTTAGAAGGACATGTAAATTGAGTTAAGATGGTACACAGATTGGTGCAGTGTCACCCACCCCTTTTTGGGTATATGACCTCCTAAAATGACTATAATTTGTCTCATCTAAACAATCATTTGGCTTTTGTTTGGACGGGACTTTAAATGAATGTCTTCTTCTCAAATAGTCAAATTTGAAGCTTTTTTAAATCAAATAGAAAAGAAAGAAGTCAGTAGGAAGTCATGAGTTATAAAGATAAATGACTAAAAAGTTCCCACTCTGCTTCAACACATTGTTTCTTTTGGCGTCACTGTATCATTCATATTACACCCTTTTTAAAGCTGAATTTGTGTCTTTTTCACAGGCAGAAACACTGTCAGTTCTTTTTGATTTGATTGATTAGACAAAGACTCTGTATTTCATGTGAATCAGTAATTATTTAATATTCACTCATATTTAATCTTATATTTGTTTCTTACCGTTCTCATGTTCCGTTTCTTGAACCTCCGAGCTTTGGTTGCGTACACAAAAGCTCTCCTGACTGCCAGCACAGCCAGACTGTAACACCGGTTCTTTCTGCCCCTGAAGTGCTGCAGGAGGAACAGACAGGAAACTGAATGGCGGATTATTACCGTTATAAATATTAGATTTTAAATTAAGTTAACTATGAAATTGAGCTATTTTGCAGTAGACCACCTCACAGTCCACCACGTTAAACAACTGTTCTCTTCTCTATTCCAGGAAATAGTCGCAGCCATTTACCCGTGCATGTTTCAGAACTTCTTGGACTTTCCAGTATCTGTCCGGTCCACGATTCCTGATCCAACAAGACAGCGACAGAAATACCATGACTGTTTCTCGGTTTGCTACCACACAGCAGTTCCGTCGGTAACACAAGTGATATACCGAAAGAAGTGACCTTAAACCGGCTCCACCTGCGCTGAGACTCGATGTTGCGCGACTTCAGATCCACACGCTGTGCGATGACAGACACAGGGTTCGTTTGATTTAGATACCCGGACGTTCCTTTTATCCACTCAGCCAAGGTTTTTGGCCATGGAAAGGCTAGAGGACCTCTAACGATTGGTTTAAAACAAAAATGTCCGTTTACAAGCACTGATAACAAAAAAAGGGCAAAAGGGAGCAAGAGAAACAAAATTTAACTTCTCTTAAGTGCGAGTTTCCATCGCAAGTGTTGCGCTAGGTTACACTGTGTATCTGACTAGGGCCTGACCGATTCATCGGCGAGCTGATTAAATCGGCCAATTGTAGCCCGTTTGAGACTAATCGGTAATCGGCCAAAACTCGCCGATATTTGCCGATATTATCTGAAATAAAATGCTGAGAATAAGATTCGGTTTCACTTTGAAAATGTTCCACCATTTGAAAAGTTCCCCGACTTATTCTGTAGATGGCGCAGCGACCTCATGACAATCTTCATCCACTAACTACCTCACAGCACAGCAGAGTGTCGGATCTGAATCAGGCATTCAGGGACACATGGAGAAAAGTGGTTCACCTCAACGGTAAATAAACCAGTTTGTGAAGTCAACAAGTTTCAGTTCAACCCACTTCACGATGTTCCCCGCCGTGCTGGTCTCGGTCACGAGAAAATGCTTTTCTGGTCTGAGTTTGATTCATGATAAATACGTGGAATATTACTGAGATGATCAGTTGGTCTTCCTGTCAGCGTAAAGAGCAGTAGTCTACAGTATATCTACAGTATATATATATATATATATTTTTATAACCCCCCCCCCCCCACACACACACACAAAAAAAAAAAAAAAAAAAAAATCGGTATCGGCATCAGCCCCCCAAAAAATCCATATCGGACGGGCCCTATATCTGACTCTTAAACAGCATCTCCCTTTTCTAATCTAATCTAACCTAACCCCGCTCCACCTTTCACCCCGATTTGATATAAATGAAAGATGAAACAATGCACATTAATACAGTTCAGTTTTTATAATCAGGGGTAAGGATGTCAGCACGACACCGGCAAACGGCATTCAACAAAACATTCGCCCCCAAACAGAGCTGTGACGCAGTTACGGTGGTGGATTCTGGGATAGCGAGCGGTGGAGGTCAGAGAAACTCCAAAATGTCGGTTGCTGGTCTCACGTCCTTGAGTCGCAGTGGTATCTTGGCTTTTCGCTCGTCTGCGGGACTAGTGGTATGTTAACAACCGTGTAAATAAGTAATAAGCAGTCACTGTCAGCTAGACTCTCTGTCGGGTGGCGTTTGTTGTTTAACTGAGATTAACGGCACAGCTTTAAGCGTCACTGTTTGACAGCAGAGGGCTGCGTCTATGTGCTGAAGTCCTCGTGACGTAGACCAGATTTTAGCTCGTTAATAGTGAGCTCTAACTGTGAACTATTATATTTCCGAACCAACAAACACATATTTAGAACATGTACATAAAGTCGATCAATTACTGAGTATATTTAATCATAAACGTGGACGATGAAAACCCATAATCCACACTCGGTTTGACAGTAAACGAGCCCTGTAAATACCGCTAATGTTAATCAGTCAATATGTAGAGTCATTCAGAGAAAATAAAAACTAAAAGACACAATACAAATGTGTTTAAAGAAAACCTGCAGGTTTAGAACCATGGTTCATCATTTCATGTCACTGACATGTTTCCCGAGGGTTATTTGAGGTCACAGGGGTGATGTTATGGTTTTTTTTAAAAAGCTGTTTAGTTTTCAAACCTCACAGACGTCCTTTTAAAGTTGCTTTGTTATTACCAGATACAGGGAGAAAGAAGGGCATGAACAACCGGGTGTTTTCACAAATTATTAATGTACGTATTCAATGTATGCTGTATTTTTTTTCTTAATATAACTTAATTTTGTTGGAGACTGACTGATATTATTGAGTAAAGGAGAAGGGGTAGGTTTTTAAAAAACGCATAATGCTTAATCCTACTCCTTTTTGGTTGAGTTGAGTTCTCATTATTCTAATTATTAGTTTTTTTTTCTACTTTTTTGCTTTGATTATTGTTATTGTTGTTTTGAATATTCTCACTGGTTATGCTTGTTTGTTTGCACGCACGTGTTCGAAAAATGAAATAAAATGAAATGAAAAATGAAATGATTAGTGGTCAATATTATAATGACCGCTATGTGATATGCTGATATGTGATAATGAAGTTGTGTGATTAAGATATGAAGCTGTTTTGCACACCTCCTCTAATGTTCTCAAAGTGAATCCAAATAGCTCTGTAAAGATTTTTAATTGTAGTTTAAATATTTTTAACTCAGTTATAGCACTTACATGATTATATGCCATCTGTAAGAAATTCTAAAGTTCGCCAACACTGAAGCTGGGCACAGAACAGGAGGATAAGGTTCACATGGATTTGACCACAATCACAAACACAGTATGGGTGCTCAGTGGTTATTAGGTGGGCACAGTTTTAACTTTACCTAAATGATTCAACACCAGATCCCAGACAGAAAATAATTTGTCTCTCGACCCTCTGAGAGTTTATTTGATCTTCTCTAATTGTATGAATTGTGTCAGGTCACTAAACCATACACTTTGGGTGGGTTTTTTGATTTCCAATGTAATAAATTTCTTCTTTGTTTTTAAAACTTTTCTGGACAGGATGTTTAAGCAGTCTTGAGACCAAATTCTTGTGTCTTTCTCCTCAGGCAGTGCGTTATGCCCAAACAGCTGCAGCTCCTGCAGCTCAACCAAGAATAAAGAAGTTCCAGGTGTACAGATGGGACCCAGACACTCCAGGGGACAAACCCCGCATGCAGACCTACGAGATTGACCTCAACACGTAGGTGTCAGTTTTACTCTCCGCCATGAGTAAGACTAGTCTGTGATTCATTGTATGGACTCTATTGTTGTGTTTTGCTTTGAGCGATATTTTGGAGGTATTTGTCTTTTATTAAAGCATAGTTTAAGAGAGAAAAAAAAAACAGCAAAAAAGAGGGTGGGGTCACCTGCATTACAGGTTAAGGCTGGGAGTCAAACCAGCAGCTGATAGGGCATCTATTCTACCAGTTGAGCTATACCTGTGTCCTGCATCAGCACTAAATTATGTAGAAAATATGGCTGTTACAAGTGCACTGCTGTAAATTGATCATGGTCACTTGCACTGATGGAGGTTTATTGCTTTGCTAATTTCAAAGCAGTTCCCAAACGTAGAGAAACAGAAGCATTGTTCTGAAATTGATGAAAGCCATAGTATATCTGACTTCAGCTAGTCCTTTTACTTTTGTCAAAATGTCACTACAGCCTCAGAAGTCTTAATATTAACAAACCTGCGCAATCAAATATCTGCTCCAGTTCAGTCAATAGTTTTCTGTTCTGTCTTACAACCTAAATACTTAACAATCTTCTAAAATGTTCAACACAGGAGAAAGCAGACCCTGACATTTGTGACTTACTGACTCGTTTTGTTTGATTTTTTTTACACAGTTGTGGCCCGATGGTCCTTGATGCCCTGATCAAGATAAAAAATGAAATGGACTCCACTCTGACTTTCCGCCGCTCCTGCAGAGAGGGTCAGTTACATGGAAGTTCTCATAATTGGTTGCTTTGAATCCAAAGAGATAAGATAAGATACTCCTTTATTAGTCCCACAAGGAGAAATTCCCAATCTAGATGTTTGTACTAATAATCAAATGTAGACCACAACTTTAGTCAGCTCTTGAGATGATTTGGTCTAACCAATACTTTAATGTTTTCTCATCTTAGAGATCCTATTGAATTTTTTTTACTATTTTGTTTGAATGCAGGTATTTGTGGTTCCTGTGCAATGAACATTAATGGAGGAAACACACTAGCATGTCTCAACAAGATCGACACCAACATTAGCAAGCCATCTAAGATTTATCCTCTACCTCATATGTATGTGGTCAAGGACCTCGTACCCGTGAGTACATCCGCATTACACTCTGAACTGAATTCATGTGACTTCATTGATCCCATCATTTTTCATCTGTATGTTAAACAAGGATGTCCGACACGCCTCTATGAAATACAGTTTTGTTCTTTTTCTTTCAAATTCTCAGAAGTAAAATTGTACTTCCAGTATGACTGCAAAATGTTATGCATAGCTGATGATATGGATAACAATCTCACAAGTGTCCTTGTCGTCTTTGTGGTATATAACTGATACTTGTTGAGCTAAGTTGTGTTCAAAACAAGTTGAACTTTTATACTTGTATACCAACTGGATCTTTGTGCATCTATTTTCATAGGACATGAGTAACTTTTACGCCCAGTACAAGTCAATTGAACCCTACTTGAAGAAAAAGGATGAGTCAAAGGAGGGAAAGGAGCAATACCTGCAGACTGTGGAGGACAGACAAAAACTGGTACACCAAAGACTTCAGTTTTGTTAAAGAATGAAGATCTCCATCACTTTAAGTCGCATAAAATAAGCTCTACTTTTTGCTTTTCTTCTAGGATGGGCTGTATGAATGCATCCTGTGCGCCTGCTGCAGCACGAGCTGTCCCAGCTACTGGTGGAATGGCGACAAATACCTCGGGCCTGCTGTACTGATGCAGGTGTGTGTTGGAGAACTTTGCATGTATAAATCGCCTGTTACATCTGCATGATAGTGAAAAATTAATGGTCTGCTTTATATTTACTTTCAGGCGTACCGCTGGATGATTGACTCAAGAGACGAGTTCACAGAGGAGCGTCTGTCCAAGCTGCAGGATCCTTTCTCCCTCTACCGCTGCCACACTATCATGAACTGCACCAAGACCTGCCCCAAGGTAACATGATGGTGTACATCTGAAGCCAGAGTTGTTGTTAAGTCACCAAACTTGTAGCCTTGAGTCCTCGGTGTTCAGGTTTGAATCACCAGACAGAATGCTAGTCAAGTCCAAGTTAAGTCCTTAGTACCTGTACCTGAGTCAGAGTTGAGTCTGTATGATTAATATTCTTAGCCCCAAACCCCAAAACATCTTTTTCTGTATTTTCATCAAGAGTTTCTGAAGCATCGTTTCCTGTTTGTCTTTTAGGGTCTGAACCCAGGCAAAGCGATAGCTGAGATCAAGAAGATGATGGCCACATATAAAGAGAAGAAGGCTGCTGCCATCTGAGCCTCTGTTATCCATTTGTACAATTTTTCCCTCCATGAATAAATTATATATTGATTAAGTATTGCTTATGAAGGTCTAAAGGGCCAGTACACCTTCCAGCTCCACCACCACCACATGAGTCAACTGTAATGGAAAAAAGTGGGTGTGTGTGGTTGGAAGACTTGGTGTAACATAAACGCACATGTAAAGTATGAATGCAGGAGTGTGTGTCTGAGTCTTACATGTACCATAACAGAGATATTTAGCTCCAGTTCTACTGTGTGTGTGTTTGTGCACTAAGGGAGACATGATGCTGCATAGTAAAGAAAGAGCAAGGTGTCCTCTTGTGTGTTCATACTTCTTTTTAGCTTGTTGCTTTCCGACTCAGCAGCAAAGTCTTGGACATAAAGTGTATATTTTTTTCAGATCCTCCAACACACCAACAGCACTCTTTGTTTTGATGCTAAATAAATAATTGAAATACACACAGCTGTTTTTCCTGTCTTTTTATTTTGATGTTATTTTGTACCGGTGTTTACTCAGGGCTTACATGTGTAGTGATGTAGTTAGTGTCCTTTAGATGTCACTATTGTGCAGACAGTCATCTTAATGACCGTGCCTGGCACATAAGAGAGGACCAAATATTTTCAGCCAAGACTTCTTTACATGAAGATATACAAAGGAGGTGAAGCACTCTTACCATGTTTGGAAATTTTTTTTTCTCTAGATTTATTTTCGGGCGTTTTGTATTTGTTTTGATAGGATAGATCAGGAAAGCGCGAATGGGGAGTGACAGATGAGCCACAGGTTGTAAGAATCGGACCGGCCGCTGGGGGCATACCCTTTAAATATGGGCCACCCCAGAGAATCAATTGTTGAGAAAGGCTGGATCAAAAAGTATAACATCTTTTCACCAATTATGGATATAAAAATAAACTTTATATTGGTGATGAAATATTTTTGATCTGTTTGTATATATCTGTCTGTTGTAGGGTTGTTTCTTTTTTACATGCTCCAAATGGTCCATTTACATCAGAAAATGGCTACTAGGCCTGATTTGTATGTAGGCTAAACATATTGACAAGTTTACAGACACATTTATATGTACATTACAGTTTATAAGGCGGTGCATGCGTTAATGTGTGTAGATGAACAGTTAATCCTATACTGTACTGTAGCCTACTTATATATTATATATACTATACATATTTCGGCATAAAATTAAGTTAGGGTCAAACACACCGTAACACCAAGTTAGACACCAATGTTGCTGACCGCTTGCTTCTCTAGTTATACCAACTTTAGTAATGACCGCACAATAGCAATACACAGCGGTCTCAGGAACCATGCACAAACCTCAACCAAGACGCAACTCTATTCCCACAAATAATGCTGAGAACAGCACCTAACTTCATCAACAGTACATATAGAGTCCCAGCCACAGCACTAGCCACCAAACATCTTTTTAGCTTTGCCTGATTTCTTTAACAAAGAGACTAAACACAACTCACCTACTCTCTTCCAGCAGCCGCTTGTTTGTAGCGAGACCTCGGGCCAGTCCATTACGGACTACAGCGGTGTGACGCAGCTCAAGGAATAACATTTATGCGGTGTGCGGTGTGACGCAGCTCAAGGAAGAACATTTATGATCATTTCTTCACGGAAATGCAATCAGACTGAGACGCTAAGGAAGAAGAACTACCGTGTCTGCAGTGCAAAATAATTAACATGGTGATTATGACTTTAAGGAAATTATTTAAAAAAAGATCATAAATGTTCTTCCTTGAGCTGCGTCACCCCACTGCAGTCCATAATGAACTGGCCTGAGGTCTCGCTACAAACAAGCGGCTGCAGGAAGAGAGTAGGTGAGTTGTGTTTAGTCTCTTTGCTAAAGAAATTAGGCAAAGTTAAAAAGATGTTTGGTGGCTAGTACTATGGCTGGGACCCTATATGTACTGTAGATGAAGTTAGGTGCTGTTCTGAGCATTATTTGTGGCTATAGAGTGGCGTTTTGGTTGAGGTTTGTTTGTGGCTCCTTAGACCGCTGTGAATTGCTATCGTGCGGTTGTTACTAAAGTTGGTGTAACTAGAGAAACGGTCGGCAACATCCATCTCTCGAGGGGGTGTCTAACTCAGTGTTACAGTGGGTTTGACTTTAAATTAATTTTACACTGAAATATCCCTTTAAGTTACCCCCAAGATGAAGTGCATACATAATAATTTCATGAAAAAAACAGATCTCTTACATGTGTTAGCAGACAAATTGTGAATTTAGTTAGGTTAGGCAAAATGGGGGCCGATGGGTTCAAAATCCTTGGCAGCACCCCTGGTCATCACACACATAACTTAAGCTGACTCTGATCATATTTACAGATAGACTAAAGCAGCCAATGAATGACAAGCAATGACAAAAAGTTAATATTATACTGAATAGGAATTTTATTTTTGCTCTTCATAAGCTTGAAACTCACTTCGAAGTGGCAAGCGAAAAGCAAAGGCAGAGTTTTTTTGTTTGTTGGTTTGTTTTTGAGAGGGAAATACTACATGTACACATTCATAAATAACTTAATGGCCGCTTGCCAGAAACAATCGATCAAATGTCACAGGCAAACTGGGGTGGGTGGTGAAACTATAGAAACTTAAACCCTGTACATTTCGATCAACACCATCAGGTAAAACGTCAACTTAGATACTAACTGGTCCAAAAACCTACAAAACTGACATGAGCCTGGCTAAACATTCACTTTATTGCCGACATTACAATAGGCTCTATCTTCAAAATAAAATTACATTTTCATGATGGTCATAGTAGTCCATTTAGTGTGAGATTCAGCATTACAGTAAAGCTAACAAAAGCTTTAAACAAGCAGGCCAAGGTTGAAAGTAAAAAAGGCTATCTCCTCCACATACAAGCCAGAGTACTCGAAAAAACTGCTAATAGATTCTCAGGTGTTACGCTTTTATTGAGGAGTCATGAGAAATTTGGATTTTTTATTTTTTACAAATAAAATGTTAGAAATATGAAGGCTGACAGGAAAAGCCAGAGAAAGGGATTGTATGTGGAGATAATGTCTTGTCTCCAGAGAAAAAAATGAGTTGATTTATCAACTATTAAGCTTTACAAACGTAATAAAAATACAACTTCTCTGATTTAGCTACTTCCTCATGAACCGGGACTTTATTTTGAAAGCTCGACTTTAATCTGACTTCGTCTTCACTCTCCAGAAGAAACAGCCTTCCTCACCCCTGCTACTACACTTTCCGATGAATTAAACATACCCTAGTGTAATAGGGTTTACTCCATGCTCGGTCAGCAGTGCGCGCTCCCGCGGCACACAGCCCCGCCGCTGCTCACCGTGAACGCGCCAGTCCATGCGGGTTGAATAAAGAAGGAAAAGCAGGAAAAAAAAAAATCAGCTGATGCTCAAAACACTTAAAGCTGATCCTGGACGAAGAGCAGGTGCCAGTTTGATTCCTACACCTGAAGCCGGTCCGGGTCTCCGGGGGTCCAGTACTCTGGCTCACCTCAGCCGCTCTTTGTCAGCTGGTTCACGCACAGAGACCCGGGCGGGTTTGAGGGTTTTTCTCTGAATGAATCAGCTCAAACGCAAAGGGACTCGTTTTGTTTAGGCACTGCTGACTCCGGAGTGTGTTCGAGTCGGTTTTTCTGTGATTCATCGCCTTTGGGACTTCTCTCCTGCTGGATTTAATCACCTTTTGTTCGGAGGAAGAGGAGGCTAGTGCTGCGGTTCACGGTGAAGTCACACTGACGGATAGTCACCGGATCAGCTCTCTCTCTCATTACGGTTTTTATCAGCTGGTTAACGCTGGATTATCCTCACTGACCTGTGGGACTGCAGAAAAAGCTCTGATGGGATTACCTCATCTTAAATCAATACTGAGATTTTTTATTTTTATAATCATTGACTCTGGGGATCGGTTTTAGGAATTGCTCCTGGTTTCCTCACGCTTTTGTGTGGACCTGGTCTTTCAGTCCCGGACTCTCTTAGTCTGTCTCAGCTGGTACCGGTGTGTTCAGGAGCACCATGCCGGAGTGTGTGTCCGTTTCCGAGTTCTTGCAGGAGGTTCAGGAGGACTGGAGCTCCCCGACCACCTCCTCCTTCACCTCCAAGATGATCAGCTGCAGGAACACCGTCTACCTGCTGGAGGAGGTCAGTATGAGCAAGGTGTTGGAATGGGCTTTAAATGATGGTTTTAACTGCTGGGCCCCTAAATAAATGAAGTGAACCTGTCTTAGTCTCTGCAAGCAGGGCCAGACTGAATGGCTGAGGGGCCCAGGGGCAAATAGGGCCCCTTCACCCCCCCCCCCCCCCCCCACACACACACACACACACACACACACACACACACACTTTTCTGCAGTGGAAAGTGGACTTTTCTACATATATATATAATAAAATTATAAAGTAAAATCAGTGAATAACTCAAACTAAACCAGCTATTTGATTTGGTAATGTTAGCATTTAAGCCACTTACTTTTTCTGACTTTTCTGACAGCTGCTCTCTGTCTGGGCAGTCACAGCCTCAGCCAACCTGTCAACGTCTGATCTTTACAGCCATCTATCATATGTGTACAGGGACGTGAATCAGGTTTATCCACCATATCTTGAGTGTGATCAAAACCAGATAAAGGTTCCTCACAGGACTACTCAAGTCCATGTAAGCACACTCAGTGATTATGAATAAACATTTCAACAGCATTTCAGCTTCCCACACAAGAAAAGCAGCCCTGTGAATGTCTCTGATTTTTCAGAAACACTTCAAATTTGGTTCCTATTCAGATTCTCTGTATCTTTGCAGCTTCTCCAGGATGTTCAACAACAAAATCTAGAGAGCAGAAAATAGACATGTAACACTGCCGATGTTTGGCTGCTCTCTCTTTGCCCCTTTCACCTCAGTCATCCCTCCTTTTGTGATTAAAGCTTTGGCAGAGTGTGGGCTGGACCACTTCAGTTCAACCAGTGAGCTAAGCTCAGTTTAGCTTATACACCCTTACTGAAACCATTTTTATAAGGTGTGACAGCAGGTCATCAAACCTGCACATATTTAAGGAATGAAATCTGACACCCTGTACTCTTTTTTTAAGGTTTATACACTTAAACATAAGCAACACAAAGGTCACAAAGATTTGGTTGCATTTGCATATTTCTGAGACTTTTTCCCTTTCATGTCCCGATTTCTTCGTATAAATCTCAGTGATGGGGGTCATTTCCCAAGTTCATAGAGTTAATTAAATTCGTTCCCCCACAGACTTGGAGTAGGATATATTGTTTATGACTTTGATGGGGTTTTTTTTCCACTTACACCCGATTTCATTATCAGAGCAAAGTTGTCACATCTGTTCCCTTGGAGGGCTCCTCTTTGAGTAAGTCTGGCTTCTCCAGAGTCCAGGTTTGAGTCTAACATGTCCCGATTCCCCTGTAAAACTATCTGATCTGAATCTGTCCTAAATCAGTTTCCACCATCCTTTGTTCTTCATGGATTTTATTGGTGGGAAGTTGTTCTACTTTTCTGTGTCATTTTTGTTTGGGGGGCCCCTTAAAACCAGCTGGCAGAGACCCCCCCCCCCCCCCCCCCCCCCACACACACACACACACACACACACTCACATGTACACACACGCTGTAGGTCAGCAGAGTCGTTGACCTGAAACCTTCAGACCCCTCAGTATCCTGTAACAGACCCACTGTCCCTTCCATCCCCTTCTCCTTCTATCCCCAAAGGAGCTAGCATATGTTACCATGGCAGCAGAAGAATCCTCATTAGTATTCAGTGTTATTCTTATTTTATGGTAACGAGGGAGGAGCCAGAGAGATGAGGATGATTAATGAGGATTAGAGATAATCTGGGACCTGAGAGCTCTGATCTGACAGTCTTCATCCAGAAAAGCCTGTTTGTGCACAGGTTATCCATGAAGCTGAGCTCTTATACATGTTCAAGCAATCATCTTATCTGAGGCTTATGCTACACAGCAAGTTCAACAAACAGGATTTTATTTAAGCAACCTTTTCCAGAGAGACTATCAAAGCAATCAGTCAACTAGTGAGTCTGACCAAAGGGGGATAAAGCTCCAGACGACCAATAACATGAAAGTCCACTCAGCGCAAAGGATGTATTCAAGAAGTAACAAGCCTGATCGAAATAAAAAAGTAGAAAAGACACACTGTTTCAGCTTCCAGAAAGCTTTATGAATGTGCAAATTAAAGCTCATAATATCAGTAGACCATCATCAGCATAAAAGCAGATTTCAGCATATTAGTGTTTGTTTTCTTGATATTTATGATTTCATCTCGATGAAGCTGTGGTTGTATTTGTCTTAAATTGTAATTGTGGTGGTGTCAAACAGATCCAAGGAAAGAAATACATTTTTAAAATGTACTGTACATGTCAAAGCTGTAAGAATAATGCCTTTAATTAAAATTCATATATCTAAAGCACCCTTCAAAACTAAGGGTTTCACGAAGGCAGCAAAATAAAAAACAGCAGGTCATAAAATCACAAGTTAGAGATTTAGACATTAAAATATTGTAAAAAGCATGATGACTAAATTTGACTTAATACTTGAATAATATTCAAACTGTGAATATCAGTTTATCACTTAAATCCAATAGTCATTTCTGAGTCATCACTCTTTCACTGGCTCATCTAAAACTATTTTTAATTTCAGAGCATTTCCTGTTTTTATTTATTTTGCCTTTACTAAGAGAGGACAGGACAGTGGACAGAGTGGGAAGCTAAGAGAGGGAGTTTGGGTGGCATGTGGGAAGGGAGCCTCAGGCTGTAGGCGAACCAGGACTGACCGCTCGAGGCTTAGTCCCCCATATATGAAGCATGTGTGTAGAGTGCTAGGCCAACAGTTCCTCATGCAAAGAAATTTTGACTAATTTCCTGATCTGGAAGCCAAATTAATCCAGTTAAATTTACTTTATGATCTCAACTATCAAATAAATGCTGCACTGCTGCACCAATGTGGTCAGAAAAAGAGCTGTCACAACATATCAGCACTGACTAAAACCGTCTCTGAAACAAATTAAATATTGATAATGTGCTGTTAGAAAAAGGACTGGGTTCATAGTCACAGTTCTTTGCACTGATGCCACATGTCTTTAAACAGAATAGAAGAAGAAGAAGCCACTGTAGCCGCCTTCTGAGAGATGATTCCGATGATTCTTAAAAACGTATATTTAAGATTTATTTAAACACATTAAGAAATATGCAAAAGTGCCAACCAATGCAAATACGCAGTGAAGTTAATCTGAGATATTTTTGATGCATCACTTATATCCAGGGATTCCCAGTTAATGCAACAGCATTTGCACTTTTGAGGAGTTCCATTTGAGTTGCATTCTTTGTTGCATGATGGTCTTGGACAAAGAAAACTATTTCTTCAACAACAGTGACGTACAAAAGAAGAGAACTTCCTTTAGATCTGAGTCCTACACAGTTTTCACCAGTTCAGCAAAGCTACAGTTCTACAGTTTAGTTTAATCCACAGATCTGTGACAATTCACACTCAGAAAAGAGCTGCACAGCTTTTGTGAAGTGGTTTCCTGCTGACATCAGTCTGACTGGCTTCACCTGTATGCTTTGCTCATACTGTAGGTGGCAGCTCAAACCAAAACTCATTTCTTTTGATTTCTCAGCTGAACCGCAGGGCGATTAAGTGAATCGTACCCTTAGACAACACAGCAGTGTTTCTGATTTCCATCACAACAGCAGCAGGAATCAAGAAGCGGCTGCAGCAGAGTAACTAGAGTCAATTTTAGACCTTAATTACTGTGTCAGTGCTGACAGCTCTCAGTCTTCTATATCTTGACTCCTTACTTTAACTTTTACCTTATAAATTTAACAAATCACAGAGTTTAGAGAAAGAATCACTCCACTTTCTTTGATAATATCAGTAAGAAACACAAAGAATTTCTCTCATAGAAGTGTTTTGTCAGCCTCTCCTTTCACTCGCCTCCCACGATCAGCTCAATAAGCTCCAGGATCAATTGCATCGATTGGTCACTGGGTGGGGGATTTATGCAAGTTTCTCCTTTTTGCCTTTGGCTGTAAACAAAGCAGGTTAGGTGTGCTAAATTTGTTACCATGACGACTTTAGTGACAAATATACCACAGAGTTAACGCTGAAGTTATGTGAGCCCATCTTTCTGTTTCAGGCCTCCGATCGAGACTCAAATTTATTCAACACAAAGTAAATAGTAAAAGCATAAAGGCATTCAGGCCTTTAAAAGCAACATGACTTCAATTCAAGGATTATGTAAAACAGCAATGTATCTCCTTCAGGGCTGTTTATAAAAGACCTGTAAAGGTTTTCAAAGGAGTAAGAGCATTTTAGGTAATGCTTTTCTGCAGCTTTACTTAGCGCTGAGGACACATGAAAGAAAAGAGCGGTTCTGCAAACTCTGAGTGCACCCTCGGAGACATTTCTGCAAAGTATGTAGATGAAGCGCCACAGAGTGACTGTGGAGACTCATAAAAGAGCTGAAGATATAGCACAGAGAAAATGTCCGTCATGGTCCTAAATGGCAACATATGTGTTTTTTCTCTAAAGACCAGCGATTCACATTTCTACATACAAAACAACATTGCCTTTACACATGACAGGAGATACAACAGTAACTGTGTTTTGTTTGTAAGCTGATTGTAATTTAATGTTTGTAGGATTTGACCCCAGAGAGCGTCTTGGTGGTAACTAATGGGGGTCCAAATGAATCAAAATAGGAAAAAAAAAGTAATGAGTGCCGACAGTAGTGATGTTCAGAAGTAATGAATCAAGGTGTGTGTTGAATATTGTTAATATTACAAGCATGCCACTAAGGAGTGCAGCAAAGAGTTGGAGCTGGGAATCAAACAAGAACAAGGCCCTGTTGATAAAATGCAACTAAATAAAAACTGTTCAAATTATACGAACCCAAAAATGTGAAAAATGCTCTGTATAATGTTTAGAAAAGCAGAACCTGTTGGTTTAGTCATTTATTGATCTAAAAGATAAAGCAGAGACAATATAAGAAAAGTTTTAATAATTTATGAGAAATAATATAAACTGATTATAGATTTGATCAGCAGAACTGAACAAAAAAGTTGGAAAGGGGCAACAAAATACTGAAAAACTTGTTCAATGTAAAGAAAAAAACAAACACCTCAGGGAACATTGAACCACCACTATTTGGATAACTTTAGCAGGCTGGTTATGTGAGTGGGTATAGAAATGACATTTAGAGAGGCTGAGTCTCTCAGAATTGAAGATGGAAGAAGTTTACCGCTCTAAGAAAGACTGCAAGGGCAAACAGTTCAACAACTGTAGAATTCAGAGGGCATTATTTCATCGAAAGAGTCAGAATCTGAAGCAAATATCTGAACACATAAGAAACAAGGACTAAAACTAACAGTGAGTAGTTAGGATTTCCAGGTAAAGACAGACAGAAAACTAAGGAGGATCTGGGTTTGAAGGAATCTGTCACGCTGTCCTGACTAACTGGAGCGCTTGAATAAAATAGAGCTGTTGCTTTTGTTTGTAGGTGCACCTGTGTTTTTCCAACTGTGTCAACTCAGTCTGCTGCCTTTTGAAAAACACAGACTGTTTTATACAAAGAAAAAGCTGAAGACATGTGCAGTGAAATCTCTGAGGACACTCAGATGTATTTTTCATGATTACTCTGCTCTGTTGATCAACAAGATATAAAGCGAGCCTGAGATTAAAGCGGCAGCAGACCGCCTTCAGCGCTTCATTCAGAGATTCAGACTGATAACACTCACACAGGACTGTAGCCGCCTGTTGTCTGAGAACAAAAGCTCGTCCTCTGTGTGTGTGTTGAGTCAGCAGGTGAATTAGTACACACACACACACACACACACACACACACACACACACACACACACACACACACACACACACACACACACACACACACACACACACACACAATCAGGATACTCACCCTCTGTGGTCTGTGTTTATTTCAGGTCCTGGACAGTGACCGGTTGGTGTTGCAGAAGATGAAGAAAGCTGCCAAAGCCAAATACACAGCCGGACAAGGTACACACTCTGATATGAACAAACTGAAGACACTGTAGAACTAACGCCAGTCTCTATGACTTCACACACACTACTCTAGCTTGGTAGTTTTTGGCCCTCCATCTTGGTTTTTCAGGGTCTGGCTTATTTATATCACATGGTAGGAACTGATCAGTCTAAGCCCCAGATTGCATTGGCTATAATAAAAATGAAAGATATGCCATCTACCAAACACTGAAGCCAAAATATTTGGAGCTCCCCCTGCTGACTGGCTGCAGTAAAGGTCATATAGAGCACCTCCCCCATGTTAACAGATTGGACATTGGTCAAACTATAAAACTACAATATGTTTTTCTAACATGGTTTCTGCCCTGAGAGTTTGATCTTTATGTCCAAGTTTCTTTTTAATCAGTTATTTGGTATCCATCTTTACGGTCTATGCTAAGACATAACTCTGTTGGACAACATCATGCATTTCTTGTAAAAAACTTCTGTTGACCGCAAACCAGACAATTTAGGGCCTTATTCAGGACCTGATTTGCCAACCACAGTGATGGGGGCATGGCCAGAGCTTGTATCAACCACAAATTAAAAAAGTTTATGATACTTAAGAATAAACAGACACCTTGAGTCCTGTGCTAACACTGTTTCCATTCACCAGACCATGTCTCTCACCTGGAGCAGTACATAAACTCAATGGAGAAGCTGTCGGTCAACTGTCACTCAAACGGAGAGAGTGAGGTTGGCTCGGCTTTCTGTCGACTGGCTGACTTTTCCAAAGAACTCCTGTCGCCCATGAAGAACCTGGTGAGTCATCAGCAATAGATAGTACCTCAACTGGAGAAACGTTCATTATGCACAAAGGTTCACCCAACCAATCAACAGCCCACAGATTCAGATTCAGAGAACACAAATTCAGTAGCTTTTGAAACAAGGTTTTAGTATAATCCGCAAGGCCTTTAATCACTAACTTTTATGTTTGTGTGTGAAGTTAAAGAGCATGCTGCACAACATCAACTTCTTCCTGGACTCTCTGGTGAAAGGAGACCTGCGGGAGGTGAAGGGGGTGAGGATCTGTTTTATTTTTTCATGCACATCAGCAAACAGATCAAAATATGTGTGTGAGTAAATTTGAGGTAGATGTTTAAGCTTTTCATCTTTCCTTGCAGGATCTGAAGAAGCCTTTTGAACGAGCTTGGAGGGACTATGAGAGCAGATTGTGAGTCAGTGCTGCATAAACAAAATGTGTCCATAAGTACAGAACTTTATTGAATTAACGTCTTCTTTCCTCTACAGACTGTTAGTGGATTTCAGGTTTCAGCTAATGTGTGTTTGTGTGTGTTTGGTGTACAGTAAGCAGGTGGAGAAAGAGAAGAGAGAGCTGGCTCGTCAGTACGGGATGGTGAGGAACGAGGTGAGCGGGGGAGAGATCGCAGAGGAGCTGGAGAAAGAGAGACGCTCCTTCCAACTGAGCATGTGCGAGGTCAGTGATTCATACATGTGATGCCGCCCTCTTATCTGACCTCCACCTGCTCATTCAGCTGCACTTCATTTGTTTGTTCCACCTTCTTTTTCATCCCTGTCCTCCCCCGTCTACTCTTCTCACTTGTTCAACTTCTTTCACTCTTCTTCCTCTTTAACTTCCCCCTCGTTTTCTCTTGTTTCTTCCTCCTCTTTTGCCCCCTGCTGCTCTCCAGAAACTTTGCTACATCGTCCTGACAAACCACATGTGCTTGCCTGTAAGTCCAATTAATAGATGTATTCGTCTCTCTCTCTCTCTGTCGCAGTATCTAATTAAAGTTAACGAGATAAAGACAAAGAGGGGAGTTGACCTGCTGCAGAACCTTATTAAACACTACCACAGCCACAACAAGTAAGAGCACATTTGCACACATTGATAGTGCATAAGCAGCAAACAGACACAGTTTTGGTCATTTATTATTGTCCTTGTGTGTTCAGCTTCCTGCAGGAGTGTGTGTCCACCACTCAGAGGCTGAAGCAGTACATGGAGGAGCTGAATGGAGTCCTGACAACAGTATGTCAACTATAAACAAAGATTTAAAAAAAAAAAAAAGAAAAAAAAAAACGGTTTTTCCTTTCAAATATGCAATTTAAATAAGTACCAAACAGATTTAAACTTGGAACATGTACAATAAATACAACTGCTGTGCACAAGATGAGGTAATGGCATCAGCATTTTTTGAACATTTTAAGAGTCATGTTTTGATTTCTTATGAAGTTGAAGCCTATTTCCTCTAATTCCAATCTTCTGAATTGTTTCATGTCTGGATTAGTAAGGTCATATTTCAAAAGCACTCAGACTTAGGTGAGCTGTTATGTGTCTGCAGGTGAAGCAGCGTCAGGAGGAGGAGAAGAGACATCTGGTGTCTCTCAGAGATCTGCTGAGACCTGTCGTCCACACAGAGCAGGTCAGCTACACAATCACTCAGAGAAACTTTGACACTGTGGTATTCTAAACAGGTTATTGATGTGAGTGTGTGTTCAGGTCTCCATTTGAAAAACTATAATAATTTTTCATCAAAATATTGTGACTTTTTTTTAGCTCAATTAAAAGCACAACAAGGGGGGGGGGGGCACTCACACAGAAGCCTAACGAGGTCACTGGTGAAAAATCAAAAGTGTAATATGGATACATTTTAATTTTATGTGTGTGTTTGTGTGTGTGTAGGACACTTTACCAAAGCAAGTGTACAGTATGCATCAGCTGCTGGGAGACAAACAGTACGGGACAGAAAGAGCGGGATTCCTCTACAAGAAGAGTGATGGGTACAGCACACCTTTACAAACACACTTAAAGCACTAGATGTCATCTCTAGAGATAAAAGTTTTGAATCTAAAACAGTTTGTGTGTGTTTCAGGTTGAGGAAAATGTGGCAGAAAAGGAAATGTTCAGTTCACAACTGTTACTTGACCATCGCACATGCAACTGTGAGTTTATAAAAATTTGTTTTGCACTTATAATGGGGACTTGAACATGTTTACACAACCGTATTTTAGGGACTCACTACAACTATGTTCAAAGAAAGTTACAAAGTTGCTCTTTGGCCATTTCATGCAAATTCAAACAGTGACTGCACTTTTGTGACCTCCTTACAATTTTGGCCAATCCTTTCAACATCTCTACAAATTTAACCTGTTACCATATTTCTGTACATGTAATTCATATGCTTGATATTGTAAAATTATCATCAGTCCAATTGTCAAACTTTGCTTTTCATGATAACGCAGTTTTGCAAAAATGATGTTTTATGCTACATAAGCACAGCACAAAACTCTACAACTTGCATTTTAACTTTTTCAAATAGCTGCTCAGGCAGTTTTGAAAGCAGTAATCACACAAAGGGCCAAATCCTGAAGAGACTGATTCTCATTGTTCAGATGTGCCTGCAGTTCTTTATAAAGACAAAATGATGCGAGCAAATACATTTTTCACATTGCATTGGAAAGTAATGCTTTGAGGCAAGACTAAATAAATTAGTTGGTAACGTTTGTGCTATATTTAGACCCAGACTTTTTAGCTTGTTAATACATGTGTTTTAGTTGAAAAACCTTTCTGATATCTGTAATGTCCTCCACCTCTCTGTCTTTTCCTTTCTGTCCCTCTCTCAGCCTAATAAACCTCCTACCAGACTCAACCTGCTCACCTGTCAGGTTAAACCCAGTGTGGAGGACAAGAAATGTTTTGACCTCATATCTCGTAAGTCACCGGCACACACCAAAGCTCAAATTCAAAAGAATCTTAAGCTTCTATGTTGCAGTCTTAACCTAAATTTTAATTCTGCATTCATTTGCAATTATGTTGGGTAAGTTTGGTTGTACTGTATGTACCAAAACCTCTAAGCCAGTCAGAATCCACTAGTTCTCCTAGCTGTGGTGTAATGCTGACCTAATCATTTATGTAAGCACATACTGTTACTTTGTCCTCCAGATAATCGTACCTACCACTTCTTAGCTGAGGATGAAGCTGAGTGTGTCGCGTAAGTATATACAAGCTGTTGATTGAGTCTGACAATATTTCCTTGTAGTGTGTTGTTTATTATGAATATGAATTAATAATGTAATTAAATGGGTATCTGTACATGCAGCTGGATCTCAGTGCTCAGTAACAGTAAGCAAGAAGCTCTGAACGTGGCTCTGGACGGGGGGAAGGGAGGGGGAGGAGGTGGGGAGAGCAGCGTGGAGGATCTGACTCGAGCCATCACTGATGACATTAGACGTATGCCGGGAAACAACAACTGCTGTGATTGTGGAGCCCCAGGTAAACAATCAATCAATACATGGAAATCCTTTATGCAACCACACGGCATACTATACATACAACAGATCAAAACAATTTAAACTGACATAAAAACATGACACAAACATACAAGTAGCAGCAATGAATGGATTTCTTGTTGATAATCTTGATGCTACTGTGTGTTTATGTGAACTTATTTTGCAAGCATTATGGGGACTTTGATATGTGTACACGACCACATTATGGGGACTTACTGTTACCATTCTTTCAGGAAGTTGTGAATTTGCTCTGACCCATCAGTAGGTTTTCATATAGAGGAAAAGAAAATTTGCATCTCACAAAACCAAAAGAAAATTAATCTGGCAATTTTAGAACTAAATGGTTTACTATTGGAATTAGCCCATAGCTTTTCAGTAGCAGCATAAACTGGATTAGCTTGATGTTGACTTGACTTAAAATTTATCTCTCTTTCTCTGTAGATCCTGGATGGCTCTCAACCAATCTGGGCATCCTCACTTGTATTGAATGTTCAGGGATCCACAGAGAGATGGGGACCCATGTCTCTAGAATCCAGTCCCTGAGTTTGGACAGCTTGGGGACATCTGATCTGTTGGTAGGTAGTGCCTGTTAGCTACCAAGCTAACTTTAAAGCTTGAGTGGAAACCATAACTTTAATTTCACCAAATAATATTCCTCTAGGCTTGTCTGGACACTTTTTGGTCCACCACAGCCTCCTCCTGCTCCGATTGTACCATTTCTCACACCCACTTTTTCTTCCTGTACTACTCATATTGTCCTCATCCATTTTAGACATCAACTTTCAGCTGACTTTTGCACTGTGATAGATTATAGAAGTGTGATATATGATACATCAAAACTGTAGATGAACTCTTTCATGTGGCTCTTTCTTTGTTCTCTAATGAAGTTCCTGGTTTTCATCTCTTGCCCAGTTGGCCCGGAATGTTGGTAACTCTGGTTTTAATGAAATATTGGAAGCAAATTTGCTGAGTCCGTCCATGAAGCCCTCCCAGCACAGCCACATGTAAGACAATGCTCATACAGGTGTACTATTTAAGTAAGAGTAGCATTCATTTCACTTTATTAGTTTAATTACACACAATTTGTGTGTGTGTGTGTGTGTGTGCGCATGTGTTTACAGGTCAGAGCGTAAAGACTTCATCCTCTCAAAGTATCAGGACATCCATTATGTGAGGCGCAGCCACAGCTCTACTGCTGCGCTTCGACTTGGCCTGCAGGAGGCGACAAAGAACTGTGACATCTACAGCCTGATCCAGCTATATGCTCAGAGGACAGAGCTGAGCCAGCCGCTGCATGCACACATACAGGTAAACACAAGTGCACACATGAGTGCAGGTACATGTGTAAGGGCTACCAGATATGAATACTTACATGTACAGGTGCTGACGGGTCTACAAAATAGATGCAAAAAAGCAAAGGTATACACAGATGTATACATCATTACTATTTTACATTGGGATTTTCACAAACATGAATTACCTTAATGTAAGTATACAGATAGAGGTAAATGCAAAAAGTGTATACAAGTGCATGCATAAGTGCGTCTTACACAAATTGTATAAACACAAGTATGCACAGAGAGTTTTTTAATTGTACAGATATAGTATAAACAAATGTTTTATCGAAGACATACAAAGCAGCATATTTATCAGTGAATGTGGTTATTTTTATCCACATATAACAGATATGGCACGAACAAGTTGACACAAAAAAGGCATGTTGGTACAAACACATATAGGTGCCCACAAGCACACACAAACGAAGGTATACACAAGCGAAGAAAACCTGTGGTTATACACTCATTAAAACATGTTCATACAAGTACACACATGTACAAATGCACTCATCATTAACCACACACATACAGACATACACATACTGGGAAACACAAACATCAAGGTACACACACATTCAAGTATACACAAACCGATTAATAGTTAAACACGTGTGTATACCTGTATATATGAGCACCCTAAGCAGAATGTACTCATAGGTATAGGCAAAGACATTTATAGACAATACATTTGAGCATACAAAAATAGTTAAAACGATCTTATACTTTAGGTTGACACATATACAGTTGTAGACACAGAAATAGATATACACTGACACAGTTCAGCAAGTGTCTATATATGTATTTGTATATGCAGATAAAAAATATGTACATATTCATATAGGTATACACAAGCAGGCACAGACATGCAGGCATACTGTACACATACTGGTAGACACACATCATTAAACCTTAAGGTGAACTCTCAGTTACTCAGCAGTTTGTTTCCATGCCAACAGGAGAAAGGTGAGACAGCGCTCCATCTAGCCGTCCTATTGGCTGACAGAACATCACTGCACATCCTGGACTTCCTCGCTCAGAACTGGTCAGCCTTCTCTAATGACATTTAATCTTGGTGTGTGTTACTGTGCACACCTGAGTTTACCTGTGTTCATGGTTTTCATTTAAAGCTCCAATGTGGACGTGCAGACCTCAGCAGGAAACACAGCACTGCACTACAGCTGTCTGCACAACAAGAGTGACTGTGTGAGACTGCTGCTGAGAGCCCGGGCCAACACACACATCAGTAATACACACAAATACACACACTCTCACACACAAACACACAAAAAAGTTGAGGTTATTCAGAGGAAATCTTCGTTTATATATATATTTTTTTTTTCAAAGATGATTTTTTGAATGTAGTTATGAATCTGATAGAGTGGCTTCCCCTAAGGATCAGTTTATGGACTCCTTCTACTTTTTTCTTTATCAGCTCCCTGTCGGTCACATTCTGAAGGAGAGCGATGTCAATTACCACCGCTATGCAGACGATACTCCGATATGTGTTTTCGCTCTCACACAAGTGGAGAGAAAACAAATATCAATTTGCTCTGCAACAAAGAAAAAAAAAATCAGCGTAAGCTAATACCTTGAGTTCAGGGATTTAAAGACCAAAGACCTGAACCAATTCCTTGTAGATTCTGATCTAAGCTTTGGTGGCCACATCAAATTATTCTCTACAATCGGGTTTTACCAACAGGGTTTTTCTGTCCCAGGAGACCTTGAAAGAAAATTTCTGTACATCTTCATCCTGTTGAGTGTAGACGTATCAGGTTTTTCTGCTAAGGAACATACAGTTAATAAAGTAAATTAAACGTCTTTGTGTTTGAACAGAGAACGAGTTGGGAGAGACAGCTCTGGACATGAGCCGCAGGTTGAAGCACGTCCAGTGTGAGACGCTGGTGAGGTTATCAGTCTGATCATGAATATTGATTATTGTTATCAGTGTAATGATTAATTTAACAGAGTGTGTCTGTGCAGCTACAGCAGGCTCAGTCTGACCTGTTTGACCATCACGTCCACGTGGAGTACGAGTGGAGGCTCCGGCATGACGATCCTTATGACAGTGATGATGACTTTGAAGACAAGGTAGCCATGGCAACAGACATTTTACCCCTCATTTCTCGATGTCAAGGTCGCCTTCTTTTCTTCCTGTACACACATTGACTCTTTCGTCTCTGTTTCAGAACGGTCCTGTAAAGAAGGAGCGCTCCTCCTCTTCCTCCTCCTCCACCTTCACCTCCTCTTTCTCCTTCTCCTCCCGTCCCTTCAGTTTCAGTCAGTCCAACCCTTCTTCAGTCACTCCTAACTCTTCCTCAGGAGCAGCAGCAGGTGGCGGTCTGCTCAGTGTAGGGAGGAGGCTCGCCATGGCCATGGATCTCCACACTCGTCCCTCAGGCCCCGTTTCCAGCCCTCCACCTCCTCCCCCATCCTCTCCTGCTCCTCCACTGCCGCCAAGGGTCAAAGGTGAACCTGATGTGTGTTTAATAAATGCAAATGTTTCCCCCAATAATGATCAATTCAGAGATAAAACTCATGAACCTCATCTGTGATCTCAATCAAATATCTCCCATTAAAATCAGCGAGGTAGAAAACAAAAAAATATCTCCCATCTCTTCTTTTTGTCCTCCTCCAGCTCCCAACGTTCCTCCTCCTCCTCCTCCAGCAGGGGGGGAGGGAGGTGGGGAAGAAGAGGAGGAAGAAGGGGAGGTTTTCCTCTCTATGACAGGAAACAGGAAGCCAACCCCGCCTCCCATCGCTGTACGACACAAGAGGACCTGTTCCGAGTCCAGCAAGCATGGTGGGATCAGAGAGACACGCTGTAATTTATCTGTCAGGGTTTGATCACTGTGTTATTAACTCTGTGTGTGTGTGTGTGTTTGTGTGTGTGTGTGTGTGTGTGTGTGTGTGTGTGTGTGTGTGTGTGTGTGTGTGTGTGTGTGTGTGTGTAGATTACGGGCTGCCAACCAGTCCCAGGATCTACAGTGGACCAGACTCCTCCTTTAGAAAGTGTGTGTGAGTATCTGAGAAAATCGTGCACTGTAAACGTACAACAATACACAAGGCTTCACAAAACTCTCAGAGGTAAAGATGGGAAAAGGTTCACAACTCTTAGGCAGCACTACATTAAAAACAGACATGACTCTGTAGTGGTAGTCACTGCATGGGCTCAAAGTCACTTCCAAGTTGACATTCATTTCAGAAATCACAGATGGCATGTCCTCCAGGGTCCTATGAGGAATTAGGACCACCTAGCTTGTTATTAACATCTTATCCAATATCTTTGATGGTGTTTGGATTCACAAGTGTCCGTAAGATGGGTAGCTTACACATTTAAGAAGACACTATTGATAAAAAGATTTAGGAGCAATATATGCTGCCATCCAGATAATGTCTTCTTTATGCAAACTGATGCCCAACCACATTCTTCGCATTTTAACACAGTATGGCTCTGTACTAGAAGGGTCCATGTGTTAACTTGCCTGTTTGTAGCCCTGAATGATATAAAACATGACAAAGAAGACCCTGAGCAGCAGAAATCCTCTATGAGACAAGGATAGGAAAACATTTCCTTTTGTAAATGTTTTTGAACTGAGGGGATCAGTTTCCGGGGTTTTTAGTGTTGTTACAAGAAAAGAGGATACGACACAATGACGAATGAGTCCTTGTCTCAACAGTTTTTTTTTTCAAACAAATTAGAAATCAGGATTTCATTTTTCATAAAACAATATTTTTTTTCAAGTACAGCGGTTGGTATGTCACCTTTTTGGAATTAAATAAAGGGTTTGAATAATTCACAAAACATCTATGAAACTTTATACATTGCTGTAACTGTGCTTACATTTAGAGCATCAGTGTTACAACATGTAGGATGGATGTTTGAGAAAGCTACTGAATAATTAAGCTGTTTGATGGACTTAGGCTATAGGAACAGGAGAAAAGTTGAAATATTGTGATATATAAAAAGTTTTTCATCGAAGTTACAAGAAACTGGAGTTTATGGTTCAACCCTTCCTCATTTAACTGTTAGACTATGCTGACCTCTTGTGGACAGATTTTTGACTGCATCTTTTCCCTTTGTCTGTCTCTCTGTTTGACTCCAGTCCAGCGTCTCCACTCAGCTCGCTGACTGAACGCCCAGAGAGAGGTACATCAAGAAATATAAAACATTGTCCTCTCAGATCGTTTGTCTGTTTTATCTGTCAGGACTCTCATGAATCCATCATGTGTGCATCTGTATATTATGTCAAATCTCTGCAAACACTCATGAGGTTTTTTCTCTAAGGTTCTCTCCAAGTACAGTTGTAAATCCTTGTTAATTGATACTTTGGAGAGGTTTGTATGCTGTGGTTCTCCAGTTGAAGTAAAAGCAGTTTACTCTCTTTTTTATAAATTATTGTAAAAGTTAAAAAGTTATCAGTTATAAATATTTAAGTTATGAACTGTTCTGATAAGTGTTTGTACAATTTATTGGTTTTCTCAGGTCTTACAAAGTAAAAAAATTGTATGAGGTATTAAGAAAATTTAAGCTGTTGATTTGTGCGTGGACATATTATTGGTATTGAAAATCATATTTAGTGTCATTTTCAGACCAAGAAGCTGTTTTTTTTTACGTTGATAATATCCTCATAAATTTGTCGATTTTTTTTTTCTGTAAGGCAGAAACCAAAGTTATATGGAGCCAGTTGTTACCTAATATTGTATTTATTATATTATGTTATCATAATATATTTATTTAACATTCACATACTTACAATAAACAAATATTATTTGTTTTTCCTTGCGATAAGTTGACATTTGATAAACCTGTATAAATTCATTTTTGTCTTTGTTTTTCTCACTGAGGTTTTCGGAGGGCAGACAGCGACAATAACTCCTCCCACTTCCTGCACCCTGCTAGTAAAGCCCCACCCAGCCGCTCTCCAACCAATCATCGATCTCAGAGCTTTGACAGCGTAAACAGAGGCCCCGCCCCTCAGCCGCTTCCTCGCAGATCATTGGTGAGAACTCTTAACTTTTCACATCATAGAAACCGCATAAATAATTCAAACACGACAAACTACTCTTTCTAAGACAGCATGAAGTTAAAGTTGACCATTTTCTCTTTGCTATGAATATTTATTTGTATTAATATATATCAGTAGGTCTTCAGTATTCTTTTTCTCATGTCTGTCAGCCTCGGGGCTCAACGAGTCGTCGGGTCGAGGCTCTTTACGACTGTCAGGCCGATCACCACGATGAGCTGAGCTTCTCTGAGGGACAGGTGCTGGTGGTGCTGGGACAAGAGGACAGCGATTGGTGGGTGAGTACCATCCTGGAATCTGATAGGTGCTCGTAAAAGTCGTAAAAAAAAAAAACTGTCCACCATATCTGTCCAAAAACCTGCTTGTGTTTATATTTGCATACATCTGACCAAAAACGTTTAACCCTTTATTAACTTATCAGTATAACCAAAAAATTGCCCAAGAGAAAATAAACTATTTGTATTTGTTCATGACTACAGTACATTTTACAAACATATATATAAGGCAGAAAGTTTATAACTTCTTGATCTGCAGGTTTATAAAGTTTGGTAATTTGGTAAGAAGATGGATCTGGTTTCAAATAAAAACAGAGGCAAAAATACAGGCGTTTGTTGGGTATAAGTTGACTTACCATTTAAAAACGAGATTAAAATTCGTCTTTGTTTAGAGACCAAAGAAAGACAAATGGAAATTCAAAAACTTTTGGAAATTCTGGCTTCATTATTACCATGACTTTTTCAGTCGTCTCTACAAAGTAATTGTGTATTTTTGTGTTTGTATGCAGCATGGTTACATCGAGGACGAACCGGACCAGCGAGGATTGTTCCCTTCTTCTTTCGTCCAGCTGCTCACAGACTGACAAGAACCTGGACTTCATTTATTCAGATCAAAACCAGTGCAGATCTGGACCCCATCTGTCAGACTGGAGTATCAGAACCTGGAGCTCAAGAATCAAAAGCAAACCAGATATGTAATCAATCCAGTGATCTCCAATGCACCATGGTGGACTTTTAGGTCCAACCCAGACTTCAGAACTAGACTGATCTGGCCCTTACAGGCTCTGGGTCCCCCTGATGTAATGTGATCATGGACTAGTGGCTGTTTGCAGGCTCACATGGACTGATCAGCTGTGACTCAAAGCTAATGTTGATGATACACTTATTTATTTAAATTATTTTTTACCAAAAGAAAATAACTGCAGGTCACTTTGAAGTACAAGAAAATAGGCCCTGCACAGATGGCACCACAATCACAGAAGCCCCCACTGTCATTTCAGGCTCTGCCTCCTTTTGGGGTGGGGCTGAACAGGTCAGAAACATAAGAAGAGCTCAGAAACTAATGGGAAACTATGGACAAATATATAAAAACAACTGTTATCTCAAAATGCAGGTAAAAATCAGTCAGTCTGGGCCCAAGCATGACTCAGCGTATCTTTCAAGAGCACAAGATGTGAACAAACCCTCAGTGAAGAATCACAACAGCACATAACTGCCACTGTTTCACTATAAAAATGTTGAGATGAGAACATTTTTATACCTTAAATATGACTTTTATGATGGTACAAAACCTTTTTCCTGTGATGATATATTTTCTTGTTCTCACCACGTACTAAATAAATCTGCAGTGACAAACTTTTTATGACTTGTTTCTATCTTGTAATGAGCTATTACATAACTTTCTATAAAATACAACATATTTCTATATAATGGCTAGATTATAATTTGCACAACCACGTTTTCACTACACTTCACTACACACAATACTGCATTTTACTGGGCTACCTACCACAGGGTATATGCAGGAATCCTGAGGTTGATTTTAATACCTTTTTAACACTTTGATAAAAAAACTTTAAGACCTCATCGCCACTTAACGTTGTTGATTGCAAAACATTTTAAAAAGTTTTAGTATGCAGTTCAACAGAAATGACGTAAACTGAGGAGGAATAAAGCTCTAAAGAATAAATTAAACGAATATACACTTTTTAGGCTGTAGACTGCTTGGCGGGGGTATGTTGAACACGATCTGTGACATATCACTTCTGCATATGCGCCAACATGAGCGCTTACACAGCTATGTACAAGCATAGAAAGGATCATTTTACAGTGCACACACCGGATACTTTACCACAGACCTTGTTTAATTGAAAAATACACAGTGATATTTTTATCATATTTACTTACGGTTTTAGAACATATAACCATTTTTTAACATACAACACTTTGACATTTTTTAAACTAAAATATGATATTTTTATCATACTAAACTAGGACTTTTTTTCACAACGACACAAAACTACTGAATAGCTCCTATGTTACCTGCCACTTCTGCTGCACCGGCAATGTTAGGCTGCAAGCTAGTGTGAAGACGAGTGCAGCGCTGTCTCCGCCCACAACTCAGAGGCGAATGCTAATGATCTACTTCAGCTCTGAAGTAGAAAAGCCCTTAAAATGACACAAAAGTAACGCGATTTTGGTTAAAAACTTCATAGTCACAATCTAAAGATCACTGAGAGCACTTTTAAGTTAAAAAAAAAACGATTGGAGTGGGACTTCAACTCGAGTAGAATTCTCATGGGAGACTTTCACTTTGACTTCAGCCATTTTCCGGTGAGGTAACTGTACTTCAACTCAAGTATATTTGTTTAGTACTTCATCCAACACTGCTCAAGACCCTGAAATTCTTAGCCAGCAACTTTACCTGCAGATTCCATGAAGCGCCAAGTCTCCAGTCCTCTTGCAGACATCTGAGGTTCAAACACAAGGAATAGACTTCAGGATCTTGGGCTCTATTTGCGTGCCTCGCCGGAGACATGCCGCAGGCGCAGCATAAGTCAGGTCCGCTGTGTTGACAAGGCGTTCCCAAGCACAATTTGGTATTTTGGTGAGCAGCGGAGCCCGGCGTAAGTAACCCCCCTCCCTAACTCAGCTCCTCCCAGCGGCATAAGTCGTAGCAAGGGAGGAGAAAGGGCGTGGAGTGGGTTTAACACAGCCGAGACCTGTTTTCACCAATCACATCAGCTCCTCTCCTTGCCTTTAAATCCGCCACCGGCGAGGCGTATTACCATTTTCGTGAAGTAGTCAAAGAGATCAAGAGATGTCTGAACACACTAATGCCACAAGATGGCGACAGAAGGCAGCTCCTCAACTAGTGTCACTGTAAGCGCTGCATTGGGCGTCCTCCACACTCTCTCATATGAGCACAGATGGATTTGGTGTGTGTAATGTTGGACCCACTGGTAAGACAAACACCCTTTTACACAAATAAAGACACTCACATAAAGTTGCACATATTCAAACCTCACGTGACAAAGGTGGGTTGATCGCACAGATCACAACATTACCCCAAAAATGGCATTAAAATTGGAACCATCTGTGCGTAAATGACGCATTGCGCTCCGTGGCCTGGCTCTTTCTTTCATAGATGTTGGCATATAAAATAAATTTGGCTCACAAAACTGAATATTATAATATCCGTTTGTCGGCTTAAAGTAGATAACGCATCTGAGCACTGAAACAAATCATCTGTTCAGCTGCAGCAGGACGGGGAGAGGACACGGAGACATGTCCAGGTCGAGCTGTGCGAGAAATAAGAGGAAGAAATAAAAGGAGGGAGACGAATTACATATCTATTTAACTTCATCATGTGTGTATATTTACTAGATATTTAATTCAATTTAATGTGGTTTCAGCTGTGTTGATTCGGTCAGGTTGTGTGTCCAAACGCGTGCCAAACGCACTCATCAGATCAGATATAGATCAGAATATATCGATATAGATCTAAATGTATGTGCTGACTCAGATTAGTAGTTGTTGATGATTATTTATTGCACTGAAATGTGCCTGACACTGTGGAAACCTGCCGGTGAGGCATCAGTGACGTATGCCGATATGCCGCCGGTCTACCAAAATACTACTAGACCAGCTGTGTTCCGCCTGCGCTGAAAGCTCGCTGATTCAAACCTGGTCAGCTTTCAGCGCACTTTACACACTGGTGGCGAGCACGAAAATGTCACTGCGCCCGCTGATTCTGTCGACACCTCCCCCTGCCACGTCACCACGCCCAGCTTGGCGGATCTCGGCTCGCCTCCTTGCGCCTCAGTCCACGAAAATACCAAAATGGCCGTACGCCGGGCTGCGCCAGATGAAAATACAACTGCGCGGGGCTCACCGCCCTCTGTCGCCTTACTGGCGTACACGACAATAGAGCCCCTTGAGTTCAGGACCCAGTTAGATAAAGCAATAGGATAATACAGAAAAGGCATCCCTTAGTGGTCAGTTTTGATATAACTTATTTGCTGCCTGAGAAACTTGTGATTAACTACTGCACATTAATGATATAAAAATACGGGGTCTAATGTTTTAATTGTTTTTTTTTTTTCAAGCAACGACACATTTACAGGATTTCAGAGCAGTATAGACACAGGAACACAACTGATATGATCCATCATTGAACAATTTTATCCAGGTAAAATTACAGACAAACGTTAGCCCTAACCCTGGCTGATGACATTCAACTAATTGTTTAAACAATAATAATTATCATCATTATGATTACTTAAAATGTAATATTAGATAGCTATTAAAAATATATATTTTACCATTTTTATCATTGCTATTATTGTTTATTTTAAATTGTGGACTTTTGTTTGCCTATTTAAATGTATATTTTTCTACCATTACAAATAGATTGTTATTTTTGTTGCATTTTATTCTTGTTTTTATTTTTAACAGAAATGAAATGGATAAGAATAATGTATAACCAAATACTGAATTTCATACAAAATCACATTTTTATATCAGTGCTGCAAATTAACAAAATGATGGTTAGTAAAAGATCAATAAAGCTACAAATTCTAAGGGCGCTAGTACGGCTTGTCACGTGATCCAGATTAAGCAGCCAATCAACAATCAGTGCTGCCTTTACAGTTTCCTCCTTCAACTTACAAACAAAACGTGTAATTCCCCTCAATGTGTACAAGCATTTCAAAACACTTCTTTGTTGATTTAGCCCTTTTCAATATGCACCGCGATAACGAATTACTCAACTTTAAATTTTTTCTAAACCCTTTTTAAACCCGGCTGAGCATTACACAATGTCACTGGTACAGAGGCTGCAACAATAAGACACGGTTGCCCTTGAGCTAAGCTAATTTAGCCTACCAAATAGTTCCAGAGTAATTACGGACAAAAAATATATATATATATGTGGCCATCTAGTGTTATATATATATATATATATATATATATATATATATATATAAACTCTAGATGGCTTACACACGCTGTTAGCCAATGGAGACCGACGTCCGCGCATGGCGGCCATCTTGCTTCATTTCAATATGTCCAAGCATCCTCATAGCCATGTTATTAAGGTCTGTAGTACACAAACCGTTTGTAAATCTGTTGAGATTTCAGCGAATTAAGAGTATTTTTGATCATGCAAATTACTCACCATCTATCAGCTACCATACAATGTACCAGGATGATATACTGAAGTAAGATGGCTGCCAGTGACTCCGCCTCGATTCATCTAGACTTTTTTATTTATGTCGATGGGTTGCCACTCGTGTGCAGGTGAGGTTTTTCTTCACGTGACTTCCGGGACAATTACGAGCAGTTGGAAAAAGACATTTAAATTGGGTACAAATGAATGTATAGCATTGAACACAATTTAAATGCTTTTATATGCTAAAAAGGTCTTTCTGCAGTTCAGACTTGTAACCCATTTACATTATCTAAAAAAAGCTTTTTATCATTTGTAAACCATTCAAAACCATCTAAATTCTTCTTATTTAACTGAGTGGGTTTATTCATTAATGTGTAAGTTTAAAGAATTCATAATCTGATGCCTAATTATCCAGATCAAAGCCGTAAAAACTGAATTTTGTGTCCCAGGTTACTCCAGCCTATGAGCAGCAAGGAGAAGAAGGAGCAGTGGGGGCTCCACGGCAGCCTCTCCTCCTCCCCCTTCTATCTCCCGACCCTTCACCCTAACACCCCAATCTAGAGCATGCTCTCCTCCCCCTCCCTCCTCCGCTCCCGTACTCAGCATAGCCTCAGCCCTGGGTCCTTCTCCGCCGCCTCCTCTCCCACCGGCCCTTCTCCTGCCTTCCTCTCCACTGGGGCCGTCCAGAATCAGAAAGGTCCCTGCAGGTCACCATGCAGGTCCCCGCTTCCTCTGTCTCCTGTGGACCTGGAAGAGTCTAACTTGTGAGGAGGGAATCAGGTCTATTATATTAATCTTTCTGTAGCCCAAACCAAACCCTAGAGAAAAATCTACAAGTTATAGAAAACAGGGAAGCTGTGTCGCACAAATATCTGAATAGTCAAGAGCAACACTTTATCAGATTCACCACAGTTTTTGGTTGCATTGTAACTATCAACTCAGAGATCTTTTCAACCGCTGCTGTTGTAACATGGGTTGCAGGACAGGATGTTACACCACTTTCCTCTAGATAGCTGGTGCTTCTACACAACACAAATGTGCTCAGTAGTCCTCATTATTTCCCCACTCCTAAAAAAACCCTCATATAAGACATATTAACTGTATTGAAAAGTTAAAAAAATGTAGAAATTAAAGAAATAGACATCAATGTTAATCCAATAAGGTCAATTAGTGATATTTTGCAGAGGGTAAGAAGAAAACAGAGATTTTTTTTCTCATGACTTTAAAGATGTCAAACTTGATATGTTGTCTACTTCATATTGGCAGAAACAACAAACTTTTATAGACTGCAAACTTTCCACAACGGCTTTGATTATGTAAGCTTTCATCCCTTCAACAAAAAAAAAAACACTTAGATTTTGTTTGATAATTATTTATTTCATTCAAAGTAAAGGCGGTGGGTTCATGTTGTAAAAATACCACAGTGAATATCACTGTTTGTAACCACGAATGAAGGAATGAAGTGATGATCAGCAGGATCTGTGTTAACTGACAGTGCCGTTTCTATCAAACAGAGTCACAGTTTAATCATGATGAGTTGAATTAAAGCTATGATAACTGAACAGACATCAGACTTACAGCTTGTTTGGTCAGCTCTAACTCTACAGAATGAAAAAAAAAAAAACCTCGCTGGGTAAAAGCCAGCAGCTGATTGGTTGATTTGATTGAATCTGCAGCTGTATGGATTCTTGATTGAAATCTCCACATATTCAGAGTGCAGGAAGTCTACAAAGCACAACTTTGGGTTTAAACTCACAACAAACTTCATTTCTTCAGTGCCAGGAATCTATAACTGTGTCTGTAAATTCCAATATGTTGCATCCAGATGTTGCGTCCAGCTTAGGAGGGCTGCTGCTCTGTCATTAAGAGACTTTACATTCCCCATAAAGTGGATAATTTCCCAGTTTACCAGCAGGAAGTTTCTCCCAGCAAACCAACAAAGAGTTAAACCTCAGCAGTGAATGGAAAAACTACAAAAACAAGCAGCAGATGTTTCCGATTAAACCCCAGTTTATAGTGAGGGATTTTAAAGACATTTAGAAAGGGTTAGAGTCGAAGTACAGGCAGAGCAGCAGCCTCCACATGATGATTCAGCATTTCTGATTATTTATAGAGGCCTCAGTCTGCTTCAAACGGAGCGCAGGGGGATCATCTAACAGTGTCTGAAAGCTCTCTTTCAGACAGCTGACCTTTTTAATCTCTTTGAGGAAACACTGTCTGAAAGTGCGCTCACTTTGTCATCCTTCAGCGCTGAAAGAAAGGCACTTGTTGCACACACTCAGACTTTAAACACACACATATGGATATTTGATAAAACTGATCTTAAAACTGCGCACACACACACACACACACACACACACACACACACACACACACACACACACACACACACACACACACACACACACACACACACACACTGGTCAGCGGTTTTAAAAGCTAGCTAAACTTGAGCTTCTTTCTTGCGTGGACTCCTCTGAGAAGTGGGAAAAACTGCAGCTCTTGTACTGGTCTACCAAGAATGGCTCTTAAAGAGAGTAAATCTCCAGAGAGTCTGTACCATAAGGCCCTCTTTACAGCAGAAATTAACATATTTACAGCCTGGTATAAAAACTCTTAACCCTACTTATTTTTGTGACATTTTTTGGAGTTCACTGCCTTTATAACCCTTCATAAATTTATGTTAAGGTGAAGAAATATAGTTTTAAGTGGCTAAATTGACTGTGGAGGAGCAACTGCCATTTCTGGCAGGAAATTAACTACAACTATGTATTATACTACAGGAGTAGAGTTATAGTATCAAGATAAGAAAACTGCAGTTAGGATGTCTATATTAAGAGAATGAGTGAAGTCCCAGCAGTGTCAGGTTAAGGCCGTACTATTAAGAGAGTAAAGTTGTAGTATGGAGAGGAAAAACTGAAAGTTAAGTTGTAAACATTACAACAATAAAATTGTAATATTATAAGAATAAAGTTGCAATAAAATGAAGACCAAATAGTTAAAATTGAAAAGTTATGTGATTGCAATAACAAACTCATGCTATCAGGAGAAAAAAAGTGCAAATATTACATCAGTGTTACAAAAATCTTCAGAATTAATACCACATTAATTAAATGTTGTGGTTAAGTTGTGAATATTATGAGATTAAAGTTGTGATATAAAAAGAATAGATTTGTCACGTTATGAATGAAACATAATTACAGTTTATAGTGAAGCTATAATTTCAGGCTAAAGTCACATACTGGTTGGTTCAAAATGAGGAACACAGATTATCTCATGGACGTAAACTCACACACAGCACCAGCTTCCTGTTAGTTTGCCTTTTTTTAATAACTGATAATTTTCTTTCACAATTCAGATTCCAAACTCTGATATTATGATGCTGTGTCGCTGATGTGCTACAAGATTTAGGTTTTCAGCTTCTTATGAAACTTTTATGCATTATTTCACAAAACACTCCACATTCCTCATTTTGCCTCAGTCTGCTCCTCTAATCTCTCTCTAAAAATAGCAACACTTAAAATGTTTTAACTTAAAACTTTGACTTTCTCTTCTCATGATACGACTTTGTTTTTACTGCAGAGCAGACAGAGAAGTCTACTTAGAGTGGGAGGGAACTGATTCAGCCGTTTACCCTCACACATGCATTCAATTTCTGTACATTTCCAAGAATGTAGTCCATGTGGCATTTAGTAATTCATCAAACCTCAAAGAGCCTTGTGTAATCTTTTCCTTGTTTCCCTCCCTAATCTGTTCTGTTTCCAGTGGTGCCCCAGTGTACAGAAAGAGACCTGACCCAGTGACCTAAAACTCTGTTTGGACAAGAGGCCAAAACTTTAAGAGAAAAATCACTTTAAAAAATATCCATATGCATGGTTTTAATCTCAGCCTTTAGAGGTTGTACTAGGACGCTTGTCTGAAGCAGACTGAGTGATTTCACACTGGCAGGCTGGTCTGAATCTGAAACATATATAAACATTAAACAATGGAAAAACTTCAATCTGTGGCATCTTACACAAGAAAACAATGGAAACATGCAGTACAAAAGGCACAAATAATAATCTTCACCAGAGGCACAGTCTGTAGGCAAATCAGAGAGTGACCAACTTAAAGGTAGAGCGACAAAGTGGAGCTGGATTTTTCCAAAATGTATGTCTTTTTTGAGGGTCAAATCAGGTCTGGAGGACTTCTGGTGAGCACCTGGACTGGTGCTGTGTGTAAGTTTAGATGTGTCCTAGTTTGAACTACTCCGCACTCCTAGAATTTCAGAGGATGCACAAGCTGAGATAGACTCAGCATAAGAATAACTTCATTATGTTTTGTCCAACTGTAATTCAATATCTTGGACATGTTGTGAACAACACAAACACCATTATACAGGACTTTTAAGAGAAGTGTTCATCTCCGATTGGCCAAATGGAGGGAAACCATCACTGCAATATTTTGGTGCAGACAAACCTTACACTTCCATGTTGCCTGTTTTGGTATGCACTTTAAATCTTCACTTTCGACACAACCTACATACAGCTGGTGCAACAGGCCACTGATAGACTTTCTGTTGGTGTCACTAGCCCATCCGACATCTAATTATGATTTGGCCTTCATGAATTTCTATACATAGAGGATGTGTGTGGTCTTTTAAAAAGCTCTTCTTCCAGTTTAACTGTCGATAATATATAATAGATGGAAAATCTTAACCCCATCTATCAAAGTTATGATTGCTCTGTGTCACGTGAGAACTTATGGTTTCTGAAATTGGTTTCTTGTCACTATAAATCAAGCAAATAACTATTAAATATACCACAGGGCTTGCAACAGAGCCATGATACAGTAACTTACAACTGCAGAAACTATTTAACCCCTAAAAGGACAAAAAACTTCAGGTTCAGACTCAAACTGACCCAGTGTGAAAATCTGTGAAAGTCCTCATTGTGAATCTGAGTCCAAAAACACTCTGACAACTGTGATTGGTGATCAGCAACAGATTTTGTACATTCACAGTACAGGTGAGACAGCGGCCTCTCCCTTTAACACGACGTCCAGCAGAACCAGCTGGACTGGCTGGTCTCTTCATTCATATGTTTGTTTTCTTTTCTTTTTGGTTGCACCTTATTTTTATCGAAGCACAATGCACTTCATCTTCCACTCATCCGTACATCACTCAAAGCAGCGATGCTGCTGATTGTTTGACTCTCCTTGTGAAACTATGTTCAATAAAACTTGACTTACAGGTTGTGCATGGTCTCCTTGTCTTTGACTCTTCAATTATAGCATCATGACTTTCTATTAGGTGCAACAGTCTGCAGCTTTGCAGAGAAGTAAATTTAGGAAGTTTTGCCATATTTGCTCTGAAAATTGCACTTTAAACACATAAAATACCAACTAAATAATTCTATTTTGGATGCTCAGTTAAAACAAGTGATAATCTGCAGACTGTTGCTTAAACACAGGCTAAGAAGCTCCCCCCACTTTCTGCCTCCAGCTCCAAAAATAATCATGACAGATGACAGAAAGCTGAAACAGAAAACCTCCACCAAACAGGACGGATTTCTCTACGAGTCCACTTGAACGAATGGATGGATTATAATTGATATAAACTCAATAAAAGGCCTTTAATCCATTTGGACAGAGAGGCAGCAACATTACCTTTTTGTGCCGCTTCTTCTTCAGGACAAAAGTGCTTTGATTAAAAAAGAGGTTATCCCTGTTTTACATCTAAAAACCCGATAAAAAAAGGTACAAAAAGTCTGTGGTTGTGTCCTGCTCAGGGCTTCACTCCTGTGGTCGATCCTCGCAGTCGCAAAAGGCGGGAAAGTTTGTCTCTTTAAAAAGTGAGCAGTCCCCAAAAAAAAACTCTGGAACAAGGATGGAGAAAATAAGCCACACCCACTAATAGGATGGGGCATGTTTGGCTCCTCCCACTCAGACAGAGCTCTGTCCACAGGTAACTCGAAGTATAAAAGTGACTTTCCCTAAAGTTACACGTCAAGGAAAAGCCCGCCGAACGTCCTTATTGGTCTCAAGAATTAAGTGGTGCATGATTCGCTGGTCGGTCAGTCTGTAGACCAGCAGGTGTGTGTGAGTGTGAGTATGTGTGTGTCAGTGGTTGGGTCACAGGTGCAGACTAATCTTTCCCTCCTCGGCGAGCAGGCGGATGACCTGCGTCTCGTAGTCGGCGCTGTGGACGCCCGTCTTTCTGAAGGCTCCAGCATTGCGGTTTTCCTCCCAGTAGTGGTGCCAGTTGCCTTGCTTGTCAGCCCCAAAGCCGAACACAGAGACCTAAAACACAGCAATTAAACTGTTAACCACCCATGAACAATACTTAAGTTCATTTAAGGCCAGTTACACGCCAACAGAAGCTCCATGAACTACACACCTGTAGCTTCCTCAGCAGACCTGAGGGAGATACAGGCGTGATGAAGTCACTGACTCCGCCCCTTTCTATCTTACCTGGTCGCAGGTGTGTAGTGCGAAGATTAAAGTCAGCATGCCGGTGGACGGGTACCGACCGTGGGATTGCGTCCAACGATCATTTACATACTTGAAGAAGGCTGGGTTGACAACAAGAACCTGTATTGTACACACACACAGACGTACATATATAACAAAATGTTGCCGTGATGATCTGGGGGGAGGGGGGGTTATTTACTTAAAGACTTGTCCCAATGTAAGGGAAATTTCAAAAACAGCTCCCAGATGAACCTGGTTTTCTTTGGCTCTCTTTCAGAGTTTTCACAGTGTGATGAGGGGCTCCCGCAGCTTGATTTAATAAGTGCAAATAAACAATCTGAAAACAGCTGAACTAACAGAGAGAAAAAACACTCTGAGACTTTTTTACATTGTGAGGGAAATCAATATTTAAACACGTGAATGTTCTTTGTTGGAGATTTGCACTGGGGGATTACTGAGGCTTTACATTTGACTCATTAAAATATTCAAGCTTTGCTTATAACCACAGAAATTTCAACGAAGTAAAAGAGAGTTTTTGAATTTTTGTAAATTTCTCTCCTCTGAGAGTGTTACACTATTTTATCTACTCACAGTAATTCGTCAAATTATACATCAACATGCCAAAAAAAATAAATTTACATACTGAAAAAATCTAACTTTAAACCAGGACTGAAAACAAAACTCCCTCAACAAAGAAAACACAGCAAAACAAACAGAGCAGTGATTGTGATCTGATTGCAGCACCAACAGCAGAGTGTAAACAGAAATACGATGACGTGTTTGTTTTACCTTGTCTTTGTCAGCCTCCACTCTCTCTTTGACTCTCATGTAGGTCCTGAAAACACGCAGAGAAAAACAAAGTAGAAAGCTTTTAAACAATCATCTGGGTTCATTAGGTATGGACAAAACTTACAGTAGGTATGAATTAAATCCACAGGTGAGGTAAACGTATCTCGTTTTTGCCAACACTTAGACAACCCCGAGGGGTTTTATCATAACAGGTATGTTATTGGTTTATTGGCATACAATTGAACCTTTAGGATTATCAGACCTGGCAGCAGCTTCAGATCAGTTTCTTCCATAGTTTTAATCTAATCCTATTTATCTAATATTTAACAGCACAGTTAAACATATCACAACGTGAGGTACTATGTATATCTGCTGTTTGCAGAGGGTACTGACTTAAAGGTGGGGTCGGCAGGAATCCGAGAAGCATTTTTTTTTCACTCGATCATCACAAAAAATGACAATCAAGTTACGGTTTTGTTTGCTTTGTGACGTGAACAGTGATGTATCTACATTGACAGTAATACCAACCGTGATAATGAGAGGTAATTTAAAGTATATCACATCAGATGATCAATGTAATAACTTATATTTACTATGACGAAGCAAGGTAATAACAGCAGTGTGCTTGTTAGAATATACTGCACATGAAAGTGAAAGCAGCAGTAATGTAACCCATGGCATTAATGAACCAGTGGATCAGAGTGACTGATTTACTTGAGACTGTCTGCTTTCTGCTTGTCTTACATCTTAACTTCTCCTGTGGACAGCGCGCTGGTTATCCACTCCAGGTCCCTCAGTTTGAACGGCAGCAGAACGAGGCTGACGCCGCGCTCCATGTCCACCGCACTCTCTGGGTACAGGAAGTGATAAGTGGTACGATTCCCAACATCCTTCTCAAACCCTCGGGTCACTGCTTTGTTCATCCTGTGAGGGGAGACAGGTGATAAACCTTTACCCGTATGTACCTGTACGTACAGATGGATGTCTCATTCAGCTCTTTAAACTTCCTGGGTAAACAGCAGAGATCCCTCGAGTCGGTACAGACGACTTACCTAAATATGAAATCCATGGAGTTAATCAGGTTGCCGTGTCCCGACTGCCGCAGGTTGCCAGAGTTGCCAACCACGGCGCATTTTCGGCAGCGAGAGGGGAGAGGTCTGAAGTCTGCAGTGGGCGGGGTGATGACCTGGAACATCTTTGCTATCACTCCATCAAGAGTCTGGTCATTTCCTGAGTGCTGGAGACCCTGAGACGAAGAGAAGAAGAAGAAGAAAAAATCTTTTTTCAACACAGTCCTTTCTGCTTTGTTTCAGAAACAATGCCAGCAACGTGTTAAAAAAAAACACAACAAAAGAGGAAGTTTATTCTCGGAATCGTCTGTGAATAGTCACATTTGTTTTATGCTTTGTATAACCACAGCATACAGCACACAGAATAAATATACACACACTGTAGGCTGCGGATTAGACTGATGATGTTAGCAGTATTTGTTCTCTCCTGACACACACACACACACACACACACACACACACACACACACACACACACACACACACACACACACACACACACACACACACACACACACACACACACGGAGCCCTCTTTAATCTGCTAATGGTTTCTGCAGCAGGACTTAATCTATAAATGCAGGAAAAATACTCAAACGATTGTCTTTTCCTCCAGACTGCTGACAGCTTAAACAGAAGACACACATTTCTCCTTATTATGATTTCTCCTGATGAACAGGTTTTCATGAACAGTCCTGAATTTGGACAAAAACACCTGTTATACTGGTTTCTTTCTCCTTGATCTTTCGTAATAATCTTGTATGCTGGGATTTGGCTGGTTTAACAGCTCTCACATAAATTCAGAGATGTCAGATCACTTCCAGTCTGCAGCCTGGTTTCACTTTCTATGCAGAGTCAGACTTGGTCGCTGCATCACAGTTCAGTAGTTACAGAAGGAAAGAAGATCACCTGATAATCAAGTTCACTGACATTTATTTCCCTGGTGTTTGGGTGATTTTCTTAACTATGGGTGTAAAGTTTCTAGCACTAATTTGGTTAAAAATTAAAAGTAGCAGGACTGAGGCACATGATGGTTTAATCCAAAAGTGGTTCCAGTTGCGATCTAAACTGTATGACATAACTTGAATATATCTTAAAGAGGGACTTTTATTTTGAAGGGTGCAAAGTTACGCTGTTGCAAAGCTATCTGACGTTTTTTATGTTGTTTTTATTTTTCTATTGTAAGAGTTTGTATAGTTTGCTTTTTAGCTTTTTTCTTCTCTCGTTTTCATTTTAATCTCTGCGAATCATTTGCAAATCCTGATGTTTTTCTCCTGATGGAGATGATAATGCCATGATCACATTACTGGTGTCTGTGATTCTATATTTGAAAAATTATCAATAAAGAAAAAAAAAAATTAGCCTGCTCTTGACCCTCAATATGATGGTTATAGTAATCCATGACAACTAGAGATTATCACCTTGTATATCATTTTCAGTGACTCCTCTAACTTTAAAAGGAACTGCAGTGTTTGTGCTTTTTGTCCTTACCAGCCACCATTTGATTGCCTCAGGATCAAAGTTATTGTTGCTCTCTCGGAGGATGGGTTGCTGTTTGGGGTCGTAGTGTTGGCTGAACCAATCAGAACCCTGCAGGTCTGAGATACAGGAACTACAACCACACGACCTGCTGAGAGACAGCACAGTAAATTCAGAAAGAGACAATGGGAGCTGATTGGCTTCCAGTGTACAGTAGTTCATGCCTTTGGAGTCTCTGTTTACCTCTCATGGCTCTGGGACTCCTCTACAGACTCCTTCTCTGCTTCGGGATTGGGGGTGTTAGGAGGAAAGGATGTCCTGAGAGGGTCAGGGGTCACATTAGAAGGAGGTTCTGACGGTTGAACAACTGCAAACAAGAACAAAGCAAGAGTCTGAGAGCACTGCATCATGGGAGCTGTACAGACATGCTATGAGATGATTAAACCACCTGAGGGTGATGAGTTATGTATGGGTGAGTCGTCAGGGAGAGTACATCTTTGTAAACTCACATTGACTGGATGGATCATCACAAATCAATCATTCCACGCCCACAGTTTGAATCTGTGAACGTGTTTTTATTGTTTTTAAAAGTTTTTTTTCCTGCTTTTACAGTTAGAGCTTCATCTGTAGTGATGGGAGGAAACTTTGTTTTTACTCACATTAAACTGATTATATCCAGCATTGGTGAATGCATGAATCATTACCACTCCTACCTGAGGAGCATTAAAGAGTGAAGGTGCAAAGCTGACACATGTATGAACATGCTCATGACTTTTGGTCAAGTTGAGTTCCTTCACACAGCTGATTATCTGTTGACAGCAGCTCATTTCATGCAGTATTTGCAAACATACAAATTTAAGCAAATTGAGACAGCAGATTTTACAGGTTAGACAGGATGATTGGACGACCTGCTTTTCTTTGTAAAGAGAAGTCAACATAAGATTCAGACATCATCAGTGTTTTTGATCTCATAAACCCCTCATTGTCATTTTGTCCCATCTTCTGTTTCTAAAATTTTCCCGGATCTTTGGTTTTGAGTCTAAAATTTCTTCCTCACCTGTCTCCTCACCTGTGGGTGTGGCCTTACTGATGGGCAGGGCCGAAAAATGCGGCAGAATATGTTTCTTCTGGATGCTCTGACTGGCTAGCATGAGAAAGAGGACAACGGCAATCACCAAGATGACGCACAGCTTCCTCTTTAATAACATGGCTAGATGGAGGATGAGTGGGCGGAGTCGGGAGGGAGGACGTATAGATGAGAGCTGTCAATCAACTGATAGGCCTGCTATGTCAGCATCTTTGGACGGTGTCATCTCTCGAACGCTTTCTTCTGTTCTGTCATGTCTCCTCTCAGCTCCACTTCCATAAGTGGAAGTAAGTTACTTCCTGTGCGATGGCCCACGCTGCTTTATGATTGGTGGAGACAGGACATGTGTTTACACCTGGGTCAGAAGAAAAAAATTCAATAAGGTTCAGAAAGGGGATTTTTATATTCTTCTGGATCTGTGGTATCTCCAGCCATCTCAACGCTACAGTACAGACAACGCCTCGGCAGAGCAGTAAAGCCAAGTCCAGGATACGATAAAAGGTGATCTTATCATGTTGTGGCTGCTGTGACTTTTACAACAGACTGACAGATGTCCTAGGACTGAGCTTCACTGTGGACCGAATTGAGTCCTCCACCTTTGAGGTAAAGCATCTCTTGTAGCTCCTCTTGTGGGGTAGCTGAGCTCAGTCTAGACTGGACTACAGATAGACCCACAGCTGGCGACTTGTTCAGCAAGACCAGTGCCAACTTTCTCTGCTGGTCACATGCATTTAAGATTCTTTTCAATCAAACCAGGACTCTGTAAATAAACCACAAAGATTTATTTACTTCTTTATATACAACTGTCTTCTTTAAACGTGAGGCTACACTCGTATACCTCACCATCACTGAAGCCTTCTTCCTGGAGCACCATCTTTTGGGTAAAATACTGTAATGCAATAAAATATCTCTCTGGTTCCTAAGATTCAGCTTAAATGTATTAAAAATTTCATAAAAGTCTATTTTAATTTTTTTAGTGGACAATACATTTAAGACAAGCTGCTTGGCCATGTCACACAGAGTTTACAGGAAGGGCATAGAAGAGATCACTGTGGTTTATTTTCTCTCTTTCACTTCTTTGTGAAACAGGAAACCTCCACAAACAGAGCTGAGGTTCAACAAAGAACATCTGGTGTTATACATACGTTGAGGTTTTTTTTTATGTCTAACATTAACGCTCCACCCTCCGATACACACTGACCTCCTACTCAAAAACAAAGGAAAAGAAAGAGAGAGGGACGGGGAGGTCCCAAGTCTGCTCCTGCTCCTGAATGGACTCACCCTCTTCCTTCTCCCTCTTCCTCTTCCTCCACACCTCCCCTCTCCTGATGCAGGAATGTCTCCCAGCAGACCGACTCCGTCTCTGAATACCAATCAGTCCTGGACACAGTTCAACTTCTCCTGTTTCAGCTCTCTCTCTCTCTCTCTCTCGCGCCTGCTGTCTCTTCCTTTCTCACTGAATGTGTGTGTGTAATCAGCTGACTTGAATGTGTTTGTTTCCTCACTACTCTGTTGTGTAACTGATTATTTTTGCTTTTTGTTGGTTGGAATTCATTCAGCCCACAAATACAAACACTCAATACTCCATGTTAAGGTCTCTCATAAGGTCAGACGGAGATGCTAAAGCTAGTTGCAAGAAGTAAGGAGGAGGTCTGGCTTTGTTAACTAAAGACGGTCTAACTCTTCACTCATAACAAGGAAGTGTTGTCTAGATATTGAACTGTTGGCAGCTGCTCTTCGGCCATAATCTGTTCCAAGGGAGTTCAGTCATATCATACTTGTGTACATGTATCTTCCATGATACTGTTGCTAGGATACAGACTCAACCTCCTGAGGCACCTTATAATACTATGTCACCCTCTTCTCTGATCTGACTGGATTTCCACAGTTTACCCTTCCAGGGAAAATTTTTCCTGAGATTCCAGACAAATGAATTACCGTTTGGGAATAAATAAAGTGTTTGTATTGCACTGTATTCAAAACTGTGCTAAAAAGTGTTTATCTCTTATCTGAAAGCAGAAATTAATATTTAGTCCTTGTCAGTAAGGATGTAACAATAAACACCATTTAAGAGTTGATAAAATGATAAGAATCTAAACGCTTAAAAGTGTTTAACTCTAATCTGAAAGTAGAAGTTAATATTTAATCCTTGTCAGTAAGGATGTAACAATAAACACCATTTAAGAGTTGATAAAATGATAAGAATCTAAACGCTACATCAAACCAGACTGAAATATAGTATTTGCTTTTGGTTGACGTTAGAAACAACAATATTTACAGTTATAACAGCAGCAGACGTGCTGGTTCAGGGCCCTGAAATCAGACCGGTTTGGACTCACAGAGGAATGTTTTGAGCTGATTATTAACTAAAGACTCCAACATTTGCAACAAAGCGCCATTCAGACCAATAGTTATTGAGCCTGTAATCGTCACCTAACCCTCATGCAGGTGGACTGAATGTGCAGAGTTACAGATGTTTAGGAATAACTACAGGGAAAAAAAGTGTTTTTCTGTTTGTTTGTTTGTTTGTTTGTTTGTGGACTGTCATTCAACCTGAATCTGATCTACTCCGGATGGGAATGTTTGGACCAAGATGTCCTCGAGTACAATAGTTGTCCCCACAAAGTCAGTTATTTAAGCGCGCGCACACACACACACACACGCATGCACGCACGCAGGCACGCACGCACGCACACACACACACACACACACACAAACAAACAAACAAAAAAAAATAAAGAATCACCAGTGCTTGGGTCTGTTCATATTCTGTCACTTGTCTCCTCGTGCAGCCAGTCTGAGTAACTGGACCTTAATCTTGACTTTAACTCCCTTTGGTTATCATTACGGGTTTTGCCTCAGCAGGGACCGTTCTGAATGTCCAGCTGACTGACAGAGCCAACATTTACTTACAAAAATATTCACTCAACCACAGAAATGAAGACAAAAATGTCCTGTATTTCCTGTCTGGATCTTGTCTCAAAACCACTTTAGCTTTTGGGTGAATCAAAGCAAACCCCACCACATAGAGCTTGGGAAACGTGACAAAGAGAGGCGAGTCAGGACAGATACTGACGAACGTGTTGACACATCCAAATTATTTACATCCACCCAGAGCAGAAGAGGAGAAACTCTGAGGAGAGTTCCTGACAGGAGGCTAAGCTTCTGGATTAGCATGTTGTGGGATGCTGACTATGTAAATTGCTTCAGTACAAAAAGTTTTATCTCAGAGCAAACTCAGGTGGTGTTTGGTCTGTGTCTCAAAGTTCATACAAAACAGGGAAACATGGATCAATAAAAGTTAAATATTATTAAAAGCTATTAAACTTCCTCATTCTTACATGTTCTCAGTTTCTCCCCCTCCTCTCCACTGTTTGTGGTTTTTGCTGGTGTTAATAACAAGCTGCTGTGAATCGTGAACAAGCAAATAAAAGAACAAGAACAGTTTATGCAACACTTTCTGAATGGTGCAAGTTTGATCAGGTACTCTGGTGTGGCTCAGAAAACTCCTATCCAAAATTTAAAACCTCCCACAGTGTCAGTAAAATTTTTTACCTTTTACCTTAATAATTCAAGATCTAATTTAGGACTGAAGACTTTTTGAGGATCAAGGGAGCCACAAATGATTCCAGGAACTATTCAGACTGTAAGATAAAACTTAAAACTCTCATTTAAAAAGCACAAAAATGAAACTGTTTAGTTCCCCTTTTTTGTTTACCAAAGAATGGATGATATACATTTATTTTCATTCATATACACTACTACTGAACTGGACCATGCATCAATCCACCTCAATTGCTTTAACTTAACTTTGGTGATAATACTCACGAAATTAAATACCAGATTTTACTTGTAGTGAAGCATTTTTACACTGTGTCACCAACGATCCAAAGGATTGCAGCTCTTACATTTTATCACAGGCTACAGATCGAACAAATCAGTCTTTTTAAGTGCTTGTCCTACACATCATCAAGACTTGGGATAATGATTCAAAAGGATGTCTCTCACTTTTTTAGCTTGTTAGCCTCTCTCTCTCTCTCTCTCTTTTGTCGTGCTCCTTCTGTCCCTTGGCTTTTCAGACACACACATGCTTCCTCCTCTCTCCTCTCCTCCCTCCGCTTGTGCCTGCACAGCATCACCACTGATGTTGGCTCTGTCTTGGTTTTTTTGCTGCTGCTCTACCTGCCTTCATCTTTCTCCAAGGTGGAAGACCAAGGATCTCACCAGCTAATTGCTTATTTGCAATCAGAGTTTGCTCGTGTACAGACGTGCTCTGGAATGACAATAAACCGACTTAATCTTCAATCTTGATCTTGAATTCGTAACAGTAGCCCTAATCACCAGGACTCTGCAGACGGATCCCTACCTGCCCTGCATGATATAATCTCTACTCAAATTCACAATCTGATCCACAATGTCATTCACATACTCATACCACACATATGAAGACTTCTGATGTAAGTAAGTGCTCTTATCGTGACTTTTTTGGCTTTGAGTAACAATGATCAACATTATGCAACACCATAACAGCCAAAGAACTTGTGGATTAATGGGAGAAAATCGACAACTTAACCATGTTGTTGGTCACAACTTCCTAAATATTTCTCATAGCTTTATTTGGACCTAATAGGGTTTGAATCAGAAGTCAAAAGGACCTTGTTTTGGCTTCAATTTAATCACTACAGTTTTTGTTTTGTGAGCTTGTCTCTGGAATATCATCATTGCAGGCTGAAAACCTGCACAAAGAGAGTCTTGTCTCGAACTATTTACTACAAAAATGAACTTTAATTGGAGCTAAGAGGATAATTCTTTTGTTTCAACTCCCTTTAACATAACAAGCTCATCAGAAAGGCTGTTGTATTTTCTTTTTCAAGGAGCTCACTTTTTAAGGTAGGGGTTCAAGAACAAAGTAATTTCAAAGTTTGATGTCTGAAAACGAAAGCTGAGCAGTGGAATTTCCTCTTGTGGGACTGATAAAGGAGTATCTTATCTTATCTCTTATTTTCCTCTGTCAGCTCGAACGTGGTGCAGTAACATGTCGACATGTATTCCTCTGCTTACATCATATGCCAACCAAACAGAGCAACAACCTTTCCTGTTGGTTTACAGGCTGTTTAGTGTATAAACTGGGATAAATTAATGCCAGTTTATAAATTAAAGTACTCCTCCTCTGGACGCGTGTTCTGCTGATAATGGTTGAATTTATTTCTGAACTCTAACTAAAATAAAAAATCCTTTTTCATTTTAATGACAACACAAATAAACAAATGACACAAAAATATAGATAATGGCAGATGTTAACGGTAAATAATTAAATGACTATCGAGTTATGTTCAAGGTACTTTAATATTGAAGGAAATGAATCAGTTATAATTTAGAGTATCTATAAAGTGGAAAATATAGTTTTCTGTGAGCGCTCCTTCAGAATTAATTGAACAGACTTCTTTTTATTTAAGAAGCGCTTTATGTAAAATAAAACATGTTTGTTCAATAACAAAAGATGATACCTGGGCGGCTCAACAAAGTGTCTTCACTGACCATTTTAGCATTCTTCTTATTTTCTTCAAGTAAAATTGTCATCCACTGTTGATCCATCTAAATATACCTCTATATCAGCTATCAAGCTCAAACGGTGTCTTTACTTCTGTTTTTGCAGGTAACAGAGAAAGTCTAAGAGTTTAGGCCTAAGGGTTTGTTGACTGATTGACCATTATTTCATTGCTGATTGTGCTTTAAAATTAACTCTCCTAATTTCACAATCTGGCAGAGAATTCTCCATTAAAGCATACTTGTTTTAATATCGTATAATAAGAGACACGAGGGATGAGGCAGTGATGTAAATCTGAGTAAGACACTTTTAGGACAGTGAAGGGTTAATGACAATCAGCTCAGGCTCAGCATTTGTTATCTGGATGTTTATTTTAGGCCTTGGGGGCTGTTGAGGTAGCGGTGGGGTGTTACAGTGTCAAAGGTCACATGGTTTCCTTTGGCAGAGTAAAACCAAGCCATGGCCTTCTTCCTCACACTCTCCTTCTGCGACCTCTGACCTCTGTGTTGACACAAAAATGGAAACCAGCTGCTCTGCTGCTGAAGCGCAGAGACAGGCTGGAAAATACCGACAGACGCCACAGAGGAAGAACGGAGTCAGTCCTCGAACAGACTGCTGCAGAGCTGGAGGGAGCTTAAAGTGAAGTTACTGTACTGATGTGTTTAAGGAGATGAGAATATCAGACAGTTACACCGACACTGAAGAATCATTCTTGCTCTGTGCTCGATTGCAAAGTTGTCAACGTACCGGAATTTACAAATTTGGTACAAGACAAGTGAAAATCTAGCAGAATCAATACCTAACATGTTACTTTGACATCAACAGATAGACGGTAATTTTCTTTTTTAATACCTTCAAAAACAGGGCTGGTCCGGCCAAAGACACCGAACAGGAAGTGTGTAGCTGTGTCTGTATTTGCAAGATTTTGCTCCTCATGCTTTTCCTATCCACTCATAATTTTTTCTAAATGATAGCACGCTCTGCCCATGCCAAACGACGAAGCCACAGCACTTCCTGTTCGGTGTAACTGTTTATAATAGACCGTAATGTGTCCTGACTAATGAAAGGCCCAGGGTCTGACTTTCTATTGCTTTTTTTCCTTGTCTTTTTCCTGTTTTTAGGTGCCTGGACTGAGAGCTAATGTTTTATTCATTTATTTGAGAAAATTTTCATCTGGACTAAATAATATTCCTTATTTTATAGAATTGTTTAATTGTTGTGTTTTATCAAGTGAAAAAGAGGGCAGCATCCATTAGCCAACCTGCTCCCTCATTATTTGGCATCAGCTGTTTCAAACCATTACCAGTCAACATTAAGAATCAAGTATGCAGATCCAGAGATCAGCCGAGGATTGAGCTGTTTCATCACTTAGTTTGTACTTTTGATTTCTTATAAAGACAAGCAAGCTGAAGGACTTTTATATCTTAATGTTCTGCAACAGAGCATTGTCAGAGTTCTGCCATTGTACGTTGCAGCTCCACACACACACACTCATGCATGCACGCCTGCACATGGCATTGTTCACTACACAACGCAACCTCCTTCCCCTCTGCTACTTCCTCTGAGAAACGATCAACAACAACCCACTGTTACGTTTTTGATCTTCACTCAGTTGCGGCAACTGAGTCATATTTTGAGATGCACAGACCACTACAGCCTGAGAGCAACCGCTAAGAATCAGCCAACATTACTGGGGGTATTTCCCTGCTGCACTGTATGTGATAAGAAACGGTGGAAGGACACAGCAGGAAGCTATTATTGATTCAGTCGCACCACATATCGCTGAACATATGGAGCCCATATAAAGTGGAAAAGTCTATATTTGTCCACTTGATTTAACCTCACGTTTTCATTAGGCAGCTTGTTCTACAAACTATAGAAAATGTGACATTTCTGGGTAAAAGTCAATAAAAAAAAGTTCTGTTTACTTAAACTTCATAAGAAAGCAGGGCGTCTTTATTTAAACAGCTGTCACAGGTGGAGGTCCACACTAATCTGTGTGTTTGCATTAGAAAAAAAAGGTCTGTACAGAGAATATTTCTCTGACGGGTCAAAGTTTAACTCTGCTTTAACCTGGACATGTCTTCAAAAGCAGAGCAGCTACAGAAAAGTGTACAGTTAGAGGAACAAAGACACGCACAATGAAATCAAACTGAAGTTACTGCCTGTGCACCAGTAAACACTAACATGAACATGCAGCCTGTTTTTTTTTCTTTTTTCAAATGTCAATCTGAACTACAGCTGAGCTGTGAGAAAACTGGAAAACTTCAGTTCCTCTTTAGAGTGAGCAAAAGAAAAACAGCTACGCCTTATTTCTCATTAAGGCAACTCCCATTTGAAAAATGTCAGTACAAGAATGAAGACAGATAAAATGACCTGATTAGATACTTAAAGGCCGTGTTGCAGATGTCAAAGTGGTACAAAGGTTTTCCATGACGACTTGGAGTAGGTTAACACAAAAATTACCACACAGACCAACTTCTATTGCAGCAAAACCCTTTGCATCACATTGAAGCTCAAATTATGCAACTTCCTGTTAAGGCGTGCAGAAATAAAACTGTGAAGCATGTTTATAAACTAAAATGACCATATTCAGAAAGACTGAGCTGGATTAATAAAGCTAAGTTTAAGTGAAAGTGCACAAAATAGATTCAGGTAACAAAAACAACTTTTTACAGAGAAAATTTAGACAAGTTAATTTCTGTCTATCTGCTCACCTAATGAAAGTGAGAATTTATCAAGGTCAAAAGTAAGAGTAAATTAGCAGACAGAGGTGTAAATCAGAGACCAGCCGTACTCACCACTTGTGCTCAGACTTGGTCTTAAGTATGTGTGACAGATGACAGAGGTCCAGGCTATTTTATGTTGTAGGGATGTCACTCTACTGATTACACACGCCTTAAACACACAACCAATTGCATATCAGTGTTTAAAGGGTCACAGGTGGTATGTTTAAATGGGCATACAAAGATGTACTTTTGCAGTGACTGTGACAGAAGTTTGATTTGGTAAAAAATGTGTTTGTACAACTCAGACACAAGCTGCAGTAATGAGAGTATTAGTTTAAGCATAGATGAAAAAGTTTTTAGGGCCCTCAGACAGCGAGGAACACAGCACTGCCACTTCTTAGAGATACAACATGTGGTATCAGTTCAGACCCGGAAAAAAACGCTTTATGTAGAGAGCATAGCAACAAGAACAAGACAGCAGGTAATTCAGAGTGTTTCAGACAGATGCATCAGTGTGGGTTTTAAAGACACCAGCCAGAGATGAGCTAAGATTCTTTGAGCTGTAAATCATGTAGGGATGTAACGATTACCGGTAAAATGTCTGACAGTTAGTACTACAAATTTTAATTACCATTAAAACAGTGTTTGTTTGCTGCACTCTGGAAAAGCTCACAGACTGCTCAGTGCTGAGAAGAGCATCCGCACGCAGCAGTCCTTCGGACACAGGCACGCCACGCACATGCGCATTGCGGAGTATACAGTTTTTCGGGCAGTTCTGCCGACCGTGTTGCAGATTTTTCTGCCGTCAAAGAAAACAAAGTCCGACGTCTGGGCGTATTTCGGCTTCTACAAAGGGTTGCGAGGGTTGCCAGGAAGCTTTTGTACATCCCAGCAACCAGCGTGCCATCCAACAGGCTATTCATCGCCAGCGGGCACATCGTTTCCCCTCGCAGATCACTACTCAAACCAGGAAAGTAAATATGCTGATATTCCTACATTTCAATCTGAAGTAGTGAACAAAGTCAGCAGCAGCACCTTATGGTGGAGGAAACGGACAATAGGTGTGGTTCATTTGATTTGTTTACATATTGTATGTTATTTTAAACACCTGCACTACACATTTGTTTACATGTGGTTGTTTCATATAGTAGTGTTGCTCTGTTTTATATTTGTAAGAGTAGATCTTTTTGAGCACTGAAGATTCTGACAATTTGCACAATAAGGAATGTCATTTTATTTAAATGTTATTTATTTGTTATTATGTTAATGTTTATGTCTCTGGCACATTACTTTGTACTTTGTTATTACTAGTAATAGTGTTGATTACCTCTGGCTCTTTTAAGGCCCCATCTTTAATTTTGTAAGCTTATCGTTCCTCTCTTATTTAAGGTTAAGGAAAAGTTCATTCTGCATGTTATTTTGATTATTATTTTTTTTTTAAATAAAACTGTGTTAAATGATTTCAGGGCGAGTATAAGTACTTTTTAAACATTTTGAACATATTTCAATTCCGTGATAATTGATAACCGTGGTAATTTTGGCCACAATAATCATTATGTTAAATATTCATATCGTTACATCCCTAAAATCATGTCATCTTTAACCTCTGCCGTGCACTGCAGTTAGTCAACAAGAGTTTCTGTACCAACAGCAACAGACTGTTCCTCATAGCAATGGTCTGCTCTTGAGAAGTAACTATTAACAAATATGAGCTCTAAAATTATAAGACGGCTGATGAATCTAAATAAAATTTCAATAGCCATTGAGGCCCCTAACTGTTGTGAATTTATGATAATTGAGTCTATCCTTTATTTGAATGTAGGGCTGCATGATTAATCGATTTTAAATTGCAATCAGATTATTTAATTATGACGATGTTAAAAAAATTATAATCGTCAAATCCATTTTCCATTCTATCATGTCTCCCGCCTCCAGTACCTTTTGAAAACGGGTACAAGAGTGCATAAATCTGTAAATGACTACTATCATCTCTGTGTGGATGCCTATCTGTGTCTCTCTTGAAACGATTATGTGACAAACAGCGTAACTCTTTGATGGCGCCGGCGTGTGTCCGGCCAAAACAACCTTTAAACACATGCTCTGTACTCTTCTTCTGTCTTTTGTGCATTTCCTGGGCAGCGTTATAGCACCACTTACTGGCTTGGCATATGCACTACATCGTTTTCAGTGGTTTCGTTTTGACAGATGACAGAAACCTTTTTATTTTTAAAGTGAAGTTTGGTGAAGTTGTCACTGAATAAAAAAATCGAGTTTTCAGAGATAAGAATCGGTATTCTACTTTTGACCAAAATCGTGCAGCCCTATTTGAATGACGCACACCCTTCTCTTTAAAAGCTCTCATTTTCATTTCCTCATTAGCAGCTCAGATAAAGGCCAACATCTGGGAGAAAAAAGAAGTTGCAGTTCTTGCTAAGATTACTGGTGGACTGCTGAATCTTTAGACTATCAGGAAGCCACGGATGGACAGAGGAGAGCAGGCTACTCATACTCATACATATATGAAATCTTAAAAAGGCTGAATGGTTAGTTAGATCTGCAGCTTTTGATAAAATCTGAGCGGTGATACCTTCAATTTTTAAGACAGTGTAAAAATACGTTACTGGGAAATCTGGGATTTTATTTACCGAGTACTGTCACCAAAATTAAGCACAGTCCCAAAAACTTGAATTTTGTTGAAAGAAAATGTGGTTTAGTTTTCAGACTTACATGAACACATTATTTTCCAGGAGTACAGCAGTGACTGGACAGTGTTATTTCTATTAGGTGTCCCTGAGCACAAACAGGATGGAAAAAGTGTTGACATAGAGTAGGAAAACTTAGACACACACACACACACACACACACACACACACACACACACACACACACACACACACACACACACACACACACGGTAGTTAAGCAGAGTGACTTCAACAACAGCTGTTAAAAAAATAACGCTGCTGAGGCGTACACTCACTTCCTGGTAAAATACAGAGTCACAGACGTTCCAGACAGGCAGCCACCTCAGCCCTGTAACTCAATATTATATGTTTGTACTGCTCGATTTGGACTGTCCATATGGAGGCTACACCTACTCCCTGTCTGTCGTGGAGGAGGGGGATCTCTGCAGCTCCTCCTGACTTATTTGCTCTTTTTGTGAGCATTTTACTTCCATGATTCAGGACTCACAGTATGAACTGTGTCACATATTGAAGAGATTTTTCAGAAGTTTTTAATTCTTAGCTAAACAAACAAACAAACAGCCTTCACAGGAACATAAAGACAGACAGACAGATAGAGAGAGAGACGGGTCTTTAACAATCTGTTTCTGTTTGTGCCAATTTAGAATCAGGCCTCTATAATTACATCCGCCTAAACAGTGAGGAGGAGGTTTGTCTCGCAGACCACACAACCTGTCCATCTTTAATTAAGTTAAGCCCCTCAGTATCTGGTTTCAGTCGTCACAAACACACATCAAACACGACAAGATTATAATGCAACCCGACACACACTTTGCAGTAATATAAACGTAACAAAAAGCAGCAACAAAAGACAGGATGACAAACTAAACATTTCTGTGCTGCACAAGAACACTAAAGGACTTGGAAATCAGTTTAAGTTTAATACAGTCTCCACAAGGGAACACCATGGACCAAAAGCCAGGAAATTATCATTTTAGCTACCAAACTTGAAAAATCCATCAAATAAACAACAAATAAATAAATGGACATACAAGACAATTCAATCTGCTGAGGTTTTACGGTTAAATTAATTATTTTACATTTCTAGAGTGCGGTTTGTGGGCTGTGTTGTCTCTCAAGCTCTACAGCTGCACGCACAAGTCTGATGGTTGGCAATTACCAGCTGCTTAATTATGCTTTAAATATGCCATTATGCTTTAATACCTGGATGTAAAGAAGCACAGTTGACAAATAATTTGTAGTAACTTGTTGTTTAGCAGTAAAAGCCAACTGTAAAAGTGTTAGTTTGGACTAGGTTGAACGGGCTAGCTTAGCAGAAACCAAATTATTTCAGGTACAGACAACTTGACTTTATGAGTTGAGGTCAAAGACCACTCAGACCAATTACAAAGAAGATGTTAAACAAGTATCTGTTAGCACAGTTTGTGTGTCAGGAGCTTAACAGATCCCAGATCCCATGTCACATCTAAAAAATAACGAACATTATTTGCTGGACTACCGTTAATATTGCTGTGAAAAAAGACCAGGCAGAGTCTAAAGCAAACACTAGGGGTTATTCGCTTTGGTACAATTCAATGTGTTCACAGACACAAGTCTGGTGAGCTGGTAACCTGCACAAGCTCGAAGCTCCCAGTGGAGCCCTCTGAACTGGCTTGGTCTGTCTATAGGGAGAGGCCACACTGTAAACAGTCTCTCAAGTATCTTCAGTGGAAAATCTGAGGGATTCATCTGTTTCAAGTACAATAAAATCGAAATAGTCTGGCTTGGGGGGCTCAGAAATCCTGCAAATACACTGGAAAGTACAAGAAGATAACCACACTCTTTATATGTCATCTAGAAATATAAGAGTAAGAAGCTTAAAATGCCATAAAACAGATGGGGGAGTCTGAAAAGTTGGCCAACTCTGTCTTTACCACACATTATCTTAATATTTGTGAGACAGATGCTGACAAACAATGCCAACATTATGACAGTAGCATACTGTCTGCTAAACCAAATATTGTTATGGGATAGTTAATATTAGTTTTTTACGTGTCTGCAATTATTTGCTCTAATTGCTTGGTTTCCTGTGCAAAGCTGCTACACCTCCCATAAATCAAATGTTGGATCTAACTTGTCAATAGACTATGTATCCAAGGAAACTGCTAACGTTATAATGGGGGGACAATGGCCAGGTGATGACTATAGGTGGGTGGATATTTGCATCACAACGACATTGGTTCTCATTGGGTTGGTATCACCATCATCTTTCCCATCACCAATTAACAGCAGATCAAATCCAAGATAGTCATTTACTAATGTTTTATAATTGTAACATTTAGTGATGACAGCAGTTTTAGCCATTTTTAGCAATGTTTAGCATAATCAGAGATCTGTCAGTAGGTTACATGTTGTCCAAAAAACGAACCTGTCTGATCGTAAAAACAAACTGTACATGGCTGTAAACAGAAAAAAGTTTTGACAATATTTTTTGTACAGCCCTTGCTGACTGTTTTGATATGTAATACTTTAACTGGTAGATGACCTGATAACAACAAGCTTAGAGGGGGCATGTGGTCACTGACTGTAGTGGAGGCAGACAACTAAGTGTGTCTTATAATTGATCTAACACCAAGTCAGAATAGCTGAGCAATTGTTAGTAAGTTGAGAGCACCATTACATTGTTGTTATTAGTGAAATTGAGAAAAATAAATAGATTAAATGCGATATCGGCATTACATGTCAGCCATTGGCAAATCTACTCTTACATAATCGGTATCGTCGTCATGACAATATTTAACAACTTTAACGCATATCGGTTTTTCTCGTGCTGTGCTGGCCTCTCGTTACATTACTAACATTGGACCAGATATCAGAAATATAACAGTAGACAAGGAGACATTAGTGACAAATAAAAAGACCATGCCAGGGTTTATGACAAAATCTTAAAAACTGCTTAAAAAGCTGCTATAGTGATGGAGTACAGAAGTACTACCAGACTCCGCTTTGTACACATAACGGTCATTTAGACGTTGAGCTTTAAACAAGAACTAAACTCCGCGATATACAGTAAGATAGGACTCTATAGTGGAGGTCAACATGTTTCAGTTTAAAACTTTATTCTACAAAGATGACATTAAAGTCGCCACGGGCTCAGCAAAAAAACTGCCGAAGTCCCGTGAGAGTAAAATGCCACAAAAATCTGATAAAGACAGTTTCCACCTCCTCGCCCCTCGTCCTCCCTATCTGTGTCACCCTGTCTTATCGGTCTTAAGTCTCCTTTCTGTTCCAAACTGACACTAAAAAAGACCACCAGAAACGCGAAAAAAGAGTGAAAACGGCAAATGAACAACCATCCCGCACCAAAATCAGCGTAAACCCACATTCGGTTTGGTTGAAACTTTATGAAGTTTCAAGCGAAAGTTTTTACTCATGGACTAACAACCACACGAATCGGCACCCGGTCGGAACACAGTCCCACCGAGACTGGAGCTGATAAGACAGAAGGTCTGACGGGAGCAAACGGAAAGAGTACTTACTTTAAGTAACAGCGACCGGATGGGTTTTCTCCTCTTTGTGAAACTGCAGAGTTTAAGGCATGAAGATGCGGGGCTCTCAGGCCCCGCCCACCAGAGGGAGGCGGGAAGGGGAGGGGAGGGACGGGACGGAGGGGCGGGTGTTGGTTCGTATGCGGGTTTTCGGTCTGTGTCCTTCGGATCACCCGGGATGTGTAAGTCCACGGAAGATGGACTGAGGAGATATGTACGTGGGTGTGGTACTCTCAAGAGATGACAGACTTCCAAAAACCCGTGTAAAATGGCGCCGTACGGCTGTTGTTAATCATTCACCACATACAACTGTCATCTGGATAATCTTAATCATGAAATTAAAGAAACCAACACCCTCACCGCTTTGCTTTTCATTAGTTTAGCTTGGCTTTCTCACATTTTGAGCTCGGTGTCTTTGGATTTCGTCTTTAAGTTGATTTATTCACATTTCATCATTTCGTCTGGGGCTGTCTAAGCTAATGTAACAAACAATTGGCAAACTATCACAAAAGATAGAACTGTCACCACACCACGGGAGTAAACTTATGGGCTTGGTCTTCGTTGAACCTCTCTTTTCTTAATACACAATATGTCTTTTGTAAGCTCAAGCATCTAAATCATTTTAGCTATCTAAGTGCCGGGACATACCATAATACCTCCCATATGCTAGCAAAAAATTATAAGCCTTGACAGCTCAAAACCACATTAGTAATGTTTGTCAAAACAGCGACAGAGACCTAATTTTATAACAGTGTCTTGCAATTTCACTAAAAAAACATGACGGCTTTAGCAGATTTGATCAAACCAGCTCAATGAACTATAAACTGCTAGCTTATTATGCCATATCCATGAGCACCGACAGGGACTGTTAAAACCTTTTTTTGACACTGTTTGATTCTTTCTCTTTGTATTTAAATGTTTTAAATACAAAGGACTGTAAGCTCGCTGAAGGGCTTTGTCGAGAGATCAAGTAGGGATGGTTGTCATACTGTGTCAAAGCATTATTGAGGCTTAATAACTTCCTGTTCAATCAATTTTCAAAACTAAAACATATGCAATTCAACTCATGAGTAAAATTTGTGACAACCAAGCCTGGTCTCCCCCTTAAAAGTCATAGGTCAACTTGTGGGAAACAGAAAACGACCATTCATTTTAGTTTGTAACACAAATGTGTTTTTCTTGACAGCATTTGTATGATTCAAGAGTTCTTCTTTAGCTCCAAAGATGGATACATAATGTGCTCAAAACAAAGCTATTTCAGTTTAATTAGTACAAGCAGACCGGCAAAACTAGTTTTTAAACAGTTGTGACTAAACGGTAAGTAAGCCAGATATAACAGAAAAGCCATCCTGTTGCATGAATCACTTGCCGTTCCTTCGCCGTTCCTTAAGAAGGAACGGCAAATGATTCACGCAACAGGATGGCTCAGCCGGGATAGGCAACTGGTTGAGCGGGTCATGCCATCTGACAGGAATTCAAAACAATAATATTTTTGCTTGCAGCAGAAAGGCAGGGACTACAGAAAACCTCAAACAATAGTGTGCCAATGTTTGCGATATCTGAGAGGCCATCTGACTCCCAAGAGATCCACAAACAAATGTCACTGACATATGATACGACTGAACATTACTTAGATTTGTTGATTAAAGATTAGAAAAACTGAACATTAAGATTAACTTAGATTTTGATATTTGAGTATTAACGTTATTTATTTTGGCGCCCCAAACTTTGAATTATTTTACTTTTGCGGTCGTAAACAGATGAAACAGAAGCAAAGGGAAATGGAATCAGAATTTATTTTCAGCTTGAAAGTAACATTCAACATGATCTTTTGTTTTGACCTCTTTACAGAGTTATCTTTGCACCACTAAGTCCATCAGGTTAGTAGCAGAGATGCTGGTTAGTCAGATTTTTCGAGAATTTACACTGCAAATTCCCACTTAATAAAAGGTGCATCAAATTCTAGCAGCATCACTTCAGTTGAAGAAATTACATGTCAGTTATTTCGCCTTATTTATGTTTTTTTTAGTGTATATGTGAAAGCTTTGGCAGCAAAAAGTCATAGGTCGATTGTTAAAAAGTGTAACTCTGACAACAGGCTAATGATATAACAAACCATAACACTTACAGTCACAGATGTTTACATGAAATGCAGGACATGACCCTTGAAGAGAGACCTTTCAGCAGCAGGCTATTACATATTCCATTATGAAAAGCAGGAATGCAGCATAAAAAGTGAATGAAAGAAGCTTTAGATAACACATTGTAAAGACGTCTGTGTGTGTGGTAATACATTAACAGTCAAACTTAGTTCTGAACGCTTAACACTGCTATGAAGTTATGTACGGGGCAGCAGTCTGTTCAACACAGAGCCCCCTCTACAGGAGTACTACAGTACTGCAGGAGGAGAGTTTACAGGGTTAGGATTTTTCTCCTGTTCCTGAGGTCAGCTGCTGCTGAAAGTAAAGTCAACTGTAAATGAACACACCTTTAATCTGAGTTTTATAAAAGAGTAAAAAAAAAATCCACTACCTTTGATTAATAAAAGACAACTACTGTTTATGTGTATTTATATATGTTAATGAGATAATACTGTTAATGAGGTTTATGAAAATGTTCTGATGATGTGATCGGCAGGAAAAAAATGAAGGAATATTGTTTCATACATGTCTTAGTGAGGTAACTTTGTCAACAGGTAGATCATCCAGCATGGCTTGTTGCTGCATGCATGCAATAACAAACTAGGAGTACTAATGCAGTGAAAGTTAAGGCTCTTGTAGTAGTAACTTTATCTTGAGTAAGTGTATCTTAAGGTATTTGTTACAAGGTAAAAAAAAAAAAACGATCAGCAACAAATAAATAGAATTTTCAAACAGATGAAAACCGTTAACATGCATGGATGTAATGGATCTGTGGATGCTCTTATAGAGATTCTTTCACCTTTTAAAAATGTTCTAAACCAAACTTATACTAAACAGGAAACTGAACAGTTTGACTTTCACATGAGACCTTAAAATACATAGTACAAATGCACTTTCATCACCCTTTTTATCTATAGTGTGGGTTGTGTCATAGACACAGATGTGGTGTATGTACCTGTATAAATGCACGGAGGTATTTTACAAAAAAGGATACACTACTAGCTAGAGAAACCACCACCTACTCCACTCCCTTCTCCATCATCAGGTGATAAACCCGCACTTAATCTTCAATCCAAGACAACTGACAATAGCTGACATTACCTTAGACTGAGCTCAAAGTTCAAGTGAGTGGAAAGGCTGCAGACTCAGGACTGCAATTCCAAGACCCTGTTGTTTGTGAGGGCCCCATCTGGTGCTCCCCGAGGATCTCATTTTTTGTGTTTCATAAAGCTGTAACAGTATCAGATCTTCATCTGTCCTGTCCATTAAATATCCCAATAGCAGTGATAAAAGGATTGTTTTTCATGAATTTATTCTGTCCTGGGTTGAAGTTGCTTTATGTCCCACATTATAGAACTATGCTTTTATTTTGAAGTATAAGCTACTTCTGGTTGCTCGTAAGTTACTGAGCTAAATGAATAAAGTTAAATGAACAGTTACGATGTATTAATGTTTGATGAATTAGTAACACTTTTATAGAAGTGTCACAAGCAGTCTGCTGCTGCTTCATCTCTCCTCTGTTCAGGATTACAGTATTAGCATTTGCTTATTAACAGTATTTTGCCACAGCCATAGTCTCCAACCATGTTTTTAGAGTCCGACACAACCATTTTAGAGTCAAATCATAACCCTAACCCTGACTGCCACAACAATACTGGGGTTCTAGAGATGTGGTCCCAGAATTGGGGTCCTGAAACTGCAGCTGCACATAATTTTGGTACCAGTAGCTAGCAGGATTGCAAACACCATAAAACAGATGGGACTTAACAGCTGCACAGAAACTGCGCACTCTTAAACATGTTGTATATCATCACATAGAAAGACGATTTAAACCCTTTTATCTCTGAGGGAAACCCCAGAATATTGACATAAACAAGAGCAACTTATTCATGATATTTAGCTCGTGATTAATGTAAGTGCTGTTGCAAGAGACACGCTTCACATACAGCCGTAGGAGTTCATGAAAGGCCAAGTACAAAATCTGAAGAGAGGTATATCATCTGTGAAGTACATTTGTTAGTTTGATTACAAACAAGCGGCAAGTGGCAAGCACAAGCGGTGAACACTATGTGATTGACAGAACAAAATTCCATTGGCTTTTGTTCCTGAGTTATCAAAATTATTTCCTGCTTGTAACTTTTTTCACAGGTAGAAGAACACAGGTAAGAACCAACTGAACCAGATCAAGCTTATCCTTTAAACTCACTAAGATGCTTTATGTAGATTGCAGCCAAACTGAATTTCCCCACACATCTATCATGCAACAATGTTTGAGTTTGACTCAGTCCTCAGGTCATCATTTGATTCCTCCTTTTAGGTGTGTCAAGTTTTTGGTTTAAGGAGGTCTGCAGGTTCATGAAACACTAAAATTGTTGAGGTGTCTGTGTAAGGCTGAGGACAGAACTTGGCACATACTGGCACAGGTTGGTTTGTAAACATTTCAGTAAAAGGTTTCTGTAACAGAAAATATCTTTGGTAAATGGTCATACTTTCAGACAATAACAGACTGAGAATGGGATGGTTTCTCCCAAAAAGGACTGATTTCTCTTTCTTTTGAAGCATCCATGTCATGGATATTCATCATCTAGTTACTGGATTACACATTTAAATTGCCAATATGAAGCTTTCTTGATATTTCCTCCTCAGCAGAACCCTGGTGGTCCTTCAAGGAGTCAGAACTGAGGAGGCCGTCCTCAAAAGTGCCCCTAAAAGTCAGTGTGGTGCACTTTTGGGGTAAATTTGAAATCTGTATCATCTTGCTTATCTGTTTGACATATCATTCACTCTGGGACGGTTGATGTTTGAGGAGTGTTCTTGTTAAACTTCTAAACAAAAACAAAAACAAAAGTTTTGTCTGAGAAAGAAATAAAAAGCCTGAACTGATGGATGGACATGAAAATACAGTGATGTATTGAAAGAAGTTATCCAGGAGGGAAGGGACGGTCATACAGAGGAGTAACAAGTACTGAGACTAACTGTGTGTATGTGTGTGAAAGAGAGTGTGTGTGTGTGTGTGTGTCTACAGGATGACACAGCAGCAGGTGGCTGGGTAATTGTCGGCGCTGACTTGGTTTTCGTTGCCGTAGACGTAATAGAGGTGAGTGTCGCCTTTCCACTTGTAGTTGACTTTAGTGATGGGGATTAACTCGACTGTCTGCCTCTGAAGGAGAGAGAGAGAGAGAGAAAGAGACAGAGAGAGGGAGAGAGAGAGGGAGAAAGAGAGAGAGAGAGAGAGTATGTGTATCACACTTAAAGCTCCATTGAGGAGTTTTTTAAAGTTCATGAAATAGACTTAAACTCACTTGGATGCCTTTTCATGATAAACAAAAGCAAACAAGACCATCAGCAAGAAGACTGACTGCTTTCATATTTATAATGCTTGAAGCTGGTGTGAGGGGTTAGGAAACAACCAGGCAGCAGTAGAAACAGACTTAATTCCACTGTCAAACTCAGCTGGACAATTATATAACTGCTGCTTTCACATAGACAGACAGTAGATTACATGTGGACCCATACGAAATGCATTCAGTTCTACACTGAATTGTATGTAAATTAAACTGTAATCACTCCTCATGTCCACCTACCTGCTGCAGGATCCTGGAGGTCTGGGAATATTTGCTCTGGTGATCTTTGATTAGACGGTCAGAGGCTTCAGCAATGGCAGGGTTCGGGAACCCGAGCAGAGGGTAGAGCTGAGAGGAGACGGACAAAAAATATGTAAAGAAAAACAATGGCTGATAAAATCTCACTTATTTACCTCTTGACCTTTATCTGAAGTACTGACTGTAAAGCTTTAACTCAATCACACCTTCCTGCATGTTTTTCAGTGATTTTGAGAACAGAACTGTGCTGATTTGTTACTGATCCATACATCCATCTTCAACTGCTTATCCGGGGTCAGGCCACAGGGGCAGCATCCTGAGCAGAGAAGCCCAGACTTTCCTCTCCCCAGCCACTTCGTCCAGTTCTTCCCAGGGGACCCTGAGGCGTTCCGAGGCCAGCTGAGAGACATAGTCTCTCCAGCGTGTCCTAAGTCTTCCCCGTGGCCTCATCAGTGAGGTGTCCAGGAGGCATCCAGATTAGATGCCCAAGCCACCTTATCTGACTCCACTCAATGCGGAGGAGCAGCAGCTCTACTCCGAGTCCCTCCCGAATGACTAAGCTTCTCACCCTATCTCTAAGGGAGAGCCCAGCCACCCAGAGAGGAAACTCATTTCAGACGCTTGTGCTCACGATCTTGTTCTATCGGCCACTACCCACAGCAGGTGATCATAGATTAGGGTAGGAACATAGGTCGATCAGTGTATCGAGAGCTTTGCCCTTCTGCTCAGCTCCCACTTCAGCATGACAGATCTGTGCAGCGTCCACATCACTGCTGACGCCGCACTGATCCGCTTGTCGATCTCCCGCTCCATTCTTCCCTCACTCGTGAATGAAACCCCGAAACCTACTTGAACTCCTCTACTTGGGGCAGCATCTCATCTCAGACACAGAGAGAACACTCCACCTTTTTCTGGCTGAGAACTATGGACTCAGATTTGGAGGTGCTGATTCTCATCCCAGCCGGTTCACACTCGGCTGCGAACCAATCTAGTGAGAGCTGAAGGTCACGGCCCGATGAAGCCAGCAGGATCACGTCATCTGCAAAAAGCAGTGACCCAATCGTGCGGCCAGCAAGCCCGACCCTCTGAACGCCCTGGCTGTACCTAGAAATTTTGTCCAGAAAAGTTATGAACAGAATCGGTGACAAAGGGCAGCCCTGGCACTGGAAATGAGTCCGACTTACTATCGGCTATGTGGACCAAGCTCTGGCACTGGTCGTACAGGGAACACACAAACACACACACACACACACACACACACACACACACACACACACACACACACACACACAGGATTCTCCGAGGGGCATGGTCAAATGCCTTTACCAAGTCCACAAAACACATGTGAACTGGTTGGGCAAACTCCCATGCACTGCTGAGAGTGTAGAGCTGGTCCACAGAATCTAAGGTTCGACAATCTGGCGAATCCTCTTCAGGATCCCTAAATAGACCTTTCCAGGGAGGCTTAGGAGTGTGATCCCCCTATAGCTGGAACATACCGTCCGATCCCCCTTCTTAAAAAGGGGGACTACCACCCCGGTATGCCAACTCAGGGCGGATCTCATCCACCCTCAGGGCCTTGCTACCGAGGAGCTTATGAACCACCTTGGCAACCTCAGCCCCAGAGATAGAAAAGCCCAGACCCAAGTCCTCGAGCCCAGCTTCCTCCCTGAAAGGCATGTTGGTGGGATTGAGGAGGTCTCAAAGTATTCTGTCCACTGATCAACAACGTTCTGAGTCGAGGTTAGCAGCGCACCATCTTCACCATATACAGTGTTGACAGTGCACTGCTTCCTTCTCCTGACACACTGGATGGTGGTCCAGAACCTCTTCCAGGCCGTCCAGAAGTGCTTCTCAATGGCCTTACCGAACTCTTCCCATACACTGGTTTTTGCCTCAGCAACCACCAGCAAAGCCGAAGAGTAAAAGAGAGAGTCCAGCCCCTCTTGAGAGGGCTGGTTCTAGAGCCCACGTTATGTGTCGAGGTGAGTTGGACTATATCTAGACAGAACTTCTCCACCTTGCCCACCAGCTCAGACTCCTTCCCCACCAGAGAGGTGACATTCCATGTCCCTAGAACTAGCCTCTGCAGCCAAGGTTTGGACCGCCAAGGTCTCTGCCTTCGGCTCCTGCCCAACTTACATTGCACCCGACCACTTTGGCCCCCCACATGGTGGTGACCCCATGGGAAGGGGGTCCCACATTGCCTCTTCAGGCTGTGCTCAGCCAGGCCCCAGGCCAGCTTAGTGACGTTAGTGATGTTTTTTAAAAGTAAATACTCAGTATGGTAACAATTTAGGTTGATTACAATCAAACACAAAAGTTCAGGACATACTGCAAGATTATTCTTACCTATCATAACATGACCATCAGAAAACAATATAAACTTATTCAGATTCAGGGAAACAAACAGTCAAGCTTCAGCAAACTCCGCAAACCCCAGGTGTAAGAACGGAGCAGTTAATCTACCAGGTACTGGTTGTTCTTGAAGAGCTCCTTCCCGGTCACTGAGTGGAGATCATCAGAGCTCAGACCAGAGTTCTGCTGCACCACGTGGTCCTCAACGTTATTTTTCCTAAACACACACACACACACACACACACACACACACACACACACACACACACACACACACACACACACACACACACACACACACACACACACACACACAAATACAATTACATCCTTTTTTCTGCTGTGCTCTGTTCAGTTTGTATGTTTTTTCTATACAGATTCACATTGTGCAGGTTTGTTTTTTAAGCCACTAGAGGGCAGCATGACAACACGTTACTGTTAAGAACTGAAACAGGCCTTTTTATCACTCCTGCAAGGTCCCAAAGTCCTTATTTGAATCCTTTTAAGAACTCCTCAGATTTGTAAAACCCTTGAGGACGGACGGAACTCTCTGAGTACAACAGCAACAGTTTTCAGGTCTCAAAGACGCTGATATTTTATCAAGAACCTGTTGAACCTCCCCTACAGTCCTGGTAGACACCACATCCACCCAAAAAGTTCTTACACAACCTCAAGGACAACTGATGTTTCCTCCAGGACTGCAGCTACATCTGCAAAGTTTTAGGAAGTTGCTTCAGTTAAAACCTGGAATGACTCTTAGGCCCTTCTTAACTTTTTCAAAAACCATTAAGACCTTCTTTTGGACTTCAAAAACTCTCTAAGGATCCATCAAAACAGAATCAAGGACCTCTGGAAGTACCAGACCCTTTAAGGTTAAATGAAAACCTCCTAAAAAAACCTACTAAAATCTTAACCAGGACTGCAAATGTTCCAGGACTCAGTTCATGAACTCCTGGAACATTTGCAGTATCAGTGCTCACCACTCCACTTTGAGGCCGATGTAGGTCAGCAGTTGTCGTTTTCCTTTACAGGTTTCGCACTCCTTCCTCCCCTGGGAATCACAGTCTGTACATCTACACACACACGCACGCACGCACGCACGCACGCACGCACGCACGCACACACACACAGAGTTAGGCATGTGACACACATGGCTCACATTCTTGAGTGATATGATCCGAGAGGACTGAAATGGCAGAGTAAATGAGAGCCGTGACGTTTTACATGTTTCATTTCTTCACCCCCATATCCTACTGAACCTGGTTTCAATCATGATGGAGTATTATATAAATGTCCTTGACATTTCCCCCCAAAAAATAATTAAAAAGTAAATCTTTTGATACCAAATGTAACCATAAGTGTCTTGTGTTACCACTTCGGCTCATGATCCCGACAGGGTTTACGGGATTTATACATGACATGAACTCAGAGACAGTATATAAAGGTTTGTGCAACAAAAACAATATTCAACATGCATGACCTGCACAAGTTGGAGCATGGGTTTATCTAAGTTTGTTTAGGTAAAATGTGGAGCTCATCTAAAAATATGCTGGCAGGCAGTGTGTGTGTGTGGTGCAGAGCAGCATTGCAGCATCTTTCTTACCAATGAACGCTGTCAGTGCAGTTTTCTGTTCACGTTTACTAAAGATACATCATCCAAGTCATTAAAAACTACAGCAGTTGTACTGTTTCTTCACAAAGACCAGAGACTATGATCAGTCCAGTCTGTCTGGAAGCTTCAGGACGAAGTTAAGAATCTACAAAATATTGAGAAATTAACTTTTAAATACTTGTTTTCTGAATGGAGGTCTGATCAGTCAGTTCTGGTGACCTGCAGGAAGTTTTGCATCAGGATTTTAAATCACCTGCTGCTTTTGCATTTGACTTTCAGTGACTTGTTCTTGCACATTTATTCGGTGCCCATTTGGTCTGAACACATCTCCCAACAAAACCTGAGCAGTTTTTATTCTGTTCAGACCTTCAAAGAAGAGTCTGATAATGGAACTGAATAAATGTGCAATCCTCTGTGCAGTACCTGTCTCTGCCTGTAGCATCACAGTGTGAGCAGTTTTCATCGTTCTTTGACCCAGAGCCATGACACACCCAACAGGGTTTCTGCAGAGGAAAGCACATATTATACAGTTATTATAAGTCCTTATAAACTTGTTTCTGCTCTTTTGAATTCCAAAAGTAGTCTGGGAGGAAGAGTGTTTCTGGTTAGAAGCTACTCCAATCCTCTGCATCTGACTTTATATCCTGTTTTTCTGTCTTAAATATCCATGTGATGGTATGACAACATCCACACTGTGCTACTAATGTCTGACTGACAGATTTATAGTGTTCTTACAAATCCATTTCCACTGCACTCCTCGCACAGCATCGCTCCAGTAGCACGGCAGGTGTGGCACTCCTGCAAAGACACACACAAACACACACAGTTAAAAATAACTTTACAGTTTTTTGAGTCTCACTGAGCTGAAGGAATGCTTCGTGTCAGAATCTTGCTCTCTGATTGGCTGTCGGTGAGCTGTTAAATCCCATATAGCTGGGGTTAATAACTCTCATAAAGCAGGTAACTTCACACAGGACAGACAGAACCTTAAGCAACACCTCCTCAACCATCTCAAAAGAACCCAGAGGGACATGTGTATTCTCTGAAACTCTGGGAATCTGCGGGTTCCAGCATTGAACCACTATTATAATCTTTTCCATGACCCAAGGGCATTCATTAAAAAAAAAAATGTTTAGCATTTGCGAGATCATTTGAAATTTTCAAGGACTCCTTGAGCGACCATATGGGTGTTCGGATGAAGATGTCACAGCTTTGAACCTTCCCAAGAACCCATCTAGATCCTTTGAAATACTCTGTCAGATTTCCCACTAAAAAAGCTCCAAGAGATCCCATCAAACCTCCTCAAGAAAGTCCAAATCTTTCCAAGAATCCTGGAATCCTTTTAGGACTGCGCCGAATACCTTATAAACATCTGAAACTCATCAAGAACTATGATTTGAACCTCTTTGAGGATTTTCCTTCAAACCCTCAAAGACCTAAGAAAAACAAAGTAGTCAAGGAACATCTGCATGATGTTTTGAAATCCCTTCAAAGGACTAAGTGGATCCAGTGACCCAAAAGGACCCCTGTTCAAGAAGCATCTTTTCTGGTAATTCTTAAGGACCTAAGGTAGTCCTCAAGGACCCACTGATCCACCCCACGGATCAATTAGGACACTTTTGAGGTCTATAAGCTAAAAACACCCTGAAACAGCCTCAAGCCCTACTTGAGTCCCCTTGAAATGGACCCTGGACCTCTTTTTACACCTAAAGGACTCCAAAAGTATTCCCGTTAAGATAAATTGACCCTTGAGGCAGATAATCCTGCTCTCTGATTGTCTGCTTTCTAAATTATACACTTACGTGTATCCAAGGGTTCCTGTTTAACTCTGATCTAATTCCAGAGCCACAGTATATGAAGCTTCAGGTAACCTTGGAAACAAGGGTGTATAGTATCAATTGCTACAGTCACCTTGATAGAAGAGGTGTAGGGCACACGTATCTCTTCTGTGTGATTAGTGAAGAGGCTGGGAGGATTGGCCTGAATCTCCCAGGGTCGGGGGGCCGTCTGGGTGTAGAAGTCTGCTGGTTCACCTGTAGGTCACATGACATCACAACCACCTGTCAATCAAACACCTGTGCATAGAGACACCATCAGAATAATCTAACAGCCCCTGTGAAACAGACTGAAATTAACACAGCAGTCTTTTAATGACCAACAAAAGCACCAAGACCACCGGGAACAGAAATCTGTGATTATCATTTAAAGACGATGGCAAAAGCTAATGGGGCTTAATAAGAAACTGAGAGGGTGCTACCAACTAGCCTCAGACCAGAATGTGTAAAAAGCAACACCCACAAGTGGTGTGTGGTTATGCAGCAAAATTTAAGTGATTCAAGACTGCAGTTGGAGCACTAAAAAGGTTTCCACAGAGGCCAGTACAATGTAAATCTGGATTTTTTTTTTTTGGGGGGGGGGGCTGCAGATCATGCCAAGCTACTCAGTGTCCTAGACTATTCTAGACGGGTGTAAAGTCACCTTTGAATATTTGCATCTTTGTACCTTCATGAGGTTTGTGGGCCCACTCAGTTGACCTGAACTCAGTGAAGGTCTCCAGTCGATACTAGAAAGCAGAAAATGTGTGATATTTAGAAAGAGACACAGCATGCTATGTTTTAAAAGGAGGTTTGGATACAACAGAAGTAATATCAGGCCGAACTTAGAAAAGTCTATTAATTTTATTAGTAATGTAAAACCACATTTGATATCAACAGCAGTGGTGAACTTTTCCATGTAGTCAGAGGTTAGAAATAAATAAGGTCTTTTTGCCCACAATTTCTTAAAAAGCATTATGAGAACTGAATGTCCAAGTTTTAAAGTGTGATTACACCAAAAATAGAAGTACAGCATGAATAAAAGGGGACAGAAGTAATAGTAGGCTGTTATTTTGGTGCTGGTGTATCTGGGTTAACTTAATTAGCGGTTAAATATTCAAACCTAGTCTCCACACAGGCTGTAAAGTGAAAACAGAAGAGCAGAAGCTTCTAAATGAGGCTGCGTTCAGGGAAAGTACAGAGAAGGACTTGTTTTGGAGTTACACAGAGTGTCCCACTCTTCCTCTGTTGTGCGTGTGAAACATAATCAAATATTGTCAAAGTGTCAAAGTATGCAAACATGAAACTGGAGCTGTGAGAGGGCCGCTGTGGACAGCTGGACTGATCAAAATAGAAACTTCTCTGAACTCTAAGACACTCACGAACAATCACAACAGAGGGGCCGGGTTTGAGGTTTGGACCTCAAAATGTTTCATCAGTTCCAGATATTTAAACCCAAATAGTCTTTTCACATTTCTATGTCACATGATGAGAGTATTTGAGGTCACATGACAGTCATGTGAGAGTCACATAATTACAGTGGCTATAAACTGATATCACGGTGTCAGATTGAATCAAGCTGTCTGCAGAGACAAGAGACAACAAAGTCTGAACCCCTCACCCCCCTTATTCTGAACACAGAGTCTGGATATGTGGTCTGGTTCAGGGCAAAGATATGCCACAGCAGAGACACGTGGAAAAACTCAGAGACTTCAGAATCTGGACATATGCAGACCAGGTTATGAGCAGACTTCAGGGGGAGTGAATTACACCAGTTCTGTTACACTATTACATGAGCTCTGATGACTGAGACTCTGAGACTGAGGTAAAGGGGACTCAGATTTATTGATTGATAGGGACCGTATTGTTAGTTTTCTATCAGTATTGGCAGATCATAGCTTAAAAAGTTGTTTGCACCACTGCTGGACAACATGTTGAAGAATAAATAAACTAAGGTGAAGCACAGGAGATATTCAAAGACAACTAATACTTTTACTGAAACTTTGATTTATCTTTTATTTGGCTTTACAGCGAGGAGAGGAAAAGATGCAGAACACAGGGAGGGACAGAAGAGGTAGTCATGACCTTCAAGTCTACTTTAAGTTATCTGAACATACTGCTGCACTGGGAGCCTGGAAATAACGCATGGATATTGAGATTGTGTTGGTTTTTATAGGAAACACCTCCCAAACTCAATTCCTGTTATTTCTTTCCTTTCCTGCTTCTGTAGGAACAAAGTCAACAGTTTACAGCTGAAGTTGAATGTAATGAACTCTGTGTTTTCTACTGAAAGCATGTTCAAGTTAAAACAGGCATCAGTAAGGTGAAATATCGAGATTCAGTATTTTGTGCTCTAAAGTTATGAATCAAAGCGTTCACGATAAGGGTGCAATGAAACGGCTAAAGCATCACAGGCAGTATGAAAATGTGCTCACCCTGTAGGTGTTGAACGGCTCCATGCCGGTGATGACGCCATCATTAACAGGCCCTTTGCTGTAGCAGCACTGAGATGACACAAAGCTCTTGAACGCCTCACGAGCTACATCCTCAGACACAGAGGGGATGCTGCAACACAAACACATAAATCTGATCATATACACTACTGGTCAAAAGTTTTAGAACACCCCAACTTTTACACAATTTGATTGAAAATGATGCAGTTTAATATCTCAGTGTACTCTGAAATTAATGCACAGAACAAATAAACAACTTAAGTTAAAAAAGAAACATAGAATCAATTTAGAAATGATAAAACAGCTGAACACACTCGTGGCAATCAATGACAATCAAATATTTTTCAGAAAGTTCTCCCCAACTCTATTGCAGAAGTTTCCATGAATGTGTAGCACTTGTAGGTTGCTTTGCTTTCACTCTTCTGTCCAGTTCATCTAAGGCCAGCTTGATGGGGTTTAAGTCTGGAGACTGTGCTGGCCACTCCATGTTTTCAATATTACCATCTTGTTCTTTTTCTTAAGATAGTTCTGGCACAGCTTGGACTTACGTTTTGGGTCATTATCTTGCTGTAGGCGCACACAGACACAGTGGCTAGGAGCTATCACAACCGGCATATACTATGTAAGGTTGTATGCTCCAACGGAATTTCGTTGTTATTTTATGACAATGACAAATAAACGATTGATTGATTGATTGATTGATTGATTGATAACTTAACCCCTGACCAACTAGGCGCATCCCAGAGGGATTGGCGCTGCAGAATGCTGTGGTAGCCATTTAGGTTCAGGGTCCCTTTCACTCTGTACAAGTCCCTGATGCTGGATGCAGCAAAACAGCCCCAGACCATCACACTTCCTCCTCCATGTTTGACGGTTGACTTCACACTCTGAGGAGTGATCCTTTTGCCTACTAAACGGCGTACAAAAATCCTGCGTGATGAACTGAAGCTGTGCTTGAAGCTGTTGTCCTGTGAGCCGCCTGTCACACAAGCTGTTGACTCTAAGAAACTTGTCTTCTGATGCTGTTGTGGCTTTGGGTCTTCCAGACCTCTGCCTGTCAGCATTTTCCCTAGTTTCTGAGTACCTTTTGATGGTAAAGAAAACTGTGCTCAATGACACCTTGACTCTCTGCAATTTCTCTGTAGTAAAGACTTACATTTACGATTGTTTTGATGGTCTGTGTCTTTTCTATCCTTAATTGCCTTTTCCTCACTGTTTTTATAGTAAAACACAACTTTCTGCAGTATACTACTGTTCAAACAATGCTCACAACAGTATGGTACCGCAGTGTGCTCCAACACTACTTTTATGCAGACAGAGGGGGTTTTAAATGATCAAGAACAGTTTCATTTTTGTATAACTCTGAAATGTACATTATTTTTTAGTTTTGGTTAACCTTACCTTTTTTATTTACCTCTGGCAGTTCACCACTTACCTTTATACCCTTTCAAGCTGTTCATTGGACTTGAACTGCTTGAATTTCAATAAAAAAATGGAAAAATTGGGGTGTTCTAAAACTTTTGACTGGTAGTGTATAAGACTGGCAAATTCTTTTAATGCAGCCTGTTCAACACATGCTGGTGAGCTGCTAAGAGAGGTGATGTCAGGTTTTGTTGCATTCAAGTGGGAATGATCAAAATAAGTTCAGACAGGGGGTTTGGAGCACCCTCAGGCTGTAACTACATATGAAGTCACAAACTTGTTGCTGCACTTGTGCATTCTTTTAAACCAGAGCCCCTCTGATGTGGAATTTCAGAAAGACATGCCTTCAACAAAGAGTAAAAATTCACAGGTGATTACAGATATTTCTGTGGACAGAGAGAAATTTGGGAGCTTCAGAGGATTTTGCATTGACATGATGATGCAGAAAACATCTACTAAATTGGGTAGCTCTGATAAATGTGCTGCAGAGATTATTATAAACCGGCTATTTACTGTTGTTTTTCCAGTATCTCAGCTAACCAAAAAAAAAAAAAAAGGGAGTGTAAGACTTTTGAGATTTATATACACTACAGGCCAAAAGTTTGGAAGCAAGGCCATTGCAGGCCGAACAGTTGGGAGTAACTACAAGTTTTTGTTCACAATGCTTTTTTAAAAATCCAGCATGAGTTGTATGTATTTTGGGATGTATTTACTACATGATCAGATGTTGCTTTCATGGAAATGCACCATATTACTCCAACTTACCTTTAGATATACATTAGTGTGAACACACCATTGCTAAATATATGTCAGCAAAAGATAATAAAGGCTTAGTTTTAGGGTTGAAAACGTTTGCAAGAGTCACAACTTCAGTGCAAAAGCAAAAAAACAAATCACAGTTGGATTATTTACTTTAACTTTTTGGCTTTTGAAAGTCTGCATACAAAAATCCTAATAAATCTCAACTGTGTTCAAACTACTGCAAAAATAGCAAGAAAGAAGCAACTGAGTACAACTGATTTGTACATTAAGGAAAGAAGGATACACAGAAAGAGAAATTGAAAAACGCCTAAAGGTGTCTAACAAAGGAGTCCACTACACTCTGAATAGACTAGAGGAAGCTGGAAGTTATGATGATAGAAAAAGGCCTAGACCAGGGGTCGGCAACCTTAAACACTCAAAGAGCCACTTGGACCAGTTTCCCACAGAAAAGAAAACACAGGGAGCCACAAAACCTCTTTGACATCTAAAATGAAGATAACATTGCATATATCTTTTTTTTTTACCTTTATACAAAGTATATAAAAAACTGTAGCGAGTTGCATTTATGAAATAAATGAACTATTTCGGCGAGTGTCTGTCTTCTTCTGGAGTTAAACCGCAAGATATCAAAATCTACCCGGATACAGCAATGCTGCTTTTTGATTGGCTGTTCAGTAGATATACTTTATTTGATTGGCTTGTGCGTGGCACGCAGCTTCTGAACTCTCGGAGGAACTCAGTTGATTTCCTCCAGTTCCATAGTTGAAGAAGTGCAACTTGGTGGACATCACTGTGTTCATTTAAATGCGTGAGAAATGCAATGTGTGGTGTGTGAGCGTGTGAACGAGTGGGAATGCGTGTGTCATACGCTGAATGCGTGAGACTTGAGAGCCCTGTGCTCACGCATCATCGATGTACTCCCGAGTACGCCTTCCTTTTCAGTCTTGGTGAAGTTTTCCCACACCACTGATGTTTTAGGTCAGGATTTGGGTTGGGTTTTGTCCATGTTTTTCTCAGCCGCTGCCTCGGCCATGGCTGTTTCTTTTCTGTGCGTCCTGCTGATGTTTACACGCCGGTGTCCATGGACATATATAAAGACCCGACGAATCGATTACAGAATTTGATGGCAACGGATTTTTTCGTCACGACGAATCTACTTAATCAATTCGTTGTTGCAGCCTTAATAGTTTATTTAATGTTACAAGAGCATTATAATCTTTGAATTTAGAATTACAAAAAAAAATGATAATAATAAAATAAAATAAAATGCAATTAAGTATTTATTATTTATTTTCCAAATCCATTGGGAGCCGCAGCTTAGGGAAGAAAGAGCCGCATGCGGCTCCAGAGCCGCGGGTTGCCGACCCCTGGCCTAGACGAAAGAGAGTTAATACAAAAGCAGAGGATAAACATAGCATTGTCACCAGTAAGAGAGATCGGTGAAAGACAGCACCAAAAATAAGGGAGGAAATCAACATGACAAGGTCGAAACCCATATCTCTGACAACCGTGAGATGACGTTTGAGGAAGGCTGGTCTGAAGGGTTGTGTATCTGCAAAAAAAAAACACTACTTCGTCCACGGAACAAGAAAAAGAGATATGAGTGGGCAAAAGCTCACAAAATTTGGACCTATGATGACTAGAAACAAGTTCTCTGGATCGATGAAAGCAAGTTTGAACTGTTTGGTTCAAAACACAGAGTCTATGTCCGCAGACAAACTGGTGAACGTCTGAAAGCACCACGTGTTACACCCACAATTCAGCATGGAGGTGGTAGTTCCATGGTATGGGGATATTTTGCAGGCGACATTGTAGAAGATATGTTTGACGTAAAGGGTATCATGAAGAAGGAACAGTACCACTCCATCCTCTAGCACCATGCTGTTCCATCTGGACTCAGACTTGTGGGTCACAAGTTTGTTTTGCAGCAAGACAATGACCCTAAGCATTCTGCCAAGCTCTGTCAGGGTTACCAAGACAAAAAAGAAGAGGAAGGTGTTCTTCAAAAGATGGTTTGGCCCCCTCAGTCTCCAGACCTTTCTCCAATTGAGCTTGTGCTTGTGTCTTTACTTCTTAGCTTTACTATATATATATATATATATATATATACACACATATATATATAAGTCTTACACACCTTTTTTTTTGATATTTTAATCAAAAAACTGAAATACTTTATATCCACCAGTGTGACCAATACATCAGTATACATTTCCCACCACCACTGGTAATGAAGAAGATAAACACAAGTAAATGCTTAAAAAATATAGATGCATTTCTGCATAGGGTTTCCATAGAAACGAACTGACAAGGATATCAGACACTGTGATATCAGCCCATGTTGGCTGAGAAGATCATCCAGTATAATCTTTACTTCTCAGCTTTACTTGGATCTATTCAAAGGTGTTACGCCAAAGTTAACTCCACATAACAACATAAAACTTATGAAGACAACTAAGTCTGGATAACAACTTCCCGCAGTGGGAAATGAAACATCTGAGGAGCACATGAAGCTAGTATTACCTCCACTCCGCAGGTTCAAGGCCAGGTTGGGGCGGGGCTATGGGCTCCAAAGGCATAGGAGGGGGGAGGTAACCTCCTGCAGCAACAAGATAGGCTTTAAGTAGCTGCAACTACCTTAAAATTACCTGAAACATTCAGGTTAAACTCCTCTTACCTCCTCCTGCCACAGTGCCCTCATAGCCGGGCACGTTGCCGAACATGTCGGCAGGGGGGGCGGTGGGAGCGGGATACACAGCTGGAAGAGACAGCAAACGATTAATACATGAGAAGTCTTAAATGGCTTGGAGGAAGCGTAGTCTTTAAAGGAATAGTCCAACAATTACTTAATCACATTTTTGCCTATAAGTTAGTTAGGGGACCGACACCACTCTTATATCCAAAGGGTTAATAACTGGAAGCAGTTAGCGTAGCCTAGCACAAAGACTGGAAACAAACAAATTGCTAACCAAGAGGGAGAAAAAGAGGCAGGAAGAAGAAAAACAGACAGGAAAGGAGTGGTGAAAAAGGAGAGAAAGATGTGAAAGGAGCTAGTAAAAGAGAGGATGTGGTAAAGAGGGAATGAGAAAAGAAGGGAAGGGCAGAGGGGGAGACTAGGTTGAGAAAAAGTATGATAGGATAACAAAAATGAAGAGTACGAGGAGAAATATGAAAAATGAGAGGATAGAGGAGGGAGAATGGGACTGAAAGAGGTAGGAAAGGAATTAGGAAGCAAAGGAAAGGTGTGAGGAGGCAGGGAACATCAAGGGAAGGTATGAGAAGTGGGGGGAAAATAGCAAAGCTGCGTCTGTTTTTTTATAAATTCATTTAATTTACACCTTTTATTCCCTCTGACTTTTCAAAACAAGATAACCTTTCTCTCTGAGCTAGAGCACCATCTGCTTTAGGTCACTTTAATTCTTTCCATGTTACTTCAGTCATGTTTTCGCTCTTTGTTTTCTTTCTTTTTTAAATGTTCCCATAGTTTAAATGTCAGTACATTTTCTCTTTTCATGCTGGCCTGCTACGTGCACTTTGCAGAGTCACTATGGAGACAAATCCGGACCGATAGGACAGACAGGGCCTGATCGATCTGGTGCCACTGAATGGACAAAATCAACAAAGTCATCACTAAATCACATTAAATATTCATCCATAAACCCACAGAAACAAAATATACAGTTGAATTACCAATTACCATGCTGACGCTTTTTACATTTTCAATTTGGGGGAAATTTTAGCGATAAATTAAGCGTATGTCATAAATCAAGCCAAGTGAAATAGTTTCTTTTTCGACTATATAGTTAAGATAACCGTAGTTTTAACCGTCAAACGGAGGTGTTAACTCTTGATTCTTAAAAACGTTATTTCCATGACAACGAGGGTCAAGTCGACCGTCCACACCCCCACGGACGGTACCAAACCACATCCAAACCAAGAACTAACTGCATTTTGCCCATTTAAACTTATAAACTTACAAGACGTGCTTGAATAGCTTTTTTGTTAATTAAAATATGTGCAGGGCATTCCAGTAGCGCCGCAAACTGTGTATCTTTGTGCTATGGTCAGTTCGGTTACCGTGCAATCTCATGCCATGTCTTATGTGTCGGATCTTACCTGCAGTATTCATCCTTCTGCTGGTTGTTTTTGCTCGGTTTCAGTTACTCCAGACAGTTTGTCCGTTACCTATTCCTGGCCGTTACACGCCGCTTACTGCAAGTGTGCAATCACCGACAATACAATTCACAACTTCCGGTATACTTTCACACTAAAAGTCCAGCGAGTTACAGCCTTGTCCACCTACCACTCATGATTTCATCTTCTTTTGACAGAAACACTTTTAAACCCTGGAAAAGCCGTGCCAAGTGTTTTTCATGTTGTGGCATAAATATACAATTTGTAACCTCGCCTGCATCTGAACAATCATTTTTAAACTACATTGTATACAAAAGTCTGTCAATCAATAGACTTTTACAGTATTTTTTTCCCAGTTGCCATCGTTATTATTGCTGTAGTCAATTAGATATTGTTTCAATAAATGGCTATTTGATATAATTCTGGTTCTGCTCAAGGCTTCTGCCTGTTAAACAGGCATTTTTTTGCCTGTTGCTTGTGAAATGCTGCAAAGTGTTTTGCCCATGTTGGAGTAAGCTCTTTTACAAGTGTCCTTTTATTCAACATATGCCATGTTTTTTTTCACCTTTCATTTGTTTATGTTTTTACACAAAAACATATTTTTTCCACAAAATCTTGAATAAATTGTGTTGCTGATTAGACCCATAGTAAAAGCTCGCAGTCAGTGTCAGGGCCCCTCTTTGAATCAACTTTAACCTTTATTTTGAAGGGACGCCTCTACCTTCCAGCATTCCTTGAATGTTCCCTTTAGTTTGACTCTCCTGGTCCGCAGGAATGCCCACCACGCCCCATCTGGAAAGGATTAAAGGTCTGAGCAGAAATATGCAGATCAGTACACAAAGAGTGGACTCATTAGCATGCAACCTCAGCAAATAAACAATTGAATGTAAACTGGAGCTTTTACATTTCTGCAGCATCTCGCAGATCCAGCGCTCACTGAAAAGTCTTCAAGTTTGATACTGATCTGGCACAACATGATAACATGAGTTTGATTCAATAAAACAAGCCTGGAGGTATGTTTTATATGTCAGGCGTGTTCGGGCAGTGTGTGACTCCCGAAGGGGAATTTTTCTGGGGTTTACAGGAAACAGCAGCTCTCAGGATCCTGACACTGTGTTGTGACTTCAGGTGAGGGCCCTCAACTTTGGTCCAATAAGTCATTTTTAAACTATTCAAAGCCTCTAAAAGGTAGACTTGGTTAGTTTAGGTGGATCGAATAGGAGAAGAGCAGTTTGAGTAAAGGATCGTAAAGGATCTCCCCTGGATTAACCTGCTAAGAGACCCCAGCAGAAAATAAGCCATGAGCTTCTGTTAATCCTACCTTGCTCCTTCTTCCTTCCTTCTCTTCACCTGCATATCTACCTGGACTCATGCATGCTTCGTGGTAGCTTCTGTAAGCACAGTATCAATACCACACTTGAAATGTACTTCAACATAAGTTTAAAGCTCCTGTGAGAGACTTTTGGTTTGTGTTGAGTTTGGAGCCCCCTCGTAGACAAAAGTTTGATGATGAAAAAAGAAAACAAAAGTAGTTTTGCCATATTTTAAAAGTCAAATGTATCTCTCAATTACAATCCTTGCCAGGGAACATATGAATAAATATTGAATTAGCACATGCAGTTGATGACATCTGACACCTACCCTCCTCAGCCAGGGCCGGATTATGGGGGGTCTGGGCCCCTGTGACTGACACTGATCACGGTGCTGATGAAGAGCAACGCACGCACATTCTGCAGGTTTGAGGGGTCACTAGTAAAGGGATTTTCCGGCGCAAAATTAAGTTAGGGTCAAACACACCTTAACACCCTAGTTAGACACCCCGAGAGATGAATGTTGCCGACTGCTAGCTTTACTTTAGTAAAGACTGCAGATAGCAATACAGAGAGCCACGCGCTCAACCAAAACGCCACTCTATAACCACAAATAATGCTCAGAACAGCACCTAACTTCATCAACACCTTTTTAGCTTTGCCTGATTTCTTGTTTCACACAACTCACCCTCTCTCTTGCAGCAGCCACTTGTTTGTATGAAGACCTCCGGGTGAGTTCATCGATTGCAATGTAAAAGCTGTTGAAGGGGTGAAGAAAAAACCCCTTCAACAGCTTTTACATTTAAACCTTTCTCCATGTTATATTAGCAGTTTAGCATTGTTTTTTCAGCTTTCAGCACTCAGCATTTCCACGCATCTTCTGCAAGGAAATGCAATTTTTCTAGTTCCACTTAGACTTCCAGATTTGTTTACTGAAAATACAGTAGCCCTTATAATGGCTTTAAGTCTAGTTAAGGTACACTATTATTACAATACAATACAATGTAAATGTCAATGAGTTTTTTAATAGGGTGTTGGATGCTAAATCTGATAGTCTAGGAAAGGTTTTAATGTAAGAATGTTGTTAGGAGTTTCGATAAATGGATTTAACAATATTGGATTTTCACTTAAACTACCAAAATTTCTGCCATGTGAGGAGTTTCAATAAAAGCAATGCAAAGTGTAATGTGGGAGTGTTGTATTGATATTGGATTTTCACTTGGACTTCACTTTGTTGGCATTGGTGTGTACAGTACACCCCTTTACGGTGGGGACATAAGGAAGCGAAATCTGCAAAGTGAAGCCGGGCAAAACTCAATGTTCTGAAGGTGAATATTTACCAGTCTACTACTCTCCTCGAAGATAACTATAGGTTATAATGACACGTGAATCTGCTGTGTATTGTGATTTGACCACTGTACAGCCCACCCCTGAGTCTAGCTCGGCTATTGGACACTCGGTTCACGATATGGTCGCGACGCGTGATAAATTTGCATGGAGTTGGAGATTTCTGAACTTTTGGACGTGTCGCAATGACAGTTTTGATGCACTCCAAGGACCATGTCATATTGTGTACACACAATACTATGCGGGAGCAAAATCACTTCTCATAGAAAATAGGTCCAGCTTCTACTAGCTGTCTACTGGGGCCAGGATATGCTTGCCGTGTGCACATTTCATGCCTGAATGCGTTGCCATGCGTATTTTATGTCCATGTTACGCGTAATAGCACACCTGAACACAAGGTATGCAGACATATGCGCATGTTGCAATATTGACACAACCGCGAGGGGCAATCTTCTGAACTTCCATGTTGAGCTCGTGGTAGAGTCAAACAATGGTGGAAACTATAAAAGAAAGCCCAGTTGGCTATCTGCCCCCTACATGAAACCACCAGTATCCAATGGTGCCAATTTAGCGACTTTGTCGCTAGATTTAGCGACTTTTGGCCGTCTCTGGCGACTAAAACCTCATCTAGCGACTTAGCGGCTGTTATGGACAGTAATTCGTTTTGAGTGTTTTCTTTATGTTTACTGTTTTTCTGCAGTAAAGTAGCAGTTTAGTTCGGCGATGACGTCACTTCCTGCGCAAACCGGAAGTTGTCGCAGATCAGGACTCGCGCGAACGGGCAGCCGACAGGGCGTTTACGGAGTGTTTTCCTCATTATCCTCCGTGGTTTCACAAGTCTGTTAAGACGCATTGTCTGTGAGTATGTGTTTATATGGTTTACATTGATGTTAAGAGTGAATTATTTGGCGATTTATGTCTGAAATTCATGTCTATTTTGTAATGTTTTGTATTGCAGTTTCACACTGGTTCAGTAAAAAGTCAAACAAGTCCCGGCTTCAACTGCATTTATTGAATCACAAGTAACCTTCGGAGCTAAGCTAAGTCTGTTTCCACGTCGGGCACCATCATGCCTTCAAGCCATTGCGACGATGCATCCCAACACAACGGCAAACAGTCCACGGCCTCTAAATCAACAAAATCATATGGATCAAAAAAGCCTTCAGTCTCCAGTTCTAACATGATGGTTGTCCAAGCAAGGGCTAAAGCAGAAGTGGCCAAAGCCAGAGCTGCCTTCGCAGATAAAGAGAAGGAGCTAAAGATTGAAACGGCTCGCATTCAAGCCATCCTGGAAGCCATGCAAGAGGAGAAAGAAATGAACGCTGCCATAACTGAAGCGGAAATACTCGAAGCAGGCATGTTAGAAAAAGAATGTGAGTCACAGGAAAATGCACCTTTACTCGTTCCTCTTGACCAGCAGCTTCAGCGCACAGCTGACTATGTGCATGATCAAGCCCACATCCAACCTATCCACCAGGCAGCTCAATCCGACGACAAAGACACTACATTCTATCTGCTTCCAGTTGCTGCCAGCCAACATGATCAGCTATACCAGGCTTCAGGTGGAGTCTCCCCTCAGCAGCTGGCCGCTCCGAGGCAGCAGTGGCATGGTGTCCAACCTGCTGACCATGGCTCTCAACTTAGATCCTCCCAGCCAGTCGCCTATCAGCCCCATTACGAATCTCCTGTACCTGCCAACCAAGGTACTCAAACCACCACACTCGACCTCGTCAAATGCATGGCCCGTTTGCAGCTAGTGACCACCGGGTTAACTGCCTTTGACGACAAACCAGAGAACTATTGGGCTTGGAAATCATCCTTCCAGGGAGCCACTGCCAGCCTGGACCTTTCGCCAAGAGAAGAGTTGGACACGCTCGTCAAGTGGCTTGGGAAACAGTCATCGGAGCATGCCCGCAGGATAAAGGCCGTAAATATGAGAGACCCATGCAGAGGCTTGAGGATGGTATGGGAAAGGCTGGAAGAAACCTATGGCTCACCCGAAGCCATAGAACATACCCTCTTCTCCAAGCTAGAGAACTTTCCAAAGGTGTCTTATAAAGACCCACACAAACTGAGAGAGGAGAGTGGAAATCGGTCGGTTCAAAGTATAAGTTCCAACACAACGTTCACTTCCCTCCTTTCAGTGTGTTTGTCGACTTCATCTGCAGCGAGGCTAGAACACAGACAGATCCGAGCTTCAACACTGCATCCCTCCAAACTACTGCAAAAAGAGAGAGACCAGACAAGTATGTACAGACGCCAGTAGCAGTCCACAAGACCCAAGTGTCACCTGCTGAGAAAAGAGGACATCAGCAAAGGGATATCAATCTCGCAAAACATTGTCTGATCCATGATAAGCCTCATTCACTAAAGAAGTGCAGGACCTTCAGAGAGAAGAGTTACGAAGACCGTAAGCAGTTTCTAAAAGATCGTACTATATGTTTCCAGTGCTGCTCATCCACAAGCCACTTCGCCAAGGATTGCCAAGAGGAAATTCGATGCAAAGAATGTGAAAGCACCAGGCATGTTTCAGCACTCCATCCAGGCCCAGCTCCTTCAAGGTCAAGGTCAGACCCTCCCACTTCAGAGAACAGTGGGGAGCCCAATAAACCTGACGATGACAAGGTTACTTCGAAGTGCACAGAAGTGTGTGGTGATGGAGTAAGCACAAGAGCATGCTCAAAGATATGCCTCACCGATGTGTTCCCTAAAGGACATCACGAAGAATCGAAACGTATGTACGCAATACTAGACGACCAAAGTAATTGGTCTCTGGCCAGGTCCGAATTCTTCAAGCTCTTCAGCATCACAGGAGCTCTGCAACCTTACACGCTGAAGACGTGCGCAGGACTCAAGCAGACGACTGGCCGAAGAGCTACCGGGTTCATGGTCGAATCAGTGGACGGAAAAATCAGTCTCCCGCTTCCAACACTTTTGGAATGTAACCAGGTCCCTAACAACTGCTCGGAGATCCCCACACCAAACGCAGCTCTTCATCACAGTCACCTGAAATCCATCGCTAGAGCGATCCCTCCTCTCGATTCAGAGGCCAAGATTCTCCTACTGTTGGGAAGAGACGTATTGCGAGTGCATAAGGTGCGGGAGCAGATCAATGGTCCCCATGACGCTCCCTTTGCCCAAAGACTCGACTTAGGGTGGGTCATCGTCGGCGATGTGTGTCTTGGGGGAGCACACAGACCGTCTCAAGTGAACACCTTCAAGACCACAGTTTTGGAAAATGGCCATCCCACTTACCTTGTACCATGTACCAGCAAGGTCCAAGTAAAGGAGAACTTCAACTCCCAGCCCCTCAGTACAGCCCAAATCACAAATCGGTCACTAACACATGCCGGAGAGAGTCTGGGCCAGTCAGTCTTCCATCAGTCTGCCAAAGACCATCAACTTGGACCATCCATGGAAGATTGGACCTTTCTTCAGTTAATGGAAGAAGAGTGTTATCAAGATAGCTCTAACAGTTGGGTTGCTCCTCTGCCCTTTCGTTCGCCAAGGAGACAGCTGCCCAACAACAGAGACTATGCCTGCCGTCGCCTCTCTTCTCTTTGCCAAACACTAGAGAGGGGGCCGAAGATGAGGGCCCAGTACCTTGAGTTCATGAAGAAGCTGCTCGACAACAACCATGCTGAAGTTGCTCCGCCACTTCCTGCCGGTCAAGAGTGTTGGTATCTTCCATCGTTTGGGGTCTATCATCCCAGGAAGCCAGAGCAAATCCGCGTGGTCTTCGACTCCAGTGCTCCTTTTGAGGGAATATCTCTGAACGATGTGTTGCTTACCGGTCCTGATCTCAACAACAGCTTGCTGGGCGTCCTCCTAAGGTTCAGGAAAGATCTTGTGGCCATCACCGCAGACACTGAACACATGTTCCATTGTTTCATGGTCAGGAAGACCACAGGGATTATCTCCGCTTCTTGTGGTACCGCAACAATGACCCAAGCCAAGACATCATAGACTACAGAATGTGCGTGCATGTTTTCGGTAACAGCCCATCTCCCGCGGTCGCAATCTATGGTCTCAGAAGAGCAGCCAAGCAAGGGGAGGGAGAGTTCGGAAGTGACGCCAGACAATACGTAGAGCGATGCTTCTATGTGGACGACGGACTATGGTCTTTCTCTACGGAAGAGGATGGTATCGGTATCATCAAGCGAGCTCAGAAAATGCTTTCCATGTCTAACCTTCGGCTACACAAGATAGCGTCCAACAGACTTGCAGTCATCGAGGCCTTTCCTCCCAAGGACCATGCCAAAGAAATTAAAAACCTGAACCTTCTCACCGACGATCTCCCTTGTGTCTTGGGACATCGTTACAGACACATTCACTTTTCAGATCTCAGACGAGGAGAAACCATACACCAAAAGAGGAGTTTTATCAATGGTCAACAGCCTGTACGACCCTCTTGGGTTTCTGGCTCCAGTAACCGTACGAGGCAGACTTTTACTCAGAGAGCTCTCCAAGCAAGCCGAAGACTGGGACTCAGCACTCCCTCACGCAGTGGTGGTTCTAGACCAAATTACTCCCTGGGCTAGATTGGCACCCCAACCAGAGATTACTATCCCAAGGTTGGAGCTATGTGCGGCAGTCCTCGCAGTTGAAATTGCAGAGATGGTGGTGGAAGAAATGGATATGAAACTCGACCGCATCACTTACTTCACCGACAGCAAAGTCGTGTTGGGATATATTCACAATCAAGCAAGGCGGTTCTACGTCTATGTGAATAACAGAGTCCAGCGGATTCGACAGTCGTCATCCCCAGACCAGTGGCGATATGTTCCCACGGAACACAACCCAGCAGACCATGGGTCCAGATCAGTCACTGCAGCCTCCCTGAGCACCACAACTTGGTTGACTGGACCAGCTCTCCTCCAGAAACCTTCACCGCACTTCTCCGAACTTGAAGAACCCTTTGACCTCCTCAACCCTCTCACCGATGCCGTGGTACGTCCATTGATCACAACCACTGGGAAAGATGTCTTGAATGATGTGATGAGCACCAAGAGGTTTGAGCATTTTTCAGCACACTCATGGCGGCAGTTGCATGCCTGATCCACATAGCTCATTCATTTGCCCAGTCCACACCAGACAATGCCTGCCAAGGCTGGCACATCTGTTGTGCAGGTCCCACTGAAGAGGAGCTGGAGAAAGCAAAGATCTTCGTGATCAAAAGCGTGCAGCAGGAGTGTTTCCTCAAAGAATTGAACTGTATCGCTAGAGGTAAGAATCTCTTGACTCAAAGCAGTCTAAAGAAGCTATGTCCCATCGTTGACAGCAATGGACTGCTGAGAGTGGGAGGCCACATTACACAGTCAGAACTGGGAAAAGACGAAACCAACCCCATTATTATCCCAGGTAAACATCATTTGGCAACTCTGCTTGTGCGTCAATATCATCACGCCGTGAAGCACCAAGGTAGACATTTTACAGAGGGGGCCATCCGTGCTGCCGGGTTCTGGATTGTCGGGGCCAAAAGGTGCATCGCAAGTCTTCTCATCAAGTGTGTGACATGCAGGAAGCTTCGCGGGAAGACAGAATACCAACAGATGGCCGATCTTCCAGCAGCGCGACTTCAAGCAGTGCCACCCTTCACCTATGTAGGTGTCGACATCTTCGGGCCGTGGGAAGTGGTTTCACGCCGCACCAGAGGTGGTCATGCAGACAGCAAACGTTGGGCTGCATTATTCTGCTGCATGTGTACGAGAGCTGTGCACATAATAATAATAATAATAATAATTCATTTTATTTGTACAGTGCTTTTAAAAACACTCAAAGACGCAGAACATAGTACGTAAAATTCAAGATAATAAGACAAAGACATGAAAACAGTAAGATGAACAAAACAGTTAAATATTAAAAGCAATTTTAAATAAGTGAGTTTTTAAAAGGGATTTAAAAGTTGTGGGGTCAGGGCAGTGTCTGATGGAGGGGGGTAGGGAGTTCCAAAGGGTAGGGGCAGCTGTGGAGAATGCCAGATCCCTCCAAGTTCGGTGCTTGGGCCGAAATTCCATTTCTTTAAGAAATTGTTCATGTTCCAGGTGCATTTGCTCTTGTTTTAGCAATCTATCTTTCTGTCTTTCCTGCAACTCTAGCTCTTTTAAAGCCAATTCTCTAAGTCTTAATTCAATAGCAGGATCTGATAATTCAGGAGGTGGACTTCTAGATGGAGACAAAGGTGTAGACTTAAGGATGCCATTTTCAATCAAAGCAGCCTTAAGGGCATCTCTGGTGCTCTTCTTTAAGCTTTTGTCACTACTACAAATTGTGACTTCATAATAGTCAGCAAGTTTTAAAAGCTGATCTTTGGTTAAGTTGTCAAGCAACTCTTCAGAGGGTGCACTAATAAAGTCATCAGGGGTTGCCATCCTAGATAACTGCACAAAAAACTAAATTCAAGCTAAACAAAAAAGTTAGCTACAACAAGTCACCCACAAACAAGACAAATAGGCTCAAGGCCTCAAAAGTGTCCAACACAGCAGAAGCAGTTATAGATCAAAATCTCTCTCTACAAAATGGCTACCAGAGCCACAACCACAAAAGTAGGCCTACAAACCCTGTCACAACACAAATTCGCACAATATATTAACCAAATAGGAAACATTGGTAATATATAGTACACAAAGGCAACTCTAAAGTCAGGTAAACTAGCCTACACGAAGTCAAGAACACTTGACTAAACAAAACTGCACAAAACACAAGTTAGGATGATGGACACACCACTACTATGGCCTCCAACTCAAAAAGGAGCACCATCACCAGACATACTGACAATGTCTGATGCAGTCCCTCCTCAGAGTTTGCCACCAAAAATAAAAAAGAAAAATAACAAATGAGAGGCTGAAGGAAGGACGATATAAATCAGCCCAGCTAGCTCCTCCTAACCCAACCAGGGAAGATTACATATGCATAATGTTAATATACTCAAAACTATACTCACCACATGCTCACCAGAAGAAAGGAACAAAGCAGCACATGACCACATGATTTGAACAGCTCAACAATGAAATAAAAATTACCAGTCTAGGGGAAATACAACAAACTCAACTAATCTGGCTTCAATCCCTAATCAATCCCGGACGAGCCCCCAATATGTTACGACCCTGGCTCAGGGGAAGCAACATAAGGGAACTGAAACAATTCAAAGTTTTCGCCAAAGCATTTATTTACAAGAACTCAAAATAACAATGAAGGTATGGGAGCTGGGACAGCATGTCTGGTCTGGCTGCAGGCTGAGAGAGAGAGTGTGGAAGAGTCTCCCTTGGCTTTTATGGACTGCCCACAGGTGCAGGTGATCAGCTCAATTATCTGGTGGAGCCAGCATATGGAGGCCAGCAAGTGTCACAAAGGAGTCCTCAGGAGTGCCTCCAAGAAAACACATATTAGTGTGGCATATTCTATAGATGCACATGTAACACAGTGGGGTGAGAAGATGGGCAGAGGAGGAACGGAGGTTACGGGGGGGGGGGGGGGGCATGAGGTTGGAGTAGGTCGGTGAGATAAGAAGGGGCTTGATGATGAACGGCTTTGTGGGTGAGAAGGAGGATCTTGAACATGATGCGTTGCTTGATGGGGAGCCAGTGTAGACGGAGGAGGATGGGGGTGATGTGGTCTCGTGAACGGGTGTGGGTAAGGATGTGGGCGGCAGAATTCTGGACTATCTGTAATTTGTTGAGGAGTTTAGAGGGTAGACCGTACAGGAGGCTGTTGCAGTAATCTAACCTTGAGGTGATGAAGGCTTGGACCAGGGTTTCTGCTGCGGGGAGGGAGAGAGATGGGCGAAGACGGGCAATGTTTTTGAGGTGAAAAAAGGCTGATTTAGTGACCTGTTTGATGTGTTGTTCAAAAGTGAGGTGGGTATCAAAGATGAGTCCAAGGTTGCGGATGGAGGAGGAAGGAGGGGTGAGTTATCAGCTGTGATGGAGAAGGGGGGGATGGATTGGGTGATGGATTTGGGGCCAATGATTATCATGTCGGATTTGTCACAGTTCAGTAGAAGGTAGTTGTTGGTCATCCAGGTCTTTATTTCGGAGAGGCAGGTTGAGAGGGTGGAGAGGGTGGATGGGGTGATGGATTCAGTGGAAATGTAAAGTTGGACATCGTCAGCATAACAGTGAAATTGGAGACCGTGACGACGGATGATATGTCCAAGAGGGAGGATGTAAATAATGAACAGGAGGGGGCCAAGCACCGAACCTTGGGGGGCACCTTGGGTCAGGGGAGCAGTGGTGGAGGAGTTGCTGTTTATGTTGATGAATTGTTGGCGGTTTGTGAGGTATGACTTAAACCAGGAGAGGGCAGTGCCAGTTATGTAGATTGGGTCATGAAGACGGGAAAGGATGGAGTGGTGGATGGTGTCAAAAGCAGCGGTGAGGTCAAGGAGAATCAGGATGCTAATGTGGCCGGAGTCAGCGCTGAGGAGGAGGTCGTTGCAAATCTTGAGGAGGGCTGTTTCTGTACTATGTTTGGGACGGAAACCAGATTGGAAGACTTCAAAGAGGCTGTTGGAGTTGAGGTGGGTCTGAAGCTGAGAGGCGACGGCACGTTCTAATATTTTAGAAAGCAGAGGAAGGTTGGAAATTGGGCGGAAGTTCGAAATGATGTCAGGGTCGAGTCCGGGTTTTTTGAGGGTTGGGGTGAAGGCAATCAGTTTGAGGGAGTCGGGGACAGATCCGGTGTGGAGGAAGGAGTTGACTATGGAGAGGATTAGTGGAGAGAGGACTGGAAGGCAGGTCTTAACGAGTGCAGAGGGCATGGGGTCCAGGGTGCAGGTGGGAGTCTTCATGCTGGTTATTAACTGGGAGAGTTGGGCATGAGAGATGGGGGAAATTTGGGATAGGGGCTGAGCAGAGGTGTGGGGGGAGCACGAGGGGGGGGGACTTGGGGTGGGGCGTGGGGGCGGAAGTTGCGGACTGGAGGCTGTTGTAGATGTTGTCTATTTTGGACTGGAAGAACTGGAGGAAAGTCTGGCATTTGTCTGGTGTGAAGGTTGAAGTGCTGTTGTCATGTGGTGCCAGAAGTGAGTTGATGGTGGAGAACAGGGTCCTGGGGTTGCTGGAGCCAGAGTGAATGATGTTGGAGTAGTATGCTGAGCGGGCGGAGTTGAGGGTGGCTTTGTACTGATGGAGGTGATCTCTATAGAGCTGGAGGTGAATTGTGAGTCCGGTTTTCCTGTAGAGTCTTTCAAGTTGGCATTTTTTTTGTTTCAACTGGTGGAGTGCTGGGGTGTACCAAGGAGCAGAGCGGGCGAATGTGACAGATTTGCTTTTTACAGGGGCAAGTAGGTTCAGACAGGAGGAGAGGGTCTGGTTGTAGTAGGTGACAAGATCAGAGGGGTTATCGGACGCTTGTGGGGGTGATGCGGTGAGGTTGAGAGAGAGAGCGGCGGTGAGGGCAGATGGGCTGATTGATTTGAGGTTCCGGAAGTTGATGGTTCGTTTGAGTCTGGTGGGTGGGTCGGGGAGGGTTATAACTGTTTTGATAAGTAAGTGATCAGAGATATGGAGATCATGGCGGGGGGGGGGGGGGGGGGGGTGTTTCCAGGCCGGTTGAACAGATAAGGTCCAGGATGTGGCCATGGTTATGGGTGGGAAAGTGGCAGTGTTGGGTGAAGCTGAAGCATTGTAGGATGTCCAGAAATTCACAGGCTAGACTGCAGCTGGGGTTGTCAATGTGGATGTTGAAGTCATCGAGGAGGAGAACGGATGGGGAGAGGGCACAGAGCTGTGTGAGGAGGTCAGAAAGTTCAGTCAGAAAATCTGGGTTTGGTTTAGGTGGGCGGTAGATAATAGCAATGATGAGAGGGGGGGAACCAGGGAGTTTGAGAGCAACATGTTCAAAGGAGGAGACAGTTGGCATGGAAAGTGAAATGATTTTGAGATCCTTATTGTGAATTGTTGCAATGCCGCCACCTCTGCCTTCTAGGCGGGGTTTATCAATATAGGTGTAGCCTGTGGGGGTAGCCTGATTGAGGGAAAAGTAGTCCAGGGGTTTGTGCCATGTTTCTGTTAAAAAGAGAAAGTCCAGTTTATTGTCCATGATGAAGTCTTGCAGGATGAGGCCTTTGCTGGTGAGTGATCGGGTGTTAAACAGGGCCAGGTTCAGGTGATGTGGGTGGGGCGGTCTCACTGATGATTCCTGTGAGGACAGGGGTAGTGTGCGAAGGTTGGCATGATGGCTACTCCTTAGAGCAGGGTGGTGGAGGGGCCTGTGGCTGATGACGGTGGGGATTGTAAAACTTGTTATTTCCCGTTGCAGTGGCTTGAGTGGTGGGTAGGGGGAGCCAGAGGGACGGGTAGGTCGGTGTGCAGGGAGCAGTTCCAGGGGGGTACGCTGGGGGTCGCTGTGATTGGTAACGGTGTCAGAGGAGGAGCATGAGGAAGAGGTGGATGTAAACACTAGTCAGTCGATCTGCGCGCTTGTGTGGACACTGTACTGGATGTTGGAAACGAAGATGGATCTGCCAGACCTGTTCAGGTGGATGCCATCACTGTTAAAATAATCAGGCCGGTTCCAGAAACTGTTAAAATTGTCAATAAAATGAACCTTTTGGGCGTTGCAAAGCATGTTGGTCCAGCTGTTTAGGCTAAGGAGTCTGCTAAAGCGCTCGCAGTTCTGCGTCATCGTCGGGAGCGGCCCACTAATAAAAACCGACTTGCCACAGTCTTTTAGGGAGTTAAGAAGCCTTTTAAAATCACATTTTGTCTGTTCAGACTGCCGACACGCTGTGTCGTTACAGCCGATGTGCACAATGATGCGGCGAATGGAGGAGGGAAGTGAGCGGAGGAGAGAGGGGATCTTATTAGCGATATCGGCAGCTGTGGCACCGGGGAAGGATAGTGTGGTGACATTGAAGAAACAAATACCTCTGGTGATGGAGTCTCCAATGATGACTGTCGTGGGGGCGAAGAGAGGGGCGATCGGCGGTGCAGTGCCGCTTCCAGGAGATGTGGAGGTGGCACAACGTAGACGCGGCGTCGAGGCGACCTCCAGCTCGCGCTGCGGGATGCTGTCATTTTGGGACACAGCTCTGGGGGATGGATCCAGCGGAGCGGCGACAGACCGCTTCCCGCAACAATTTGCATCGGGACGCTGCGGATGATGTCCGGGTTATGTTTTGCTGGACCTCGGGCTCACTGGTAAGGCTCCGAGTGCTGCCAGGCGCACCCGTGGGGGTCTCTCCCTTGCTGGGCTGCGCCCGGGGGCCACCGTACGACAGCGGGGAGGTTTTCTTCACACGGGCATCCAGCGGCATCCGGGAGTTGGCCAGCCCCGGTCCCGAGGCCGGGCGGTCAATGGCATTGGATCAGGCCAAGTCTTCGGCCGCCGGGCTGCCCATGGTTCCGGGAGATCGTCCGGTAGCCTGGGAAGGAGCTGCGGTGGTCCCGACGGCTGGCAGGTTGGAGGAGGAGGTCGCCTTGCCGCCAGTCGACGTCTGGACTGGGCTGTCAGCTGCGTTGAAGGCGGCCTGGACTGTGTTTGCGGGCCAGGGTATGGACAGCTGGAGAAGGGTCGTGGAGCTGCTGGGAAAGGCCGGGCGGGGCGGGGAAACACCACGGGCATTTTTCTTATCGTTATTGCCACGGATTACTACCTCGGACCACGTTGGACGTGCAGGAGTTGAGGTGGATGAAGGCCGGGGGCTGTCGGGTCCCAGGGTAACGTATCGTGGAGGGAAGCCTGGAGAGAGGCAAGGTGGCGGGTCTGCTTGAAGGCGACACCCATACAGGTGGTGAGTAGATCTGATTTGGCTTTCAGTTCAGCAGACAATCTGTAAATGTCCTCTTTGAGACGAGTGATTGTGGCGTTTGCCTTGTCCAGTTCAGATGTATGGAGGGGGGACGTGGAGGTGGAAGAAGCCATGATGGCGGTAGAGTTTAAACAACTCCAAACAATTTCAAATAACTCCAAACATAAGCTCCTCAGTGAGAACTGTTCTGAACCCTCAGAATCCGGATCCTGACTCAGCTTTCCTCGGGTTGTTCTTATCCTTCAGTTTTCAGTACCAATGATATCCAATATCCAAGTCTTTGCTTGTGTTTCATCTTAGAATGAGCTCCTCGTGTCACGCAGGAGAGTGAAGTTATTGAGAGTATGAGTGCCAGCAGCTTCATAAACGCCCTCAGAAGATTCTTCGCTATTCGAGGCCCAGCCAAACAGATCTACTCAGACTGTGGGACTAACTTTGTTGGTGCATGCCACGAGTTTAGGCCTGTCACGATAACAAATTTTGCTGGACGATAATTGTGCTACAAATTATTGCCGATAAACGATATTATTGACACAGTTTTTAAAATTATAGATAATGATAATATATGGCATAATAATGCGAGTACACCATGTCAAAAGCAATAAACTTTAATTGCTCAAGATTAAGAACTTTGAAC